TTTTTAAATGATTTATTTGATTTAATTACTTTTAATGACTCTGGTATGAAGTTATAGAATTTTGGTCCCAAGAAAAACAGAGATCGTTGTGTAATGGTTTTTGATGTTTGTGGAATACACATTGAATTTTGATTGAATCTTGTTGGGTAGTTATGAATGGTACGATTAAAGTATTTTGAATATTTGAAATAATGTATTAGACCACAATAAAAATAAATTTGTCTGCAATCTAATAGCTGAGCCTCCACATATAGAAAATCACTTGAATAAGTAATCTCCCTATGGAGGATCAATTTTAGAATTAATTTTTGGATGACCTCAACCTTTTTGTAATTATTATTCATAACTCCCCCCCAAGCCAAAATTCCGTAAAGTAATAGAGGATAAACAAGAGCATAATATAGATTATATAGATATTTCTTATCTAGAATATCTCTGAAGTACCTGAATTTTGGAATAATACATCTCAGTCTCTTCACAAGGTACTCTGTATGGGTATCCCATTTTAAGTGTTTGTCCAAAATCACGCCTAAGTATTTTATTTTATCGGCTGACTGAATCTCTTTGAGACCACTGCTTGTATGAATTTCAAGTTTTTTAAATTGCGGTGAGAGCCTGTCGTTACAAGAAAATGCTATATAGTGTGTTTTGTTGTAATTAATTGTCAAAGTTCTTTCCGAAAAGAAATTTATAAATGTTTTGAAATCATGTTCGATTGTGGTTTTTAGTGTATGCCACTGGTTGCTTTCATAGAGAATAGCTGTATCATCCGCAAAACCGATAACTTTACCTGTACTATTTATTTTGAACAAATCGTTGATAAATAGATTAAATAAAATGGGTCCTAATACTGAGCCTTGAGGTACACCGTGTGATATAATATGGGGTTCACTGAATGTGTTATTAATTTTGACGCACTGTGTTCGATTTGACAAATAATTTTCTATAAGTTTGTATGTTATTCCCCGGAAACCTAAGTTTTCTAAAGTTTTTAAAAGCGATTCATGAGTAATAGAGTCGAATGCCTTTGCCAAGTCAACAAAAACACAAGCAGTTGGTTTGCCAATATCGAGATTCGTGTATATTTTATTTGTTAATTTTACAATAGCATCTTGAGCAGATTTGCCTTCTTGAAAACCATATTGCTCTTCCGCTATTAAGTTATATTTTTTTGCAAATTCGGTGAATCGTTTTTGTAACACTTTTTCAAATATTTTAGAAAAATTTGTTAAGATGGAAATTGGTCGATAGTTGATGGGTTTTTCTCTTTCTCCAGATTTAAATAATGGCTTTACCATAGCGTGTTTTAAACATGAAGGGAATATTCCTTTATTCATACAAGAATTTATCAAATATGATAGTATGCCGCAGATGTTGCAATTTATTCTTTTGAGAGTATACGCTGTTATATTATCTAGACCTGGAGATTTTCTTAATTTCAATTCATTGATTATTGTCTTTATTTCATGCGTATCGGTCGGTTCCAGATATAATGAGTTATATAATCTGGTCTTACTATAATTTAATTTCTCCGCGTTTTTTATGCTTTCTGACAACCTTTTCCCGATTTTTGAAAAATATTCACAAAATTCATTTGCTATATCTACATCATTACTCACTAGTTCACCATTTTCTTTTTTAATTGTACTAATTTTGTTGTTTTGTTTTTTGCCTTGTATTTTATTGATAAATTGCCACATTTTGGACGAACAATTTTGTAGATTATCAAACTCGTCTTGGAGATATTTAATTTTAGCCTCTTTAATTATTTTTGTCAGTCTGTTTCGATATAATTTAAATTCATTCAAAAGTTTAACATCATAAGGGTATTTTTTGGTTTCCTTATATAATTCTATTTTTTTGTTGATAGAGGTAATAATCCCTTTTGATATCCATGCTTGTCTTTTTATTTGTGTTCGTGGAATCTTTATTGTTTTGGTGCATTCAGCAATATGGCCTTCAATGCTAGATATAAAAAGGACAAATGCATTTTCAATATTAGGTTCGTTATATACTACAATCCAATTTTCATTGAGTAAGTTGTTATTTAGTTTTTCATAATCAATGTAAATTTTTGTATTATTCACTGTCTTTTCAATTTTGGTTGATGTACTTTCAAGATCGATTTTGAGCAAAGTTGGAAAATGATCAGAAATATTGTATTTTAGAATTGCTGAATATATTTTGTCAAGTTCTAAACGTGAATTTATAAACATATGATCTATACAACTCCCACTGTTTCCTTCTACTCTTGTCATTTCGTTAATGGCTGACAGGTAACCATGTTCAGCCATTATATTTAAATAATCTTGAATATTTTGATTGTTATGATCTAATATGTTAATGTTAAGGTCTCCAATGAATAAGTTGATGTCAAATTTTCTACTGTTTTCTAGATAATCTTGTAATTGACCGTTAAATGTTGTTACAGATATACAGGGTGATTTGTACACACCAATGATCTGTATCCATTTATTATTCTTTTGAAGAATAACTCGTAAAAGTTTTATTTGAGTTATATTAATAATTTCATACCCACTGTTCAAATTTTGTCTTACATAAATCAGAACCCCGTCATTTTTATTAAAACTACCATCGTTATAATATAAATCATAATTGGGAATTTCAATCAAACTTGTATCATATACTTTAAATGTTTCAGTTAGCACTATAACATCTAATTTAAAATCTAGTATATTCAACAAGGCATGAAGTTCATTCATATTTCTATGAATGCTCCTTATGTTCGTGTGAAAGATGTTCAATCCTGAATCAATATTATTAGAAAAACGTAACTTTGTTGTAGGTAAATCGTCTAAAATATTTGTTTTAATTATTTCAGGTCCAAATTCTGTAATGTATCTATTCATAAATATTCTAAGTCCTTAGCAATTTAGAATAAAATTCTTGATATATGTCTTTGTTGGAAAAATTTAAATACAGCACAACATTTATCTGTAGGGGAGTGATGTGTATTATAGTTTTTATTATATTTTTTGTTTGAATATACACAGTTGCAACAAATGGGATTAGTAGATTTGTTGCATGAAGTATCATCATGTTCTTCTCCACATTTGAAGCATACTTTATGACTATTACATTTCTTACCAGAGTGATTAAACTTGAAGCAATTTGTACATTGAGTTACCTCATTATTAGGATAAACTGATAAATTTTGAAAACCAATTAAAATTTTCCCTCCATTATTATCAAATATTTGTCTGAATAGTTTACCTGACACCTCTGCGTAAACTATATTCATCTTTTTTTGAGGAAGGAATCTAACATAGGTGATTTTTAAATTTTCTTTTGTTATAAAGTGGTTTTGTCGCATAATATCTTCTTCTATTTCACGTTCTTGAAGTTTTTCTTCAGAGTGGTAGCCAACAATCTTTATTTTAGGATTAAACATTTTCGGTTCGGATATTGTATATGTTGATGGCAGATTCTTCCCAATTTCTTCTTTTAGCTTCTTATGGTAGCGGTCTTCTACATATAATTCAATACCACCATTTTTACAGTTCTTAACAGTTTCAATTTTGATGTTTATTTTTGATAAATTCAAATTTCTGCTCAGCTCGTTCTTAGTTCTGTAGTTAGACTGTTGTTGTTCGGGGGTAATGATAAGACTTTTAAGTGTCCTTTCTTTATTCTTTGATGGTGAATTTATAACTGCTTGGGCATATGTGGAATTTTTTGTTGTTGTTTCCTCTAACTTCTCAATTCTCCTAAGGAGTGTCTCAAGTGGTGTTACTATACAGTCTCTATCGACTATGTTTGAAGAAATAAGGTCATACTGTTCTTGAAATCTTCTGTTTTCGTTTGATAGGTGGTATATTAATTTTTCTTTTTCCAAAAGTAATGCTTGACAATTTTCTAAATCCTTCGTTTTTTCTAATAACTCCTGTTGTAATAATTTATTCTGTTTTTTTAAGTACTCACATGTTTCTTGCGTTGACATAATAGAATCACAGCTAATGTTTACAGTCTCATTTTCATCCTTTTTCTTTCTCCGAGTCATTGCACACTCAGTATTTAGAATTTTGTATCACTGATGTGGCTTGTCAAAATTGTGTCAAAGTTGTATATTAATACAAATGGCCGAAAGTGGTTTACCTCTTGAAAATTGTCTGATCCCCAATTGTGGATATCCAAATGTAGTCTAGGAACAAATTCAAGAGCAGCAACAAATTATTTGATTCGTAGTTTCGGCAATATGGTGATGGAACTGTGGAAAAGGTAGATAATAAGTGTATGTAGGTATCTAGATGCTGGAAAAAAGCTAGGCTATTTGTTTATGGCTAAGAAGTACTTTTCTCCGCATGACCTTCTCACTCTATACAAGGCCCAGATAAGGCCTAGCCTCGAGTATTGCTCGCACGTTTGGGGTGCTGCCGCCCCGACTACATTATCCATGCTCGATGCTGTCCAGAGGAGGGCGGTCCGACTGATCGATGACTCTTCTCTAACAGACAGTCTCGGGACTCTTTCGCACCGGCGGGCTGTCGGCGATCTGGCTCTTTTCTACAGTTACACCAACGGGCTTTGCTCCTCAGAGCTCTCTTCCATGATGGCGTCGCGCGATGTGCCTGCAAGACAGACCCGCCTAACTTTGGCGTCCCATCCTAACCGTGTCGAACTTCGTACATCCTGAACCGGCCGATACGACCGCTCCTTTGTCCCGTGGGTGTCGATATTGTGGAACGGTCTACGGGAAGAGGCTTTTCCCAGTTCTATTAACCTTAGGCAGTTCAAAAATCGTATTAATAAAATTTCTTTGGGATCATCATAGCAGCTACGGTGTTCCGGCATTTAGGCTTCTGCCTGCGCGGCTGCTTCGATATAAAAAAATACTCTGTTTCTGCAATTTTACAATTCGAGTAATATCTTATGAGTTTCATCTTCGACGTCAAATTTGACTATTGTTTTCACGATCTGTATTTTAATACAAACTGGAAATTTGAAACGTGAACATTAATATTGTAATTGATATATTTCAGTTGGGGGTCGAGGCAAGTATGAAGATGCAAATGGGTTACTACAACAGTCGACTAGCATTATGGGAACCTCTTATAGAGCCAGTTGAGAATGTCTGTGGCAATACCAACAGGCAAGTGATTACGCCATGGGAGCTTAAATTAGAGGTAAATGAATGCACACGTCAGTGACATTAATATAATTGAACACGTTTCAGAAGTTTGTAATTATAAGAATCACTTCAAACAAAAAAAAAAATCGAAAATAAATAAAATTGACATTATCATATTACAATGGCCGGTACATTTTTTAATCCTGCTTGAAATTGGACTCTGTTTTAGTCATGTAGTTTATTGTATGGTATACAGCTCAAGTCATTGCTTTTTAATGAAAAACTATTTTGGGTGTAATTCTGTGTTGAGTCCTTTCCTTTCCTAGATCTTTGGTTCCAAAATGATATTTGCACAATTTAAACGAATAAGTACAGTAACTGGATACGTTTTCTGTACTCAAAAATAATAACATTTTAGGTGTCAATGAACCAGGAACAAGATGACAACATGAGTTCAATGAGCCCCACTGATTCTGAGGCCGATATGCAACTACCTCAACCATTAATGGACATCGACGTTATGTCAGAGAACAATCTTGAATTAACAATCACCAAGACATTGTTAGAAGTATTGACAAACCTAGGAAAAGCGTTCACTGATGCGGTCAGTCAGAACAAATTTACAAATTCCCATTCTGTTGAAGCATCTTATAAAGTCGTGAACGAAATAGGTAAAACTTGATTTTGTTGTTCCTTATGGTTTGAAAAATACAGCATACTTAGTAAAAACGTCAAGACTTTCCCTTAAAATATTCAGAACATTCTGAATACCGTTCATATATTGCTTTTGAAATTGAACACGAAGGGTTATATTAGAGGTTGTTACTGAAGACAGAATATTTTGGCCATCAAATCAATACAATTTTAAGTAGTTGTGGTGGAAGGTTATCTACTTAAACATTTCCATAGCACATATAATCCACTAAGACATGAATTTGATGTGGACATACATGTTTTGAGTCCGAATCTCATTAGCATACCCGGGAAAATCATAGTGACCATGTCATACGTTTTGTAGTAGGCACTTTTATAACGGAATTATATTCTTGAGGATATATGACAACGCACCTCAATGGAAGATATAAACAATTTGGCTGGCTAACTTTTTTTTATTAAACGTCTAAGTTGGGAAAATCACTTTTTCGCGTATATTCAAATAGTTATAAATTTTGGTGTAAGTAGTAAAAAAATGTAGTGGTTGAAAATACCCTTAAAATGAGACCTTACACGTCCAATTTGCCGTAACTGTTCATTTGTTATTACAAAAAGCATCGGGAATCGTCGATTTCTACATTTATTGTTTACTGGAAAATGCATAACGGTTAATCTGAAATAATATCTGAAACCTTTGTAGTATGTAACACCCAAAAAATATTCATTTAAAAATGTGCAATTTTCCAGTGGTTGCTAATTTTTCCAGGAAAGTGGCTTCTTTTGACGAGCTGTGCAGCGACATTGGATCAATAAAATGGCTTCATATTAGGCTTATTATCTTGCTAGAGACTTAGTTTAATATCTTATTAAATTATATATTTTCTTATACTAACCATGTAAGAAGGCGTCGCCAAGAGTACATCTATTTTTACCTTATAAACAATAGAATAAGTGTGTTGTTTTTTGACAGTCGTAACTAGGATTCCCAACTTTTTGTATCTCTCGGCGAAGAGCATTTCTGAATACCCTCTAGAATAATACGTTGTGATACAGCTCATTACAATTAGTCCACAGACATTCTTTCCCTGCCCTAGCGGCAGTGCATCCTAGGGTTACAGCATCGATTCGTCAATAGCCTGCGCTTCTTGTCCCGACCTTAAGATGTTATTATTGAATTTTGTACATTAGTCAAGTGAAATATGTATTTTCTATAGGTGAAGACATAACCTTACTCTTGGAGGAAAGTGCTTTCAACATTGTCGGAGGAGGAGACAAACTGGATATCAATAAGTCGCAAGCAGTTCCTTTGGTAGTGAAGCCAAATTTTGTCGAGAAAAAGACTCTTGATTTAGGCAAGGAGCTAGTCAAAAATGCGGAAAAGAAGAATAAATTCTTACATATTAAGGTAAAAGATTTTAACACTGTTGTTGAAGTTGAAGCCAAAAAAGTTTCAGAATATAAATTACTCAAGTTAATTAACGGCTCACTTTCTTTGACCAATTATTCTAGCACTACCATTTGTCTAAATTCATTGATGTATTTAAGCAAATGTAGTGTCAACCAAATAATGCCCCCATGCGGGGGCTGGGGATTTACGGTGGGATTGCCTAAATGAAATTAGAGGGCGTTGATTTGGGGGGAGGGGGGCCGACGCAGTGATTAATCTGTGACCCTCGCTCTTCAATTGTCATATAAGGACATTCGTTCTTCTCAGAAGCGCTGATGCGTTGTGAGAGGTAGCCCTATACGTTGCAAGTTGGAAATAGTGGTCATCATGGACGAACGTGAAACTCATCTGTGTCAGCCCCAACCCTCTGCGTAAACTGTTCTGGCTGGCACAGATGTGGCGTAGGAGCTAGAGTAATGTTTTCAAACTAACGTGCATTGTTCCACAGTGCACACTTGCTGTTTAACCGAAAGGGGGCCTAGCACATCTGCTGCCTCAGTTGCTACATGAAGTGTGGAGGGCTAGTGAATTTACGCCAGTTGAGAGTTAGAACTACCATTCAACAAGTTGTGTAACATTTAGCCCCGGAGGAGAAGCCAGCACAATCCATGTCGTATTCTTGAAATACTTTCTTATATACAGTGAAAGCTCTCCTTGCGGACAGCTCCTATAAGCGGACATCTCTTTTAACCGGACAAAGTTCCTGGAACCGAATTTCAGCCATCAATTTTCAATGTTAAATGCATTCCGATAAACGGACGCGGACACTAGATTTTCCTGTATGTGATCAAAAAATCTCCCATAAGCGGACGCGAAACTCTAATACCCGGACGATTTTTTAGTTCCGCTTATTGCAATGCACATATCTACATACATAAAATTCGGTAATTCCCCGATTTATATTAGGTGATTCCCCATTTACGCATTTCGTTGGGTAGCCTGTATGTAATCTTGTGGCTTGTCTTCAGTTCAGGCAAATTCGTAGTTGATTGAGTTACGTATTTTATTATTGTAACTGTAAAATGGCACCAAAAAAAAAAGATGCTCTCGTTAAAGGAAAAGATGGAAGTTGTTAACGTATTAGACAGAGAAAGTGTTTCAGTTCGTCATTTGGCAAAGAGGTTTAATATTGGGAAAACGCAAGCAGCTGAAATTGCCAAAAATAAGGAAGATATCAGGAGTAAATGGCAATCAGGAACTAATATAAATCAAAAGAAGGATTTTTTAAAAAAGGAAGGTTTTGCTATAGACAAAACATGTTTTGAGTGGTTTGTGAAAGCTAGAAGTCAGAACATTCCAATCTCAGGGCCGTTAGTGAAAATGAAAGCTAAAGAAATCGCCACTACTTTGGGCTATAATAATTTCAGTGCGTCCGACGGGTGGCTGCAAAAGTGGCACAAGAGACATAGTGTGAGTTTCAAATGCATATCTGGCGAAGCTGCTGCAGTAGATCAAGTTGATGTGTCACAATTTTTGGAGAAACTTCCGTCCATGTTGCTTGGCTACAAACCAGAAGATGTGTACAACGCAGATGAGAGTGGACTTTTTTTTCGCGCATTGCCCGACAAAACTCTGTCCTTTAAAGGAGAAACATGTGTGGGTGGAAAGTTGTCTAAAGATAGACTAACCATTTTATTCTGTGCAAATATGGCCGGTGAAAAATGCGATTTGATTGTGATCGGGAAAGCGGCTCGTCCCCGTGCTTTAAAAAACGTTGCTATTAAGGATCTACCAGCGTCTTGGAAATCCAACAAAAAGGCATGGATGACCCGAGAAATCATGTCTGAGTGGTTAGTCGAATTCGACCGGAAAATGAGAATCCAAAAAAGGCAAGTTCTTTTATTTTTAGACAATGCATGCTCTCATCCTCGTGATATGAAAATGAAAAATGTGAAAATTATATTTTTACCGCCAAACACAACTTCTGTTTGTCAGCCCATGGATCAAGGTGTCATACAGAACTTTAAATTTTATTATCGGCACTTGATTTTAAAACATATTTTAACAAAAATTGACGATGGTCAAAGCTTATCTGAGCTTACAAAGTCTATCAATGTGTTAGAAGCTTTGTATTTTATAAAAACAGCATGGAATAAAGTAAATTCCTCTACAATTAAAAACTGTTTTGGCAAAGCTGGATTCAGAAAAAGTGAATGTAGCTCAGAATTTGCTGAGCAAAATTATTGCGATGCTGAAGACGATCTGCCCTTAGCGACACTTGCTCAGTTACTGCGACATGCCATACATTTAGGAGTAGCAGATCCCCAGAAAGTAGATGATTTCCTGGCCATAGACAATAACATAACAACAGAAGAAAATGCCATTGGCAACTTTTCGAATTTGGATGTAGAAAGCCCAGGCCAACTTGAATATGGTAGTCCAAACGACTCAGAAGAAGAAGTGGAACTGGTGGACTCACTAAGCGGTTCAAAAACGATAAATTCATATGGGGAAGCTCTAAATCATATTTCTATATTGAAAAAATTTGCTAAAGATGATTTCACTGCATTTCAACATTTGAAAAATTTAGAAAGTTATTACGAAAATTGTCTCCTTCAGCAAAAGATGGTGAAATTTCGTCAGACAAACATTTTAAACTTTTTTCAACAAGCTAAAGAATAATGTTTTTTTTTTTAAATTCCCGTACCATGTATTGAAGCATTTATGTTTTTGTATGCGTATATGTACATATATTATATAGATATATAGCATAAATACATACTTTAAAAATGTGGCGAGTTTCTGTTTCATTTTTCTCATGATTATAATACCTCATTTCCTCATGATTATATACCCCGTTATTTATACTCTATACTTACATACTCTCTTTTAAACGGACACCTCCCATAAGCGGACAAAAGTTACGGAACCGTGAGTGTCCGCTTATGGGAGCTTTCACTGTACTTAGTATTGTAGCATGCGTTTTTCAGTATACCCGTATTGTTTGCTTTCCGTGATTTATCTCCGAATGACGAGACCTATATCATAATGATGATTACTAAAAAGCATGATTCAAAGTTGCATATGGTTGGTTATGGTCGCAGAGGCGAAAAGCAATCAGCCAGTGCTTAGTTTATGCTACATTTGTACAGTACTTTAATGCTGGTAGAATGATTAGTGCTTAGTACTCCCCTGGGCCGCCTATATGGCGAACAACCTTATCCAACTTGTTAGAAGCGGCCGTTATCACTCAGAGATGCCAGGAATTCTGTGGTTTCTTGCTACCGTACGTAGGCGTCAGCACGGCGATTAGCGAATTACTCATCAGGTGGCAGTGTTATCTTTATTTTTCACAAACTATTAAGTTTAGCATCTGCATATATTTATGTTTTTATTACCAGGTGAACAGCAAAAAATGTGAGCTGGCCCTACCGGTTGTCAGAGCAGACAAAAGATTTTTCCTACTGAATTACAGATCAAGTAGTGGAAGTGACAATTGGGGGATTGTGTCCGACGTGAGAGTGGATGAAGGGATTACTACAATAATCATAAGAAGTATATTACAGGTATGTAAAGTATAGTGGATAAATTACTTAACATTCATAGTTTCAAAGAATAACAATATACCGCACTTGAATGGACAGAGTGAAACTGTATGTAGTATAGACCGAGATCTTTTCAGATATGGAAAGTTGAAAATTCAGGGAATACAGGGATTTGTCTAAACACGCAGAATACTTGATATCATATATCTTGGACATTATTGAACCGATTTTTTTTTAATTTTGCACAATAACAAAGTTACCAAGGAGAATTTAGAACTATATGGTTGGTTAGAAAATCCTGTATCAGACTCGATGTTAGTCACTTTTTCGTTTTTTATCAAAATGAACACCTTTTACGTTGGATAATGAAATGTTTGACTATCGACAAAAAACCCAACGAATGGTACCAAAATTAATTGTTTGCGCCTTTTTATTTTTTTTAACAAAAAGAATTTACTTATTCAAAATTTCAAGTGTTATCAACTTAGTTTCATCAACATTTTACAAAATTGTGCTCAAAATGGAACTAAAGATTTATTATTTCGCAGAACAAAGAGCAATAAGTCATATACATAAACGCAAAACATAATGTTGTTTTTGATTAAGTTTTTCAGTAATTTTTCAATGATTTCGGTCTGCTAACTGATGTTATACAACAATAGCCCTGCTTTAAAGGGAAACAGCATTTAATATGCTAATGTACTGAATTTGACTCTCCAGTCCAATTCAAGATTATGCTAAACATGTAGAAAAACTTAATGAACAGGTCCGGACTCAGCATTGGTACGTGTATGTGCTCTCATCACACCCCTAGGTTCTCTAGTTACATAATGCACAAATGGTATGCCACACAATTAAATATCAAGTCGGGACCTGCATACTATTTTTGTGGATTTTTAACTTAATTTCAAGATGGTTTAGAGGGTGAAATTGAGTGGAATGTCATATATAAAGCCGCGTTCCTTTTTAAGATGTACAGTATCATTTGGTAAATTAAATCATTAAAAAAACCCAAAAAGTAATAAGGGTGCATAGCTTTAATTTTCCCATTTACAAAAAGCATTTGACACTATAGATCACGAGAAACTATTGACTAAATTACAACACATTGGAATTAGAGGTACATCATTTAAATTATGTTAAAATTAATTGCATAACTGTAAACATAAGTTTAAAACTGAAAATACAACTAGTGAAAAAATGACTGTAATGTATGAAGTTCCACAAGGAACAACACTGGCGCCTCTCAGTTTATACGGTTATATACCAACGACTTAAAAAATAGGATTTGCAGATGACACCACCATCATCCATGAAGCTAGAACTTGGGCAACATAAAAGAAGAAATTGAAATAAATTTAGTACAGATAACAGACTGGTTCGATGATATTCATTATTAACGATTATAAAAAAATATTTTGTTCCCCTCATCTCTTACACAAATAACTAACCGCTATATAATCGGCTAACTATAAAGAAAACAAATCTCCAAAATGTATATTATATGTATATCACGTAAATTAAATCATGAGTATCTCGGAATTGTTTTAGACTCCCATCTTCATTGAACATATCCAATATATTAAAAAGAAACTTAGATTTCTTTTATAATGGGTGGGCCATTTAAAAGTTTCGATTTAAAAATAAAATAAAACAAAAACGGTTTGAGATATTGCCAAATTTATTTTTTTGTTTTGAAGTACAATTGTTCCGCTCAGAAATGAAATATTACTTCATTCAAATGGCTGCCGCGGCTGGCCTCACAGTAGCCCATTCGATCGGACCAATTTTCGAGCACTTTTTCGAGTGTTTGGGGCCGTATCTCGTCAATGTCATCACGAATGTTGGCCTTCAAATGGTCAATTGTCTCTGGATGGTCGACATAACACTTGTCTTTAACAGCGCCCCACAGGAAATAGTCCAATGGTGTCAAATCGCAGCTTCTTGGCGGCCAATTGACATCACCATTTCGACTGATTAAACGGCCATCGAAGGTTTCGCGCAATAAGTTGATTGTGGCATGCGATGTGTGACAAGTTGCACCATCCTGCTGAAACCAAACATTCTCCACATCAATACCATCAAGAGCAGGAACAAAAAAATCAGTTATCATGGTGCGATAGGTGTTTCCATTGACAGAAACGGTTGCGCCGTCCCCGTCTTCAAAGAAATATGGGCCAATGATGCCTCCGCTCCACAATCCACACCAAACAGTCACTCGCAAGGGATGCATTGGCTTCTCTAAGACCTCGTGTGGGTTTTCCGAGCCCCAGATACGGCAATTTTGCTTATTGACGTAGCCACCAATATGAAAATGAGCTTCGTCTGAAAAGATTATTTTTTTCGCAAAATCGACATCATTGATTAGTTGCTCGTTGGCCCATGTAGCGAAGGCAGAACGAAGTGGATGGTCACGCGGCTTCAACTCTTGAACCAATTGAACTTTGTAAGGCGTCATACCGAGATCTTTCCGCAAAATTCGTCGTAAACTGGTGCGGGAAATGTTCAATTCTTGGGAACGATGACGTGTTGACGTTGATGGATTTTCACGCACACTCGCAGCCACAGCATCGATACCTTCGGGTGTACGCACTGTACGAGCACGCTGACGTGTTGGAGCATCAACAATGAAACCAGTTTCACGCACTTTATTAATAAACTTGCGTATACCGGGCGCTGTTGGTGCTTCGTTGCGACCGAATTTTGAACGGCATTTTCGTGCAATTTCTGCCCAATTGTCTTTGTTTTGGAAATAAATTTCCAATATTACCCAACGTTGCTCAAGCGTAAATCGATTCATTTCGTTCAGCGGAGATAATATACTGAATTTTATGACAAATCAGATTGACATAAGTATTGTCAGCGTCAAATTAACACGTGGTTCAAATCGAAACCGATAGATGGCCCACCCTGTATAAGCTCAGATATTGAAGACAAATTTTCAGTGACCCTCAATTAAAAATTTTTAAGCAAATATTCGTTGAATGCCATATAACCTATGGAATTATTATCTGGTGATCCGCGAATAACAACCATATAAATTCCATAACAAACCTTAACAGATGCCTCCAAATTGCTGTTTATGGAATCAAAACTTTTGAATATAAAAAAATTATTTTCGTATAAAGTTATATTAGAATTTCATAAAGATAAACATGCGATCATTTATAAAAATTAAGAATATGATACTTGAAATAAAAAATAACAAAAAATTATTGCAACACCAAGAAAGGAATAATGTTGAAATTACTTATATACTTAGGTCCAAAATGATATTGCAACTTACCAACATATATTAGAAAAAACCGAATGTCATTATTGACTATTGAATACTGATATAAGCATGATGTAATTAATGAAAACGCTAACATATAAATATATCTTCCGTATAACTAATATACGTATATGATACTAAATTAATGTATTACATTTATATAGATTTACGAGGGATGTCTTTTAAGTTTTGCATATAGAAACATAACCTCACTCTTTAGTAAACTTAAATTCAAAGTTTCACAACAATACGTGCAGTGTTCTCACTACAGTGAATTTTTAAGTGTCACCAAGTATTAGAAAAATGGAACTCAATCGAGAACATTTTTGCGCCATAATTCATTACAACTTTCAAAGACAATTACCGCGACAAGAATGCCTTGCTGAGTTACTGTCTGTTTTCGCCAACGAAGTGCCACATCAGTCGACAATTTCCCGTTGGTATGGAGAATTCAAACGTGGACGGGTGAGTCTTAGCGACGATCCCAGGGTGGGTGCACCAAAAACGGCAGTCACCCAGGAAAACGTCGATGCTGTGCGCAAACTCATCAATGAAGATAGACATATGACATATCGCGAGATTGAGGTGTCCTTGAAGATCTCAAAGACCTCAATTCAAAAAAATTTACATGAAGAATTAGGAGTAAGAAAATTAGTTTCTCGTTGGATACCCCACCTGTTGACTGAAGAGCAGAAAGCTGCCACGGTTAATTGGTGTCAAAAAACGCTTGACCGTTTCAATTCCGAAAACTCAAAAAATGTGTACAGCATTGTTAGTGGTGATGAATCGTGGATTTACTATTATGAACCAGAAAATAAACGACAGTCGGCTGTTTGGGTGTTCCAAGGTGAAGAAAAGCCAACAAAAGTCATCCGTTCTCGAAGTGTTTCGAAAAAGATGGTCGCGAATTTGTGTCAAAAGCGGGTCATATTGCAACAATTCCTAATGAGCAAAGAACTGTTACTGCGGATTGGTATACCACCATTTATTTTCCAAAAGTCATCACCGACCTTCGAAAAATCAACCCCGAAAGAAGAATCATTCTCCACCAAGACAATGCAAGCTCGCACACAGCCCAAAAAACAAGGCAGTATTTAACGGAAGAAAACGTGGAATTATTGGACCATCCTCCATATAGTCCCGATCTAAGTCCTAACGATTTCTTTACTTTCCCGAAAATTAAAAACAGACTGCGTGGTCAAAGGTTCCAGTCACCAGAAGAAGCAGTTGACGCATTCAAAAAAGGCGTTTTGGATCTGCCAGCAAACGAATGGAATAAGTGCTTCGAAAATTGGTTCGAGCGCATGCAGATCTGTCTTAATCTTCGTGGAGAATACTTCAAAAAACAATAAGTCATTTAAAACTACCTACCGTGTTGTTTTATTTCCATATGCAAAACTTAAAAGACAACCCTCGTAGTCTAGTCCTTATCAATCAATTTACTGTAACTACTATGTTTTATGTTATACGTGTTAGAATGGTATCCACACACAAGGATACCATTATTATTTATATCATGTGTTGCTCTTTTTTCTGTGCAATAATAATAAATTCAGAGTATATAACTTACATGCCGTTGCACTTTAAAAAGTTTAAGGAAGTAAAGAAAACTAAATCCGACCCTAGAAACCAAAATATCTTTAACTCAATTCCAAGCATTATTTTACCAAATATTGATGATACAAAGTTGATAAACCCTGAAATTTTGAGTTTTGTGTCACGTAAACTGCTGATAACGAGATATTTTAACAAATTAAAAAGTGTGAAAATCTAAAAGAGGCGCAATCACTATATTTGTCTAATTAATTAGCACCTTGCATTACCTTTTTTGTACATAGTCAAACCTTCCAATATCCAGCTATAAAACAAAAAAGTTGAAAAATCGAGACCGGGCCTGGATTTTTCAACCGTCCGTCTAGTTTTACGTTACTCCTAGATGACTTTGTTCTCCTGCAAAATTTTAGCAAAATAGGTTCATAGATGCCTGAGATGTGTGTTATTAAATATTTGTCGTGTTGAGATATATCACCCTGCATATGCGTAAAAACTGAAACTAGAACTTTTTTGCGCTCATTTCCTCAAAATAAACGACCGAAATTCATGCTTTTAGGTCCGTATGATGAAATATGAATTTTTCATGAAATTTACTTGAACATTGTATAGGCAGGATAATACTACTGGCAACTTGACAAAAGTAATTGAGGTTATATGGATTGACAAAAAAGTTTCAATCCAAGCGACGTCTACTCTACTCTGCTGCTTCCTTGACCGTGACTATCGGAGCATTCGGCAACCGAGCATACCGAGACTTGTCAAATGTGAACTATATGACTAATAGTAGCAGAAAGATTAATTTAGCGCAAATGGCTACGGAAACAATTGGAAGTAAGGGTCCCCGCAGACTGCAGATTTTCTATAGGCCGATAGTTTGGTAGGATTCTTAATCATCAGTATGGATGTGGGCCACATTACAGCGATTAGTATCGGCTGATAAAAAAGTTTGATAGGCTTCACGATTCCCTTCAAACTAATCTGTCCGCTAACTATCGGCCGACTGCTTAAACAGTGTTGGCTAACGTCTACTTGCGCACACACGACGATTGTTTAGTCGGCTGATAGTTCAGTTCGCTCCGAGTTTTGGCGTCGATCAGTCGTGTTTTTTCGGGTAATCAAGTACATAGTTTGGAATTCATTCAATAACTAATCTATCACCATAACCGCCCATATAGCAAAATCCGGGGGGGGGGGGGGGGGGGCATGTTTAAAAATGCTGAGAACTAGTGGGGGGTGTGTAATATCTTCTATGTTGGGATATTCCACTTTTTACCCAGGATTGGGTATCTTTTTAGGAATTCAAGAATATTTCACTTATCATTAATATGTTTTGACTCTCTTCTTGATTTTCCTTCTCCGTTGTATGAGAGCAATAATAACATTTCTGGACAATATTCTATTTATTTTCATTGTGCGGTGCGGTGTGCTCACTAGCAGCCCAAACCGACAAAACTATCGGCCGATAGAAAGTCTGCAGTCTGCGGAGGCCCTAATAATAAATTCAAACCGTATGGTACATCGTCATATTTGTAATTCTAACATAGAGTATCTCACTTTTTGATTTAAACAGCTGATTTTGACAATATTGATGACATTCGGAACATGTACAGATCTAAATGTGATTCCAAACCAGTTTGAGAAGCGGCGCATTATTTTGCAAGTCGCCAAAACGTCATGAATAACGTCATTATCATAATCGTTCTGGAACACTGTCAAAAAATTGTGTTATTTTTCTGTTAACCTCAACCGGAAACGCTTGCGAAAATAATATGCTTAATATATTTCAAAATTCAACCTAATTTCAACAGTTATGCCAAAGTATTTGAAAGAATCTACAAAATCAGTGATTTTGACACTAATATTTACGTATTCATTTGTAATATCATTTTTTTCAATAATCATAGTTTTTGATTTGACTGTGTTTCATTTTAATTTGTAATATATTAGCCATTCTGATACAAGTTTTAAATCACTATTATATTATATTTTGAGTATTTACGTATCATCAGTAAAAATCTGGATTTTGCAATTTTTTAGTATAGTGGGCGAATCTTTTATATATAAGATGAAGAGAAGTGGATACTTGCATTTTGTTGCTCAAATAATCTGAAGACCATATACACTACTTTTCCAGATATTTTCAGTTCCAATTTGTCAGTATGCCACTATCAGTTGTTTCAAATGCTCTTTTCAAGTCAAGCTGTCACCAACAACATATTGAAATTAAATAATTTGCATTTTTCTTCCATTTTACCAGGTTGCCAAATGTGTGCGTGAATTTCAGATGGAAATTACCGTATAGTTGAATCAATTATAGACGTTTTTGGGTCAGTATTTTTTCCAAAAGAATAGTATTTTTTTAATCCTAATGTTTCAAATTCCCCTCTGTAAGATATACCTGACGGTATCACACTGTCTCCTCGAAAACCAAAGTCCAAACCACATTTGATAAGCTTACGTTCAGCGCTGTCTGCAATTGTTCATTGTTATAGAGACGGAAAGCATATTTCAGTCGTGTCTTTTCATGAAAGCATTACAAGCCATTGCTGGTTTGCTCTGTGAACCATCGCTAGGTGGTGATCGTCAGATTTTAATCTGCTTGCCCACAACTTTTTATGGTCTATAAATTGATTAACGTATTCTTCAAGAAGACGCCGAAACCTATCATGTATATAGACGTTCACATACAATTTCCATCGTCACAGACATGTTGCCCAGCAGTATCACAGTGATTCCATTATGAGTAATAATAGTTTATTCGTAAACATGGCATCAACTTTCCATATTCCATATTCTCAGAATTTCTCAAACACGGCAAAAGGAATCGTACAATCTTCAGCAACAGTCCGGTAGGTGGCAAGGTTGGTATCTCAAGAAGGTGCTCCTCAGGTATATACATAGTTCTAAGTATAATTTATTTTGGTATCTTCTGATGGAATATGTTAACCAATGCTATGAGATAATAGTTTCCCAGTCTGTTCAACCTTCTGTTGATTTTACAGGTGATCAATCATTTCAATACGGCCATCGACGTCTATTACATGACACCCAAAGGCAACATATTGGAACTAATTGGCGTGGTGCAACCAAATTCACACCTAAACGTGCCCTTGAAAGCGGTTTACAATCCGACCAACGAGTTGTTCTTTGGTGTATCTGGATATTCAGTCACCAGTTCGCCGTACGTCTGGAAAGATCTGCAGACCTTCCTAGACAACACGAAAATACTGAATTGCCGAAGGAAGAGCGAGGAATACGGGGAAGAGTTGTTCGTCATAAAGGTAAAGTATCGTGCAGTTTTACCTCTTGGTAGTTCATAATTTTGACCGAGATATGAACAAAAAAATATCTGTTAAGAATAATGTGTATTGTTGCCAGCATTGTCGACCATACTATTACGGAGACTTTTTGAAGTCCGCGTATTTACTGTAGGTATTTCAGGATACCATGTATAACATGTGCCAAACTTAACTAACACAGCGTTCATGTCACTATCATGAATACTTTACGGATTTTCATTATCTGTAGAATTTGCGATTAAAACGTTTGGGATAACCAACAGATGTTGTTATATTTTACCAAGTTACATTTATGCCAGCTTTTTTGAGACTCCTAGTTTATACATTATGCTAGGCCTGTGAATTTTATTTGATAAGTAATAATATATTTAATGTATCTTTTAGGCTGTAGGTGAAATGGAGCAAATATATTATGAAAACACAGCACGCCATACAATGTCAAGCGTTTGCTTCAACATCCATCTACGTCCAGCTGTTATCTTCAAGAATTGTCTTCCTTTGGACATAGTATGTTGCGTCGATGAAAAAGTTGAGGAATTTACTGTCAAAGCAGGTGATATATTGCAGCTGCCTAGTGTCACCCCTGGTAGTAACGTCATTGTCATTCGAGTAAGTAACATTAACATTATTAAATTGAATTTATTTATTAAATTATTAAATAAGTACAACAAAATAAAATCTATGTTACAAGAATTGCAGTGGTTGTATATAAAAGTTTCATATCATATTTAGTTCTTATTTTTATATTTAAAATAAAAAAATCGTCTTTTGCCACAATATTTAGAACGCTACAGAGAATTGAATAATTATTGCCACATTTATTGTAAAGAGGAAATATAGATTTCCCTTCACAAAATTGCAACAGTAATATAACTGCTACTTGTAATTTAAAATTCTTAGAGATGCAAGTATTGTCTTTCTAAATATCCATATGCTATGCCATTGTTGCAGTTTTTACAAGACTATAACTGTAGCAATCCTGCCAAATAAATCTTAAACAAACCTAACATCCATTTTGGTGCCGAATAAGTAAGAATTCAATTTGAGTATTTTTATTGCGCTGATTTAATTTGTTTTAGCAGCTCTAGCTTTCGAGATATATTTGCGATTTAATATTTGAACAAGTGTAAGATAGATAGATAAATATGCTTTATTGTCTAAAGAATACAATGTCTTAAAGACAAAGCTAAATTAGAACTAATCTATAGCAATTACATATGTGGATCTTAAGTAGGTGAACTGTATGTTTAAGCTCACGGCGGCATATTTTTAAATTGTTAATTCTTTTGATAGCATCAGGGAGACACATGTAAATTTTCACACAATTATAAATGATTGAGTCTTTCACACTCGTTGACTTAGGTACTACTAATTAAAGTTCTTGTTTTCGTCTAATATTGTAACTTATATTTAATGTTTCAAATTTAGATTTATTTTTAAAAGTAAGTGTTGCCGTTTCCAAAATGAACAGTGATACCACAGTCGTTATTTTAAGGTTTAAAAATGCATTTAGCTCTAGGATTGCTTTTAGTTATATATCTAATAGTTATTTTTTGTAGAATAAGCTTTATTTTTAAACAATTTTGGGAACAGACTCTTATACAAAATCGACATTGTAGCTTTAATTCAAAGTAAATTTTCAATAAACAAACAAATTAAAATAACTATTGGTAGGACAAAGTTAGAATTTCTCATCTATATTCACATGCTTTAAATTTTTTAACGCGTCATCAGTATTTTTTAGTTTTTCTGCTATATTATAGGTGGTATGCCTCTCAATGCATTTATGACTTTCCATGCCTCCTTGGTTTTATTTCCTGCACTTATTTTCTGTTTACAATAGTCCCTTTTGCTGAAGCTAAAACATTTTTATATATTCTATTATACAATAGTTGTTGAAATTTTCATGTTTTATAAATTTCTTGATATAGTGTAAGGTTTCCCAATTTCTTGATGATATTTTCAATCCTCTTGCGATCCACGGTTCTTTACTCTTCATTTGAATCTTTTGATATGGGAAGCTTCCAAGAAAGATATTTGCAAGTTGTTCATAAAATGTTAGAAAGGGATTTGGTAAGGAATCAATCATTCCAGTTTATTGTGATAGATCTAGATATAATTTTTTATAGTTATGATTACTAAAAAATCTGGTATATTTATATCTAATTTGCTTTAGGAATTACAGTTGCTAAGACGGCTTTGTGATCTGATAATCCAGCAGATAAAACAGTGCAGGAAATAACATCATAATTTGTACATATTTATGTAGTGAGTTTTTGTGGATGAAGAATGAGATACATGTGTGTCATCTTAAACTTTCATATTCAAATTAAAAGAAAAATAAGTTTTTTAATTGCCAAGTCTCCACAATTATTATTATACAGAGGGTTCTATGAAAGTTTTGTAATACAGCTTTATTTATTGACTTCGTTCAAAGTAATTTCCACCACATTCAATACACTTCTCCATCCGCCAAAACCAGTCCTTAAACCAGCTCTGCCAAGTTTCACCCGGGGGTGCTGCACACTCGTCCCAACAAATCAGAAGGTCCTCATCGCTAGAAAACCGTTTTCCTTTTAGCTTCATTTTCACATGCGGAAACAGTGCTAAGTCGCAACATCTGGACTGTAAGGCGGATGCTCAATAAGTTTCAGACCTGTAGTGGTCAAATACTTGATGCAGGCTTTGGCGCGGTGACCTGGAGCGTTGTCATGGTGGAGGTACCAAGTGTCCATTCTTGACTTTGGCTGCATGTTTTTCACAGACTTTACGACTTTAGGTAGGCGCTGTCCCGTGTACCACTTAGCTGTGACTGTCTTCAGTGTGTCAAAAACGACACGCTCCACAATTCCGCTCGATTTGTAAAATACAGCTATAATTTTTTTCTTAAAGGATCGGGATTTTGTGACATCTACGGGTGTGTCGTCATCATCAAAGACCCAAACTTTGTTTTGAGCCTTGGTCGGCACATCCTAATAATAGAGCCAAGTCTCGTCACCTGTCACGATGCTGTTCACATACCGAGATTGCCCTTATCAAATATTTTCAGCATCTTTCAGCACCAAGTCGTACGATGAGTCTTCTGCTCTTCCGTCAGACTATGCGGTACCCAGAGAGAACAAAGTTTCCTTACGTGTAAATGTTCATGTAGAATTGAATGAATTGCTGGTGCATGAAGGTGTAAGATCTCGTCTATCTGTTGGTCCCCCAGAGTGAAATTGCCCCTTTGGAATTTTCTGTACCACCTGAATATAGACGTACGACGAGGACAATCATTCTTTAATGCAAGCGTCATTTCTTCTAAGCACTGGTCTATGCTTAAACCACGCGTAAAGTTATACCATATAACTGCCCTTATCTCACTGCGTGACCTCGATGTCATAGTCCGCACTTTACACTGTCAATACCAATGAACAACTAAATTTACTAAATCAACAGACGTACTGCTGGCGGCTGCTATTACTCGAGTGAATGATCATGGACATGTCTCAACATGCACTAACATACAGCCTCCTACGTCCGTTTGCTAAGTCATATTGCAAAACTTTTATAGTACCCTTTGTAACATAATTGATGTTAAAATCCCCTGCAAGTAATATATTGGATTTACTAGTAAATCAGTTAAAATGGTTTCTAGTTTGTTATAAAATAAATTAAAATCTCCCAAGGGCGATGTTTATGTACAAATTATGTATGTATTTGTAGGTTAAACATTCGCTATTGTGGATTCAAAGTGAATTTCTTGATTAACATTTGAATATTTAGCGATTTCTTTGATTTCTATTGATTCAATATAATTTTGATTGATCAAGACCATTCAGCATCTGGGAATTCATTCTACAATATTTACTAATAATGGAATAGTATTTTAAAAGTTGGAAAATTTAGGTCATTTAAGACATACAGTTCATCAGCCTTATTTCTTAGAGAGATTAAATATTTGAAAGAAATACTGATAATTTGAAGCTATCTTGAATAGATGTTACATTATTGTTAGGTGTACTCTATTACGGTCTAGTGCTGTTGAACTATTAGAAAAGTTGCTTACTGAATACTTATTAGTGTATGAAACAAACGTACTTAGTTGCACAAATACAAAGCGTCTGATGCATTTCTAAATTCAAGTGTTTCAGAAATATAACGTACAAACCAGATTTCTCTATTTTCAGTTGCCAGATTATCTGGAAAAGGAATGGTCGTGTCGCGGAGAGATCCTCGAAAAGCCTAACGAGTTCACTGTATGGACTTTTAACAGCTACGATAGTCCAACGAAAATGTCAATGGATCTTGGGATGCACAGTTTGGATAAAAATGGTTCGTTGGTCATGTCGCTCTATTGTCCATTTTGGATGTTAAACAAAACCGGGTTGATGCTGGCTTACAGGGTAGGTGGCTTCAGATATTTATCACATTTACTTTTACACTTAATATCTCAAGAACATGTCTTATATACATATACATTTTTTATGTTTTAGGATATTTGTTACCGGAAAGTAGTTAACAGATAATATTTTTTTTAACTATCATAAACGATTATAATAATAATAATAATAAACGTCTTTATTTCCAAATAGACTGAGTATATAAAAAATAGCCAAATACGGGCGAAGTTCAGCTGTAGCTGCTCTTCCACTTAACCCGCAATCAGTCATTATTCTAATAAAAACAGACAGAAAATGTGTAATACTCATCATTGTTAAAAACGTTTATATATCCATTGCTGGTTATCATATATGTGTCATTATAAATGGTTGTTGGAAGTAGGTAACCGTTTTTTCAACAAGATGAGTGCATCCCCTATTAGGCATTCAAACACCAATATTAAAATTATACTCTTGCCTTCTCAAATTCTCCATTTAAATATAAGTTATTAGTATTGTATTTTCATCATTCAAAACTACCATAACTTCTACTAAAAGTGTGTTCGATTTTTTCATGTTTCCAGAAGTCTAAAAAAACTGAAAAACGTGATGCCGCTGGAAGTCCAGCTAAGGTATAAACATGGGAATATTTTTCGACATTTTCTGTTTTTGTTGCCATTATTTAACTTTTTTGTGGGCTTATTCAAGCATGATTTATATTATTGTGTATTGCTATTTTGATAGGTTATGTTAATTTGGAAACACGTTCTCTATTAATATGTACGTACTTATTTGGGTCGGATATTCACCTTACAGATCATCCTCTTATTACATCCCATATGAAGTACTGTTTTGGGACAATTTTTCTCAACCCCATGTATCATATGGCCTCATTTAGGACACAGAAAACAATAATGTGTGTTTTTGATAAATAGTAACAGCACTCTGCTGATGAGCCTCCCATAGTCAAACACTGTTTCACGACTTTGCATTTATTAACAGTTCTTAAACGCGTAGCTTCTTTTATTTAATGCAAATGCATGTTTCATTTGATGTTAGGATTATTTGGCTTGATGAACTTTATTTTGGAGCTATAACATTCTAAGATGGAATCCAACACTATTTTTACAAAATAGCTATCAAATGAGGATTAATATACCTCATAGATAGATGAACAGTAATGTTCAGTGCATTTTATAAAAACAATCTATGTCACGAGGTTGCATATCATAAATAAATGTATAGGTATCAATCATGGGAATCATCAACATACTTTAAAGACTGCTATACATGTTGGTGGAGTTTCGGCCAATACGAGTGTAAAGAAACATATTTTAATGCAAGAGTTACTCATTACGCTGTCACTCAACTGCTGGATAAAGTACTATGACAAGTATTGTTTAGCTCAGTTGGTAGATGTTGATTGTGAACAGTCAAGTTTGAATTGAAACCATTGCTGATAGCAAAGCATTGAGAAACTGTCCACACATTGATTTATAAGATTAAGTATAAGCAAGTCTTTTTAATTACTTCAAAAAAAACAGAACTTCTTGAAGAGTTCAAACTCAGATGAATGATTATGATCTGTGATAAGCTACACCATACATATTTGTCCAGCTGACAAGCTGGTAAGTGGAGCTAAACAACAAGTCAATGCAAATTTGACGGCTCATATATAGCAGGCTTTGAATGTTTAAATACATATAAAACATCTCCAATCCATCATAGTTGTATAAGTCTTTTCTTCTTATTTGTGATGTGTTATAGAGCACCGATGAGAGTATGAACATTCTGCATCACCCTCCAGACTTCAAAGGACCTATCCTGTTCTCATTCAGTGCCAAAAACTTTTTCGGAAAGAAAAAAGCTTGTGTGAAAGTTGAAGGTGGAGAATGGTCGGACAGATTCTCTCTGGATACAGCTGGATCTTCAGGGGTCATCGCGTGCAAAACTGAAGGGGTCTTTTATCAGGTACAGATACGATAACATAATAATAATAACATTTATTCGCATCAATTACAAATTGTGAATAGATTGATATGCCACAAAAAGAAAATCTCTTTGTGTGTAGATAACATTCTAACACATAACTTACTCGTATAAAATGGTAGTTACAATAAATTCATTGGACTAAAATTTATATAATATAAATGTAACACATTAATTTTGTATAATGGATAAGATATTTATACGTTAGAGTTTTTAAATAACATCATGCTTATATCAACATTCAATAGCCACTCACATAAATCTATTTTTAATAATGATATTCGTTTTTTCCTAATACATTTTGGTAAATGATATAATTTTGGAACTAAATATATAAAAGAATTCAACATTATTTTCTTTTCCGGTGTTGCAATAATTATTTGTTTATTTTTATTTCTAGTAACATATTCATAATTCTTATAAATGATCGAATGAATATTTTTGTTCAATTCTAACATTATATCAAAATAATTTTTTTATTTCCCAAAGTATGATTCTATAAACACCGAGTTTAAGGAATATAATAAAGGTTTGTTATGCATTGTTGTTGTTTTACGAATAGTTTTTGTATTATTTGAAAAGAATTTAGATGGTTAAATATATACATAGAGTAGTAGGTATATCAATAGAACAAAATAAATGAATCTATTACCCGAAAACTCTTGTAAGAATAAGATCTAGATTGCCAAACAAAATTTATAATTTTGTAAAGTAATTGAGGAATAAATGAAATGTCATTTGTAAATGTTATGACTGACTCATAACATGTTCTTTAATATTTTTGTATGTTTTATTCAGTAAATTGATGTTGAGATACTTCAAAAACGTTTGCGTTTCTGCAACATAGGTAGCACTCGCCTTTTTTGAGGCTTAAGTAGTGCTGTAAAAGGTCAATAAACCCACAATATTTGTACGCTATGACAAAAGGTCCAAAAGTTTTAATTCTATCTGATATTTTAGATAGGCGTGAACAATCAACTGACATACAACAGTCTCACAAAGCAAGTTACTTTCACACCATTCTATGTGATAATCAATAATGCTCCATATACAATTGAGTGTCAAGAGAGTGATCGTCCTGCAGATCATTGGACTGTAGTCGGTCCGAAGTCGTGTACAGCCCTCTGGCCTAAGACGGTCAATGAGGACAAGCTGCTTAGGTTGAGGATTGATGGTACTGATGAGATTTCTGCACCGTTCTTATACACTGAGAGTCACAACACCCTTCTCAGATTGGACAATAAGGTCAGTATATAAATCGCAGTTATTTCCAATTTGTTCTTAAGAATATAGCTATATATATTTTGTCACCGTTTTTGGCGAGACACAGTAAAACTATGTCTCACTTGCACATTTCCATCTCCCTCACGCATGCACATACAATCCACTTTTGTGTGTTGACGTTTGAATAAGCTCACATACATGTTTTCTGTTGTGTCACCGTTTCGAAAAATTTTCCTGTAACAGATGAGCATTCCACAACTATGCATGTCACTTCCAGTGTGATAACAATCTTGTCATGGACGGTCGATATGAGTTTACTTTTTGTGTGGACGAATGAAAAATACGACCCTTATGCATGCAAGAGCAGTGTGCAATTTTCTTGAGTTAGGAAGATGAAGCTCCACCTATGATATACTTAGTAGATCTGTTTACTTATTATTTCGTATGGCATTCATATGAAACCGCCAAAAACAGTGAAAAGACCTATAATTATGTATTCTTATTAGAGTGACGCGAACACCAAACACACGCACACACTATTTCCCATTATACTTCGACACATTTCAATAAATAAACTCAAATAATGAAAATTAGGTTTTACCAATTATGTAGAATAATTTTTTAATCACTTAATTGACAAGAATTTTCTATAGAGCAGTTATTTACAACGTTAAGGGAAGCATAGCCCGAACCAGCTATCTTGCCTTATATGAAAGTAAATTAAAATACAGCGTTCCCTTTTGGTCTGCCTATTTTCAAAATTGCTTGAAAAACGTCCTTGAACTACATAAAGGAACTTTCAAATGTATATAACCATATGCAGTCCTAGAGCTACATGCACGCCTTATTTTCAAATATCAAAATTATGTTTTATTGTGCATTTTAGAAACAGCTCTTATTTTTAAAATCAAATTCAAGTTATGCATATTAAATATAAGTCAGTCACGATATTAGACAGAAATAAGATTTTTAAATTAATAGTGCCAAAATCACCACTTGTCAGTGATCCAATAGTTCAACATCGGAAACTTGTCCTGTGGTTTTTCATACTGATGAATCTTCATGTTTTCTGGACGTCAAATGAAACTACATTATGTTGGATTGACTTTTACTAACGTTTCGGCCATTTTGAACAAGACTGCCGAGGTGGCGGAAAGGTTAATAAACAGACAGTTCATAATAATTAAAAAATTTGCATTTGCCTTCCATTTTAATAAATAAACCATATTATACCTTGTGCGCATTTACTCAAGCCCCATCTATGTAATTTTGTCATATTTTAGTTCTAAGTCAGTTTTTAAAAATACAAATTGTAACATCTCAACTTAAGCGATTTTTAGGCGCCAAGGTTTTGACGTACCAGTAAATATAACCACATTGCAAAACTTCCTGCTACTCAAGTTTTATGCTCCCTCAAGGGTCCCCTTGAGGGCTCTCTCAAGCATCCACTTCGTCAATCGATTTTGAGGGTGTTACATGCCCAAAGCATATGTGTCGTTTCTAAATTCGGATCTAAATGATCATCTATTATTTGTTGTCATGTTTTGATGTGTCGAAGTATCGTCGGAATTAGTGTATTGACAGACTTGAGTAAAATAACTGTATACATCATTTTTTCAGTATGGTGGGATGAATGTGGATATACAACTGACAGAAGGCTCAGTGTACATTAATTTGGCACCTTATGATGTTGGTTCCGCCCCTGCGCTTTTGGTTAATCACACAAGTGTTCCTATATGCTATTGGGAAAAAGAGTCTGTTCAGAAGAGGATATTGCTACCAAAACATTCCATTTTATATACATGGGAGAATCCATCTGGTCCAAGGATAATTGCTTGGGATAGAGGTAATACTAATACCAAATTGCATACCTAGCATTTTTGTATCCTGAGCCGCATAGCTCTGAGAGATCAAAGATTTTACCGTAACCTATACGTAAATCAACAATGATGACGTTTCATAGTAATTTTTAGTAGTAGTAGTAGAAAGATTTATTTAGCACATTTGGCTACATAAACAGAACAATTGTAAACAACTTAGAACTAGTAAATTCAAGCCATATGGTGTATGATGTAAATGCTGGGCAACCTATAATTGTAGATTTAACAAGTGATTTCTCAATTTTACTTTAAATTTTGTCAAACTTTTCTGGTCTTTTATCTCCGAGTATAATTTATTATATTCAATCAACCCTTGATGGAATACAGATTTGTAGCATATGTTATACTTTTTGGTCATTAAATGGAAGTCATCTTTATTTCTGGTATTATGTAAATGATGGTCGACATTTGATGATGTTAAATTAGTTAGACTTGATGGAAATATATTATTTTTTACTTTATAAATGAATATCATTACAAGATATTTGATAAAAATTTTTACATTGAGCCATTTTAATTTGCTAAGCATTTGCCTAATTGGAGTATATTTATCTTTATTTAGTATTATTCTCATGCACTTATTTTGTAAAATTTGCAGTCTTTCAAAAATGGAATTATTTGCTAAATATAGAATAGTCGAACAGTACAAGAAATTTGGAAGAATGATGGTATTATAGATAATTTTTCTGCTATATGAACTCAGACATCCAGAAACTCTCGATAAATATCCCACTTTACTACTAATCTTATTTATAACTTTTTCATAATGAATATCAAAAATTAATCGAGAGTCAACAAAAACTCCCAGGTATTTAAAATTTTCTACGAATTCAATATCTTCACCATCAATATTCAGTTGAACATTTGTACATTGTTTTTTTCCGATTAACAAGGCTTTCGTTTTACTTGCATTTAATTTTAGTCTGTTAGATGCTAACCATTTTGAGACAAGCTTCAAGTCTTCATTTATATAAGAGATACCAGACTGAATATTTTTAGTACTTATATAAATCATAGTGTCATCGGCGAAAATTTGAATTTTGCATTTTTTGACTATGGCAGGTAAATCATTTATGTATAAAATAAAAAGAAGTGGTCCCAGGATACTGCCCTGTGGAACACCCAACGTATTTTCAATTTTTGATGAAATAGTGTCATTAACTTTTGTAACTTGCATCCTTTTAGACAAATAATTTCTAAACCAATCTAAAACACTTCCTGTTATACCATATGCCTTCAATTTACCTAACAAAATATCTCTATCAATCGTTTCAAATGCCCTCTTCCAATCCAAAAATACTGCTATGACAACTTCTTCTGAGTCTATGGCTCTTCTCCAATTCTCAGTTACCAACTGGAAAGCTGTTTCTGTGGAATATTTTTTTCGAAAGCCTGCTTGCGCCTCCACTAAAATTTTGTTTTCTTCTATAAACTGCATTAATTGGTCATGCACTATGGACTCTATAATTTTTCAATGTCTGGTAACACATTTACTGGTCTCATATCGCTGCATCTTTTAGAATTTTTTATTTTGGGAACTGGTGTTATTGTAGAGCATTTCAAATTTTCAGGGAAAGAACTGCTTCTCAGTGAACAATTGATCCAATTTAATACAGGATATCCCAAAATTTCGAAACAGTTTTTCAGCACGTTTTTAGTAGTCATTTCGGCACAGTTGTTATTTGATTTTAAACTGTTTACTTTTTTTCTTAGATAATTCAATGATACGCTGTGAAATTTTGAAAGTGTATGCAACATTTCCCCCTGGAAACTGATTTTCATATAGTCAGGTGCAGCATTGGCAGTACCTACAATATCAACAATACTTTCCACAAAATATTCATTTAGTTTGTTTGCAATCACCAAAGAATTTGTTTCGGTACCGTTTTCGAATTGAACTTGATTTACACAATCATGCGGCTTCGAATTGATCAGTCTTTTTAAAGTCTTCCACATCTTTACACTGTCGCACTTGTTATTATCGATTTGTTTATCGTAGAATTTTCTTTTTTCTTCTCTAATTACATATACACATTTATTCCTAAGAGTTTTATATACCTCCCAATCATCATTTGATTTTGTGAATATACATTTATTGTATTGTTTGTCTCTCAAATTTTGAGCTGCCTTAATATTCTTGTTATACCAGGGTGTATTTTTTGTCGAGCAAATCACTTTTTTATCAGTTGCAAGATCTAAACAAGTTTTTATATTTCCTATTATGTTGTCATATATTTTTTCTATATTCTCACCAAAATTCCAATAGCAGCCAGCAAGTTCTCGTTCAAGTTTTTCGTACTTAATAGTATTTACGATTTTCTTAATTTTTGTATCAGAAAAATGCCCTACCAAGGGCAGCATTGTCCAACTGTGATCGCTAACTTTAGGTGTATGTACAGCTTTAATCCCTGCACATTCGAAATTTACAATAACAAGATCTAACAAAGTCTCTGATAATGATGTTATTCTGGTACTCTCTTCAATTTTTTGCTTGAACCCATAGTTGTTTATGGTTTCTTTCAATTTTCTTGTTTTCATGCTTTTACCATAATAATTTAAATTAAAATCACCTAAAAGTATTATATTGTTTCTAAAATTCCACATTTCTTCGCATTTTTCTTCAAAAAACGTTAAAAATGTATCTGCATCACTGTTTGGTGAACGGTAAAAAGTACAAAGATCATAACGTTTCCCAAATAATTTGAACTGTATATGTGCATACCAGTATGCATAGTCTAAAGTGGTACAATCGAATAATGTGATCTGTATTTTGTGGTAAACATAAATCACTACACCTCCAGTATGTCTGGAGTTTTAGTTGCATCTGTACGTTTTATAATTAGTAATTTGTAATTCACCATCAGTGATGTCTTCTGTAGCATGTGTTTCGGTAAGACATAAAACAAGTGGTTTTCTCCATCTTAAAAACTGTTGAACTTCATCTATATTATTCAGGACTCCTTGTATGTTTAAATGGTATATTGAGTTATATTCATCACTTACAGATTTAGCCACGTCTTGCAAATCTGAGCTTAGTAGTTGCTATTCATTTGCATAATTAATTTTTTCCCTCTCACGTTCAATTTTCCTTTTATATACTTCACAATTTTTGTCAAATGGTCCATGATTAATAGGTAATCCTAGATTAAAATCCTGGTTTGCACTTTTACAATTTGGACAGCATTTGTACATTTCACTGGTACTACAGTTTTCTGTTGAATGTCCTTCTAATCCACAAGTAAGACATCTTCCTGATTTTGTGCAGTATTTAGCTGTGTGGTTAAATCCGGTACATTTATAGCATCGCAAAACATTGATGTACTCGAAAACAGAGCAAACAGACATATCGATAAAAATAACACCTTGATTCATAACACACTTAAAAGTCACAGCATCCACTTCTAAAATTGCTTGATATTTAGTTTTCATTTTCTTGACTGTAATTACTCTCATATGTGAATTTTCTTGAAAAGATTCATTTTGAGATTTTATAGTATTTATTAGCTCGTCTTCTGCATATTCTTGACAAAATCCAATAACTTTGATTTGTGGTTTTTTACTTATCTCTGAAGTTTTCACTGTATATGTTTCTGGCATTTTTGATTTTATTTCATTATGTAGCTTCACGTTATCATCTTTTGTTTTACATTGGATTTTCACCCCACCATCTTTCAATTCATAAACTTTTTCAATAGCAATTTTCAAACTGGTAGGATTCACAAATTTTGCGATGTCTTTCTTTGTGTTATTACACTCTTGTTGGTTATTAGGCTTAACAATGACTGTATTTGTGGGTTTTAATACTGGTGATTGTTTTTTTGCTGTACATGTTTGTAATGGTACGCACTGCTGCTTATATTCTACCATTTTTGTAGGCGAATTAACGGTTGAAGGCCCTGAAGCTTTAACCATATTAGCGTAAGTTTAAGTGCTTCTTGTGACGGCTGTTGCATTTTCCCAATTTTTTTTTTTAATTGGTATATCTTTTCGTACAATTCTTTTATTAATTTCTCTTGAATCGAAATGGTATAATCTTTTAGTTTCAAAACTTCCTCTGTACAAAATCCCTTTTCACTCAGTGAGACCACACTCTCCACTTCCTCACTAGCTCCATCCTTTTTAGAGTTTTCCTCCATATTCAAACTAAAAATTCAGGAATCTCCTAAAAACCTTTTTTAGCTTGACCTAATTTTTGACATTAGAAGTCAAAAAAGTATTTCCAGAATTAATTTTGTGCAATCTCTTCCGTGTGGGATCTGCAGCTGCAAACAGGTGTGGCGATATATATTTCGTTAATCTTCCCGGTGATCTTTGGTTGATATTTTTATGTGTGGTCTTTACCAATATTTCGTGTCTGTGTTGGAGCGAATAAAAAGAGCAAGTGTAGTAGTTAATATAGCAAACTAGTACAGAACATTTGAAACATACTACTATTGGTGTTGAACTGACAAACTCAAATGTATGCAACAGAAAGGAGATTTGGCCTGCGGATTGGTCCATTTCAGTTTATCGCTGTCATTTAAAGCCGTTCCCGAGTACTTTCCCAATTAGAGCCATCCAAATATGAAACAATACATGTTTGGGGTTGAATAATGGCACACCCTATATAATTGCAAATATCTTGGAAATGCTTCCCTGTGCACAACAATCCATAAACGGTTTTCTTTAACAAGTCTTAGTCTGGGAGCATATATCGTCCATGCACGGTTGGGCCACCCTATATAATTACCATAATGAATTACGATTTTTTTGTAATAAACGTTTACGAGTAACCGTTAACAAAGAGGATACTTCTTGAATTTTATTGGTCGGATCTTGATAATATTTTTAAAGATTTCATAGCAGTACGATCAAATAACTGCTATTTCAGTCAGCTAGAATGATTACGAGTGAAAGAAAAACGATACTAAATAACTATTTAGTTTTTGAGACAATTTTGTTTATTTGTGGGGGCTTTACTATGTCAGATTCAGTTAAAACAACAAAGCAAACGGGTTGTAGTTTTACTCTGAAGTCATTACGTTTCATGATATAACATAAAACGTAAGTAAAAGTTACATCAAAAATAGCATTTTTTTTTATTTTCTTTTAACTACTACCCTCCCTATATTTTATGTATTCGTCTTAGTTCAGGAATTACACATACATCATATTTGTGTTTAAGGCCACAAAAAAGAGATTTTCAATGACCTACGTAAAGATGGAGGTGGTGAATTCAGTCCTGAAGAAGACCTCAATATCTGCTGGGTTTCCTTCCTAGATGGAATGCAGAGGGTTCTGTTGTTTACAGAAAGCAGATCAATAGTCACTAGTGCACAAGTAACTAACATTCTCGAAGTGATTCAGCAGGAGATCAACATGTCAATACAAGGTGTTGGAATATCTTTTGTCAATAATGCTACCAGAAAGGAGATTATGTATATTGGAATCGCGAGTTCAGGTAAATAATATGGGTTAACTTAAAAGTGCTATTTTAGATAGTCGATGTTCAAATGACCCCGCAGAATTCTTATGAGGAACCAAAATACGTTTTTCGAGTTTTTTCTCGCATATCTCAAATTTTGTTTGAAAAAACATCAATCCGTGGCATAAACAAACTAGGCATAAATAAACTAGGTATCTATAAACAACTGGAGAATAATAGCATTCCAAATATGAAAATATACAGAAGGGTGTCATATTTGAATGTTTTAAGAACAATCAAATATACGTATTACTTCAACAACTACTCCAAGAAACTCACAAGTATGATGTAAGTCCATCCTTATATGTAAAAAATGTATAGATGTGTATCGAAAAAAGCAACTTTTAAATGTATTGCTACAGGGCCGGTGTAGGATAATCCTGAACTGTAAGTTGGTGTCTCGGAACAGTGTTATATCCATTCAAGCTTGGGCCACCCTGCACATGTAACAGAATTGAAGTGTTGCTGAACTGGCGAGCAGGGATAATGATAACGTGAATAAATATCGAACCGCTCTTATATATCCTGTACCGAACCTATAAGAGGGGAGAGACTGCTCAACTAATTTCGAAAATTACTTGTAGAAAACTTTTGGCCCATGGACACTTTCAATATAGCTTTCGCCCGTCCGACCAAAGACGGCCAATCAGGGACAGCTGTTTCGTGCTATTTTTCAACTCTTCAGCATGATGTAGGCTTGGTCTCTGTGGACAATGAACGAAAGCTGAGCAACTCTATTCAAAGTATAAGGTCTATCAAAATAAGAGAGCACTTGTGTTCCGCGTGTTGATATGTACAACATACAGCATTCTTAAAAAACTGACTGGAAGCGATTCCTTACAAGGTTTTTGAGTTGTCTTTTGATGAAAGTGTGCATCAATATATGGCAGTCAATCAAAAGCTTAATACATTAATTTGGCGTTGCTAGCAATCATTCACACTTCAATTGAGTATTTTCCAAAGCTTTTTAATTGACGGAATATCAATATTTTTCCTTCAAAAAGAATATTTTCAGTACTTTTCTTTTTTATACGAACAAGGGAAGGCAAAACCTGACCTTCAAATGGAAAAGTTTCATGAGCGAAAAAACGATGATACGGCGCACCATCCTTGAATGATGAATGTAAACAACTTTTCTGCTATTGAAAATGTTATTTTGTCTATATGAAAAATATCCTAATAAACTCAAGTATTCATCATTATATGTGTTTTGGGTTTAATAAAGTATTCTGTTGCAGGTGTGATTTGGGAGGTTTGTAAACATAATAGTACTAGGTACAAACAGCTCTCTACAAAGGAGTCCACACACATCGAAGTTGCGTATCAGGCATATCTCGTCAATTCACTTGACAGTGGCGATGAGGTAGAGCTAGGCAGAATAGCAGTGAGTCCAAAAATGGAAGTAGATTTCAAAACAGGTAAATATAGCAAACAGAAATTGATAACAATTTGGTTTAAAAAACTATGCCTTTGATTTTTTAATAAGAAATCTTAAAACAAAGGCTATTCATGCTAAAGAGTACTGCAGAGCTACAAAATGTTCCACAGTAGTTCCACAAATCGAAACGTGTCAACAAATATGTGCTGATATTAAAAATATCCCATATCGTCATGCGCCAGAATCGTATATCGTATTGCTTCGTAAGGATAGCTTTGGTATGTAACCAGAATGAACCAATCGATATAGCCGCTAATGGCCGTTACTACATTTCATCGGCTAAGAACTAAATGAATTTTAATCAAGTTCTGATAAGCTGCTTAATTCCAATATTCACTATTGCCAATAGCAAAAATTGAAGAAAGTCGACATTTAAATAGGGGCCAGAATGAGTTAGAGGGTCATGGAAAATAGTGTCTTTAAATGTGTATCAATTTCTATATTAGTTTTCTATATAAGTTTTCTTGTAGTAGGTAATATACTTGAATAGATTTTATTATACAATTTCATTTCAGGTCAGATGTTTAAGCCCCACAAAAGAAAATTGAGGCGAACGTACCAAACAGGGCTGTGGTTCCAAATGAAAACTAGTCCTAGTCAGATGCAATTACATGCCAAAGTTAACAAGTTGCAAATCGACAATCAGATGTTTGATTGCATTTTCCCTGTAGTTTTAGCTCCAGTACCTCCACCAAGAAGTGTTGCTATAGATAGTGGTAAGTTAACACATGTATTTTTTATATGTATGTGTGCGATTCTTGGGCCATTATAAGAAAAAATATGAATCTATATCCTAAACAGTTTTTTCATTATTATCACTCTAAATATTTATTATTATATATATTTATATATATAAATATTCTAATGTATTTTTTTTTATTTAAGCTAAATAGCTTAAAAATCTATGGTATGTTACTGGTTCTTCTCGTAAAAATAATTATAATGCTCATTCACTTAAGAGCGAATTTGAAATCTTGGTTTTCTTTATACAGGCTTAGGTTTTTGCATAAAAAATAAGAGATATATCGAGAAATACTAATTTATGCGAAAGCCGTAGTATGAAGAGAATGAGAATTGTTTGTTTGTTTAAGATTTCTTTAGCATGATTGCTACAATTACATTCTTCTAAAATACTAAACAATTACATAACATTAAGATATTTAGAAAAAAAATTTTTCACGCAAAAAATAGTAGCGCATTATATTATGTTTTCAAGATATTTAAGTCTCTAACCGCCTTAAGTATTTTACCTTAATTCAAAAACATCATCTATAATTACGAATAAAAAACTCATTGGAAAATAATTTTATCTGGGCCTAATAAACATTTTTAAAGTCAGATCTGACAAGATACGTCTTGATTTTCAGGTATCAAACCCTTCGTAGAAGTGAGTATAGTGCAGTTGTTGTTGAAAAACAGCCAGATAAAACAGTACAAGTACTTCAAAATATTGGTGCAAGAATTCCACGTAAAAGTTGACCTAGGATTTGTAAACGCGGTTCTCGAATTGTTGCAACAGGAAGAAACATCCGAAGAAGGAGAGGTAAATTGTAACATAATAATGCTATCATTAAAATTACTTAAAAAATATTTTAGAGTATTGTTTTAGTCGCTTGTCTCTTTTGTAGCAGATTTTGTAATTCCACACCAAAAATATAATAATATTTATTCACGTGGATTATAAATTGTGAATAAATTGATATGCCCCATTATATGTGTATATCATTCTAACACATAACATACTCGTATAACATAGTAGTTACAATAAATTGACTAGAAAAAATCTATATAATACAAATGTAAAACATTAATTTTGTATCGTAAGCAATACGGAAAAGATATTTATATGTTAGAGTTTTTTATAAATTACATCATGCTTATATCAGTATTCAATAGCCACTCGTATAAATTTATTTTTAATAATAATATTCGTTTTTTCTAGTATATTTTGGTAAGTTACGATATAAGTATATAAAAAATTTCAACAACATTTTCTTTTTTAGTGTTGCAATAATTATTTGTTTATTTTTATTTCTAGTATCTTATTCGCAATTCTTATAAATGGTCGAATGTTTGTTTTTATGAAATTCTTCTACCAAAATAATTTTTTTTATCAAAAAGTTTTGATTCTGTGATTAGCGATTTGGAGGGATATAATTAAGCTTTGTGATACATTGTTTTTATAAATAGTGTTTGTATTATTTGTAAAGAATTTAGATGGTTGTTATACGTGGATCCCCAGATGATAATTCATAGCTTATGTCGCATTCAACTAATGTTTCATATAAAATCTTTAATCGAGTTTCATTGAACATTTGACTGTAATATCTGAATTTATATAACAGAAATATGTTTCTTTTTAATATATTGGATATGTCCATCCCAACGAAGATGGGAGTCTAAAACAATTCCGAAATACTTATGATTTAGTTTACGCGATATATATGCGCTTTGGAGATTTGTTTTCTTTATATTTGGCTGATTATATAGCGGTAAATTATTTGTGTCATAGGTGAAGAGACCAAAATAGGTTTTTTTTATAATAGTTATAGTGCCATTAATTATACTTTATATATTTTGTCAAAGCAATATCAATTCCTACACACATTATAATCCTTAACAGTTGGGGCCTTGAGTTAATGAGCATTTGCTATTTTTTTTTAGAAAGAGCTCTTCCTGAAGGACATGACATTAGTAGATGAACCACTATATTCTCATGCTTCCTCAAAATCCATAGAGCAACAGAAGAATTTCTTCGATTTACTACACTTTTCACCCTTCAAAATCCACCTTAGTTTTTCCATGGCTGCTGGGTCTTCTGGACAAAATGCTTCCACACCTACGTTCTTGAATATATTATTGCAAGGAGTAGGAGTCACTTTGACAGATCTGCAAGATGTTATATTCAAGTAAGTTTTTATGTTTGATTACACCAGCATCATACATCTTATGGAGGAAAATACAACTAGCTATGTAACAAAATAGAGGGAAAATACAACTGACATTATGATCAGTGACAATTTGTTATTAATCATAACCTACAAGTGTTACGTCTGACACGTGTCGCATAGTGGGAAATGAGCGTAATTAATTCATATTGCTAAAAGATTTTTGAGATATAATTCGACTTGAAAAATGTGCTCTTAAGGGTTTTCATTGTACCATAATCACAAACTTTTGTCTTTTTAGAGTATTTTGACAAAGTATTGGTTCGGAAAACAATTTATAAAATTTTATCAATATAAAATTACTTAATTCAGAATTAATTATTAATTCAGAAAAAAGTATTTAATTCTCATTTATATCATTTGAAAATGCTTGATACACCGTGTCAAATACGATATCAAAAGTTCATATTAGTACTTTCGGTTTGTTGTAATAAGATTTTGAAGAAAAAGTGGTGGAACGTTCCTGCGATTTTGAAGAAAGAAAGTTATATAAAGTGCTTCCTCCCACTCGAACTCGGTAGTTTTTTATCATTAACCCTCCGCTAACTGCTCAAGATCATTATTGAAAAATTTCCATCTGCAAACTCACGAGAAAGTACCAAATTAATAAATGAACTAAATATTCTCAAAAATGTTCCCGACATAGTACCAACGAGGATGTGATGTACATATATATTACTATTAGACTTATATACTTGATTTCACTCAACTGTTATTAATAAACATTTCAATAAACCAACAAGCATCAAATCAAAAGAAAATTCAGTTTTATAAATTAATGCCGCTCCTCATATGAAATTTCTCACAGTGTGTCAGCGTGCTGGGCTGTCTTATGCTCAGCTAGTCTCGAAAAGCATCAGTGTAGATATGACAATCGTTAGATTTACACGTTTATTTAGGAATTTTACATAGTTTTTACAGTTTGTCCTAGTGAAATTTGCATTTAGCGATACAAAATACATCAGAACGTGAGAATCTATCACAACTGACACAGCGGCCGTACTTGTCAATTTTGCAAAGTACATTTAGACTATAAACGTGGTGCCAATATGGCTTTCTTCGTGGGACTAGTATTCAAAAGAAAAATAGAGGTATAATTGTGACATATCAAAATATTTTTTCCAGATTAGCTTATTTCGAACGGGACTACACGTTCCTGACGAGAAATCAACTAATCAGTGAAACTACTAGTCATTATGTAGGGCAGTTTGTTAAGCAGTTATATGTACTAGTATTGGGTCTCGACTTAATTGGTAATCCCTATGGCTTAGTAATTGGAATTACAAAAGGTGTTGAGGATTTGTTCTACGAACCTTTTCAGGTGAGAATATTTTCAAAATCTTCTATGCATGTTTAAATTTAGTTTTAAAAGTTTGTTTAATGCCCTGTTTTCACTAAAACAACTCAACGGCAACGCGACCTCAACTCGATTTTAGACTTTGGTTGCATTGTTTTTGCGTTATTTTCTCCGAAGCAACTGCCAGTGCCCGTCTCGTTTTGAGGTTGTGGATAATACTCTTACCTCTGACTATATAGTTACTAATAATTATCCGAATGTGAATGTACTGTTTTGGGTTCTTTATCGTCCTTATTGAAAAAAAAATTGTATCTTGGAAATAAAATCTATCCACATCAGTCATTGTGTGTGAAATGAACTGAATTATTTGAAAGGACACTAACACACGATACAAAAGTACTTTTCAAAAGTTTTTTTTTTGGGACTTGCATTGTATATACAATTTTTGAGGTCATGACGTTTCGATTGATGCGGTATCTTCAATTGCCTTCAGATGAACATATTCCTTCCGTGGCTATTTATACTCGCTCTGCGACTACTGTGCCGTAGATGACGTGGCCGATTGATGGTGATGACGTGTCTTGTTTGATTCCTTACTTGGTCGGTCCATCTGAAGCTTCTTGACTTTGTTGATCATCGGCTGTCATACTTCTTTTATTTCTACAATGGGATTACTTCATGCGTTGGCGTTTCTCATTCCTTGATAGACAAATATCGAAGCACAAGATCGTGTAATAAGCTTTGACACAGAAAACATCTACACCAACGTTTCCATGGAAGATGTTTCACCTATAATTGAGGAAACATTTCAGAAAGACCCAAAATCGAAGAAAGGATAAATCTTCAACTAGAAGGCATACGCATACGCCTTTTAAGTTTTGCATATGGAAATAAAACAACACGTTAGGTAGTTTTAAATGACATTATTGTTTTTCGAAGTATTCTCCACGAAGATTAATATACATCTGCATGCGCTCGAACCCATTTTCGAAGCACTTATTCCACTCGTTTGCTAGCAGATCCAAAACGGTATTTTTGAATGCGTCAACTGCTTCTTCTGGTGACTGGAACCTTTGACCACGCAGTCTGTTTTTAATTTTCGGGAAAGTAATGAAATCGTTAGGACTTAGATCGCGACTATATGGAGGATGGTCCAATAATTCCACGTTGTCTTCCGTTAAATACTGCCTTGTTTTTTTGGGCTGTGTGCGAGCTTGCATTGTCTTGGTGGAGGATGATTCTTCTTTCGGGGTTGATTTTTCGAAGCTCGGTGATGACTTTTGGCAAACAAATGGTGGTATACCAATCCGCAGTAACAGATCTTTGCTCATTAAGAGGAATTGTTGCAATATGACCCGCTTTTGACACAAATGTCGCGACCATCTTTTTCGAAACACTTCGAGAACGGATAACTTTTGTTGGCTTTTCTTCACCTTGGAACACTCAAACAGCCGACTGTCGTTTATTTTCTGGTTCATAACAATAAATCCACGATTCATCACCACTAACAATACTGTACACTTTTTTTGAATTTCCGGAATTGAAACGGTCAAGCGGTTTTTGACACCAATTAACCCTGGATGTTTTCTGCTCTTCAGTCAACAGGTGGGGTATCCAACGAGAAACTAATTTTTTTACTACTAATTCTTCATGTACATTTTTTTGAATTGAGGTCTTGGAGATCTTCAAGGACGCCTCGATCTCGCAATACGTCACATGTCTACCTCCAATGATGAGTTTGCGCACAGCATCGACGTTTTCCTGGGTGACTGCCGTTTTTGGTGCACCCACCCTGGGATCGTCGCTAAGACTCACCCGTCCACGTTTGAATTCTCCATACCAACGGGAAATTGTCGACTGATATGGCGCTTCGTTGCCGAAAACAGACAGTAACTCAGCATGGCATTCTTGTTGCGATAATTGTATCTGAAAGTTGTAATAAATTATTTCGCGAAAATGTTCTCGATTGAGTTCCATTTTTCTAATGGCGACTTGGTGACACTTAAAAATTCACTGTAGAGAGAACACTGCACGTATCGTTGTGAAACTTTGAATTTAAGTTTAGTAAAGAGTGAGGTTAAGCTTCAGCACTGACGTTCGATCCGCGCGGCCTACTATGTTTCTATATTATGTAAAACTTAAGAGACATCTCTCGTACTGGAACTACTACAATTCCGCTTGTAAAACAGCTTTCGAGAAAATGACGATTTCTACATTCAGGAAGATTGACTACCGATGGGATCACCATTGAGTTTGAGTCATTGGCAACAGCTGAAAGAAACCTAAAATTATAACTTTGATAGGTGGACGAGACATTTATAATCTGGAACTGTTTCGTTAATTGCGACCGTCCACTAATATGTTGTGTTGCCGTCTTTTGGGTTTGAACGCTACTATTTAAACGCATGTGCCTAGTCGTGTTGCGATTGTCAGTTGCTTATGATGAGAACAGTTCCATTCTGTTTACTGATTCGCGTGAGATACTATAAAATTGCTAAGGAGTTGGAAAAAACATGAATCCTCACTTCAGAAACAAAAGTATCTGCAAATACTGCTGAGTACAGCATTACAGAATTAGTAAATCTATTTATAATTTGGTTTCCACTTGACTTTATTTCACGTGCAGTAAGTGACAAAGTATCTTAACAACATTGTTTCTTTCAGGGTGCTATACAAGGCCCTGGCGAATTTGCCGAAGGTTTAGCTTTAGGCGTGAAAAGTCTGTTTGGTCATACTGTAGGAGGCACTGCAGGCGCTTTCAGCAGAATAACTGGTGCTATGGGAAAAGGCATAGCTGCTCTAACATTTGATGAAGACTTCCAAAGGAAGCGAAGGGAGGCTATCAACAAAAAACCAGCTACTGTCCAAGAGGGATTGGCACGAAGCGGTAAAGGATTGGTTATGGTACGATAAAGTTCATTGTTTTAAGTATCAGTATGATGCATGACCTCACACAAGGTGTTCTGAAAGTTGGAAGTTTCGTTTACAGGAACACATGCTTGAAATGAAAAAGTTGATGTTCGGTGAAACGGCAACGAAAAAGTTGAAAAAGAATTAACTGCTTACCCTTCATTTGTTACGAAATTTCAAGTACTCCCATGTTCATGATATTTATGAATACTCTTCGAAGTTGTCACCATTCGATTTCAAAAACACAAGTTTGTCGTTCGCTGTTTGTCATGTTCGGGGTAGTTTAGGCCTTCCATTGTGTCCATATCGATGGTCCTATAAACGTCATATCTCTTTGTAGGAGATAAAGACACACGCCGCGCATGATGAAAACGTCCCAGAAAATTATCTGAATACACTCGTGAAAGCTGAACAGCGTCTGGAAAACAGTCACACAAAAATTAACATCATATTGACTAATGCATCGCTGTAAGAGCGTGCAAATTTTGCTTTTTTTCGAATTCGTTTTGTAAACCAACAAAGTTTATCTACACAGTATCGAGGACCGTATCGTATCTGCTGAAGGCAGGGGCGGATTTGATATCGCAAATTGATTATCTAATATCTCTGTTAGTTTACGTCTTTGGTGTATGTGTTATAAGGAAAACTTATTTACAAGAATTATACGCCGTCTGAAATAAAGTTCTAACTTAAAAAATATCCTATACACTTTAAGTTATCGTTTGAATGTATGATGTGACGGTCCCTATATATCCACTATGCTTTCGAAGCATAAAACTATAGTGGCTTTTAGTTTTAAACCTCGCCGCTATTGACTGATGCAGTCGGGATTAGACCTTATACTTTGTTTCCTTACCCTGATAACTATTTATGCTTGTTACAACAATGTTTCAAAATATATTCAGTTGTGTTACTGAATTGTACAGCTTATGGTGCTATAAATGTTTTTTAGGGTGTGTATTCTGGGCTGACAGGTGTATTTACAAAACCAGTGACTGGTGCCAAAGAGCAAGGAGTGGAAGGTTTTTTCAAGGGATTAGGCAAAGGTGCAGTTGGCCTAGTTACGCGACCTGTTGCGGGAGTTGTTGATTTCGCAAGTGGATCATTGGAAGCTGTCAAAAGGTAATAAATATATTAACTGACAAGTTGGTAAAAAGTTTCGAGCTACGAGGATGTATACGTTTTGCTAGCGCTGGATAAGGTAATATTTCTTTGGTTATATTGTGGAGTGGTGATAATATTGCAAATCTCTTTGTCCTCTACAATGTATATGCCTCAACGCAACTAATAGAAACTTTTTAACAAGGAATAACTTTTTATTACCTTGAAAATAATTTTTTATTTATTTTGAATGCCTAGACACTAAACATCCAATGTGATTATTTTATACTGAACTATTAATCTTATAGCAGAGAAACGTTCAGGATTTTTTTTCACAAGTTCTATTAATTTGTCAATAAAATATTGCAAAAGAAACATGTATGATCATTGGACCATATATTTATGGGTTTTCGATTTGCTAGCGATTTTATACTTTTGATTTTGAAGCCAAAATCAAAACTGTTTTGTTGTATCCATTATCGATTCACGAAAAAAATCAATACCGTTTTAGAATTTGTACAATGTATGACCTTTTTAAATACCTAAACACCCGAAATGCATTGTGATAATTTCATACTGTCACAGCCATTTGATGCTGCACATGGTTTCTAACTTCTGTCAGGTATCAATCTTACAGTAGAGATAATTTTTCTCTCCAATTAATGTTAGCGGCCTGTTTACTTCACTTAGAAGGTATAATTTTGGAAGAATTAACCAATTAACATATATCACAAGCAAATATTTTAATTTTTCGGCCCATTTTCATATCAAGTTTACTTATCGTGTACGTGGTCTAGTCGCAGGTGAAAGGTGGTTGAAGATTTACAGGACACCCTGTATAATTGAAATTTTTTCCAGAGTAACTGAATCAGGTGAAGAGGCCACTCGTCTTCGTCCTCCCAGATTCCTCCATAACGATGGTCTAGTTAGGCCATACGACCGCCGTGAGGCAGAGGGCAACCGGTTGTTAATGGAAATCTCCAAGGGGAAATACGCTACCACTGACGTGTACGTGATGCATTACGTCATTGTTCCGGACAAGGAAATGGTACTGCTGTCGGATAGGAGGTTGGCGTATATTGTGAAAAATGATCTGTTTGGAGGCTGGCAGGTATGTGACAAATAGACTATTTTGAACTAAGATTATGTTCACAAAATATAAGCTGATACTGTTAATTAGAATCATGTAAGTAAAAATTGCTCATAATATTTTACAAATTTTGAATGAAATTCAACCGTATCCATGTTACTCGCCGATGCGTATTTGATTTCACTATTAATTTGACAAACATTCGGAAAATCAGAATAAAAATAAAATCTTGCTGGCTGATTCCTTCAGCCGAAAATAGGGAATCTAAAAGATTTAAATGCCCTTTCACTGTTATTTCTGCTATTAGAAATGAAATTTTGTCTAGATAGAGTATGCCCCATTCTGTTGCTGGTTTCTGAAAGCAGTGAGCGCTCTCTATCAGTATATGTTTCAATTTTTTTCAAGCTAAAGCACTTAGGCTTGTTTGGTTTTACAGGTGGAATGGTCGTACACCTGGGACGAAATCCCAGAACCCGCCAAAGTTGTAACCAAAGGGGTGTTAATAGCTACCTCAAAAGAGAAAAAGAAGCTGTTTGGCACTAATGGTAGCTCTAAACTCATACTACTTAATAATCCTGAACAAAAGGAGGACTTGTGTGTTAAAATTGAGTCTATGAGACGTCTTTCACAATAAATGCACTTAATTGTTAGCCACTTTACATTTTTACAGAGAATTTCTATTTTAATGCTATCAATAGAAATTGCGATCTAACAAATGTTGCAGAGTTGCTTTATTGATAATTTAAAGAGATACGAGTATATAGCTTTAGCTTGATGTACAAAAATGGAGTATTTGATGAATATTTTTAGAAATTGTCATGTACAAAAGTAACGTACTAGTTTCAGATATTCTTAAATATTTACTATCTTATCTCACCATCACACTTGTATAATTATTCCTTAATATTGCATCTTTACTGGTATTGTAAAAGGATTTACACGTTTTTTTGCTATGAGTATTTGCTATTTGTTGGTGAATAAAATATCTTTTGTTATTTGTTACATTTTATTTCCCACCCATTAAATAGATTCTTAAGGGCCGCGACATCTGTCCTGTACCCCCTTTTCCCTAGCTCGGCAAAAATTTATTGGAGAGGACATTTTTTAGAAAAATTAAATTATTCGTGTACACGGTTCTCCACAAGCTGGAATAGTTGAAACCTATGTTAAATATAAACTCAACCTGTATGTCTAATTTGTTGCAGCAGTTACGTAACTGGAAAGCTTGAGCAGTTTTGAAGATTTTTTTATGTTAATCACTACAAAGGCTTTAACTTTTGGGTACTATATCGCATTTACTCTTATGTACAAAGATGAGCCATCCAACTTGCACATACCTCTTGCATCTTCTGGCCTCCAAAAATACCGAATTGCAACGTTGCATTAGCACTGAAGACGGTCTAAAAAGCATGATTGATACTGGAAGGTAATGTCCGAGCAATAAATTATAGATAAAAGGTACCTCATTCTATAGAGGCGCGTGGCTTGGTTGTCTCCAGGCTATTGATGTTGATCAGGTGTAGGCTTAATTAAATTCCCAATATGGGGTGATTTTCAAAACAGATTACATCTTTATTTGTAATATATCTCCAGGCTTGTGAAAAGCAGAATATTTCTTTCAAATTTCAATATTCAGGGAGAAGCAGGTTGTTTGATTAATTCTGATATGGTAGGTTGGATGTTTGGTATTGAATAGACAAGCCGTAAGGCTACCCAACATAGTTACGTTTGGAAACTGAAAATTCTCATCTAAAATATAAATATGAAAAACGTTTAGTTTACGAAATTAGCGCTGGCTATTTATCCTTCTTGCAACTAATTTCATTAGCTCTGAAAAATATTTCACCAGTATTTAGTTTAACCACTTTCTGTGTCTATACAAAACTGCATTCTGGTCTACATGCTTCTTACTTTGTAGACATACTGGTAGGTTCAGCCACTTTAGACAGAAACCAAATATATAGAATTTTTGCTTTTCCAGAAATCCTCCCAATGCTAATACAAACAATTATGATCAGTTATGATTTGTTAATTTTATTCATCTGTGACTTCCTAGTTTAGTCCGATGACGGAAATTTGAAATGTGCCCATAAAAATGATTTGTAGGAGCCACTGTTGTGGTTGATTTCTCGATAGTAATTGTTTCCTGTAGATTGAGATATTGCTCAACCAGTGGTGTTATCCAGGAAAAGATCTGGGGGGAGACTCAAGATCCAGGGTGACACGAAAATTCCGACTCGGGTTGGGGAGGGGTGTCTTGGAAATATAAAACTGCATAGCAGAGGGGGGGGGACTCGCTTAGTCCAGGTAGCTACACTTCACAGAAGGTATAACATGCTGTAATATATAGAAGCGTAATGAGCTGATGGCGCTTGGGGAGGGTAGACTCCGAGGAGCCCCAAAGACCTCCCATGAATACGCCGGTGTGCCCATACCAGAATAGGAACAGAGGCGTGGGGTCTGTGGACCTAGCTCAAAGAGTTCCGCGCTTCTTTCTAATATCATTGGGATTGCTCCCAGCCAGCGGCGGCGACGAAGTAAATAAGAAATAAATAAGTCCTTGATTCAATTTACAAATTAATGCATTAATCAAAGAAACTATCATATTTTTAGTGATAAAATATTACCAGACATTTGAGAAACAAAATAGTATTTTAAATTTCAATAGGTATTAAGAGTAATCCATGTAATTTTTTCTTATGAATGTGGAAGTGGAACAACCAGCGGGTACGCTTATGCAGTCGGCGGCGCGGCACCTCAAAGACAAAAGCTGTATTTTGTGTTTTTGGCCCACAAAGAAATTGACAGTAGCTAGAAAAAAGTCATATTTTTCTATTTAACTCTTACGTTTAGTGGATTTAGCATGGATAATCAGTTGTTGTTTGAGTGTTCTGGAAAGCAATAGTGTTGTAGAAGAAAGAAAATGTCTCGACAACAAACAACCCCCCGTGAGAGACAAATGATCATCAAATGTTATGAGATGGGTATATCCAGCGCGGAGATAGCAGATCAGTTTGATATGTCGGTAAATTATACAATATACAGTCTTTTTGATCATAGTACACTTTCAGTGTATAGTATAGAAACATTGTATGTATATTGGAAATCTATTTTGAATAAAAATATGTATTTTTTACAGAATGCTACGTGGCCCGTATTAGATTTTTGTAAGAATGCTTTTTTTTTTTTTTTTTTTTTTTTTATTTATTTATTTAACCGCCGCATCGACCTACTGGCCATTAGCGGCGATGGTTATAGTGTCACAGTTTGTACAATAAGTTATTTTGTTTCAAGAAGCGAAGTAAGTTGTATACGTTACAATTTGGTCCTAAGATGTTTTCTAGAGTTAAGGATAAAATGTTACAGTCAACTCTATAAAAGTCTAGTAAAGGGCACTGCACCAGTGTCACTTCACATATTTCACACATAGGTTCTGCTCCTTGGGTGATGAGGTATTCATGTGTAGCTCTGGTATGTCCTAGACGGAGTCGGGTGATCAGGGTTTGATGTCTTCTGTTTGTTGTCACTGTAGTCCATGGTCCTAATTTAGGTTTCAGTTCGAGTAGCTTCGATGGATGGTTTTGCCAGTTGATATTCCAGTTTTCAATGAATTTATTTCTCAGAAAGACCTTGATGTCTGAAGCTGGAATGGTTACGTGTGATGGATCATTAAGGTTTCCTGCAATTTTTGCGTATTTGTCGGCTTTTTCGTTGCCTTTGATTCCTACGTGGGAAGGCGCCCATATGAAGACTTAAGAATGCTTTTGTTACTTTTGTTTATGGATTTATACAGAAACTGTTTTTTTTAGAATTCTAGACTGATTTATTACTTGTCTGTATTTTAAAGGATATTATCATTACCTGATTATACCAATGAGCTGACAGATTATAATTTATTGTTTGCGCAACCTACGTTTTTGGCTTGAATGCCAAATATTTAACCTACCATAGAAAAATTCATCTATCAATCTCTGTTTGGGGACCAGTTATTAAACAGACCGTTGGCAATGCGTAATCAGGGGAGCAGGAACACTTCGGTATGCGACCTGTCTTTATGTAGAGCGTCCCTCTTTTTTCCTCTAATTTATTGCCGATTTATTTCTTTCATCTCCTTTACCGCCTTCTGAGCAAAAGCTAAACATACACGGTAATGTTTACAGAAAGGACATACGATAAACAGGTTACAATAACAATAAGAGTTTTAAGCGTAGCAACTAGAATTCTTAGAGAAATTTTACATGGAGTACCCTTCAAAACACTTTAAGGAGTGTGTATATTTCGTATTTTCAAGTGTTGTGTTCTGAAGATTTAAAAATAGGAAAATTGATATATCATTATCTTAAAAATCGCCGCAAATCCTTCCACTTTCAAATCTGCCGTTGGTAATAAAGGAATCATGAACTTGAGCATTTTATATGCCAATTGCGTATGACGAGAGGTAAGAAATCAAAGGCCCTGGCTGGAATGAAGATTCTCAAACGCTGGGAGATTTTAGGTACGAATTCGCGTTGCGTATCGGCGGAGTGTGGGTAGAGACAGTTGATTATGATTTGTTCACCAAAATATTCATACAGATCATATTGTGGCGGAATCATGAATCTGAATATCCATAATAGTTAGTTAACCAGGCTGCTAAGCATATTATTAGCGTGTATGTCCAGCTTTATAGCCACGCTTCAACTGGTTAGATACACCCACTCACATGCCGGTATACAATAGGTTTTTTTAGTTTATGATTTACTGCCTGGAGGCGACCAAGATATCCAAATAAAGGGAAGAAAGGTTACAGAGGATGGTTCACCTGAATGGGTTCCCTACTTTTAATTTGATTGATTTCAACAGACTAATGCGTAGTTTGGCATGTCATAGAGTAATTGCGTTTATACAGGGTAATACATATTTATTTGTTCTGTCTAGACGATATATGATAAATAGCATTTTCTGGAAAATAGGTTTGAAAAAAAGTGCTTTAGCGTTCCAGACATTGGCGATAACCCCCCTGTCGTTCTGGTTTCCTTGACATTATGCAATATCAGTAACTAAGGCGTATTCTTTAATTCACCGGTTGAGCCACCGGTGCAACCAGTTATCCAATTTTACTTCCTTTAATTTCCGTCTGAACGACCGGTTGTACACCAAACCTGAATTAAAATTGGCTAACTATTTGCACCGGTAGCTCAACCGGTGAATTAAAGAATACGCCTCTACTATACTAATTCTAACAGAGGTTGGAATGGATTATTGTTCGGTCACAAGTTTGAAAATGAGTGTAAGAGCGCTAAACTTAGTAACCAGAAAAGAAAGCAGATTTTCCAAACTGTGTGCTTACATCCTAAAAGCTTTTTAAGTGTAGATGAAAACAATCACTTTGTTTTTTGAATGTTCGTATTTATTTTTCAGGGAACATGAATAATGTAGACTGAAGAGTATAAAATTAAATAAAAAAATGGAACATCACATCTATTTTCTCGCAATATACTTGAACGATCTACTTTGGAAATGTTTAGCAATAATCATTGACGCAGAATGCAAAACTAAATAACAAATTTGTATCCTATTTTCTTCTTTTTGGTACTACCCAATCATGAATCACAAAAATTTAATTCAACTTAAAACTAACAACTTTTTAGGAGAGCATAAAAGCACGGTGGGCCTTTGGGGTCGCTATCGAATGATCTTATAATCCTCCATGTTTGTCTAGTCGCAAATAAAACCTCATAAGCTAATAGTGCCGCCTACTGATGACATTCCGGCATTCACGGTGGCTTTTTTAAGCAAAGTTATTCTTTGCGTTTAGTGGTGTTACAACTTAGGCGACGATGTCTCAAATTCCAAATATGTTAGAATTACAATAGTCGCCTTTAGATCATTAGCGGAGCATCGAAATATTAGCATCCCACGTCCTGCTGGTTTCGCAACACGTAAAATAATCCAGTGTTCTGCGGTCAACTACCTTCAGGTGACCTTCATTCCTGGATGTTTACCTTCCTCCTGACTAGCTGCTATATCACAGACGTCACAGTTTAACTGCATGTAGGATTTGGTATATACCACAATGTAATTTCAGACACCTCGCCAAAAACTGTTTTAAGGACGGAGTGACGCTACTCTTCTATAGTCCATATCATTTCGCCACTACTTGCTTAACCACCTTAGGCGCTAATGCGACGTTGCAGTTCAGTATTTTGGGAGGCCAGAAGATGAAGGACGTATGTGCAACTTCGATGGCTAATTTTTGTACTTTTCTGCAAAAATGAAAGATTTTTTTTTGCAATAACCAATAAACTGGTGTAACGAACTGGAGAAACCCATTAGATTTCATTTTGAAGGTATTTTCATTCCTTTCTCAGTTGTTCCACAGACATAACTTTAAAGTTTGATAAAAAAGTTACCCAGAATTTTTTATTTGGAGATTGAGTGCCTTATCATTCACTCTAAAGAATATATAAATCCTTCAAACACAACCCTGTTGTAAAATTATTTTACAACAGGGTTCACATTTGGCTACTTAGCTTGATCAAAGAAGTTTTATGACATTTCTAGATCAGCAATTTCCCGATTTTTCAATGCACATTCCACTCCACATATTCTCGAATTGCTCACCTCATGCTGTGCAAAAGTGACTGGATGATAAAAAATTGAAAGACTAGTTTAGCCGGACTCCACAATCCTTGAAATAAACTATATTGACTACATCTTATTTCAACAAAGTTTGACTTCTGAATTTTATCTCCTCTAAGAAAATTTTTGATTGCGTTCAAAATCATCAGAAATGAAAAAAAAGATACGGAGATTTTTTGGTCATAATACTGGTACCATTAAACAGGCCTTTTAAAATTTCTTCAAAATCCATTGATATTTTCCAAGTTATAGAAGGACCAATGATGATCCGTTTTTTTACGGTTACTCTATCGTAACAGGGCCGATTAAAAAAAACTATAAATAATTTTACTGTAATAGAGGGCCAAGAATTACCTGACGTACGCCACAAAAAATGTACCTATGTTATATCTGAAAATTATTCTTCCATTTGAAGTTTTCTCGCGATTACAGTACCTCCCTGGCCTATTAACTTGACTGAAAAAATGAGCAACTTGTTTGAATATTGAGGGATATGTAGGTATATATAGGTATATAAAATTTGCAGTATATATTATTATCATAATTACCTCAAGTGTTACTTTCAAGTCTTGCAAGCGAGTAAATTATTACTTAAAAAAGCATCTCAAGCAATATTTGCTTGGATGTTTCAAAAAAAGTAATCCCAGTAGTTTTCCATATCCATATGAATAGTCAAATCATCGTGGAAGACTCTATATAAATGGATAAAATAATGAAATACAAACAGAAACAAGCATAGTTAAGTAACGGTTTGTTCGTACAGTGGTCGGTGACTTGTCGGCAACAGGGTCTGGGATGCAACCTTGTGAATTCTGTCTATATGGCGTAGCAGACTGTACGGAAATTATGTGGCGAGATTTTGGACACGATCACTAACATGTTGGCGACAGCCGTACGAACAAGGCTTAAATATGATTTGTCGAACTTCCACCAAAATTTTGGTTCATGGTGCCCCCTTCCGTTTTGAGCTGGGTACGCCCTTGAGTTGGAAGATGTTATAGATGAGGGTTTCCCAACCTTTTTTTTGTTGAGGCTCCCCGGACTATAAATTATATTTTAATGCCCCTTTACTTTTTCAATAAATACAAAAAACGCACATTATATAGGTACACAGTCTTTTATTTTAATTCTAATAAAGAAACTTTAAAAGTATAAATAAACTAATAAATATTTTTTATCGAAAAACTTGAATAAAATAAGAGTAGGTACTAATGAGACACTTGAGATTGCATGTTCTGTACCAGTTGGTTGATTCTAGGTTCTGTTTCTGCCAGAGCTATCATCAGGTCGCTATCGACACCAAGACGATTTCGCTGTTCAGTTTTAATTAATACTAGAGCAGAAAAGCCTGTCTCACATTAGTAAGTTGAAGAAAAAGGAACTAGTATTCATAAAGCAAAAGAGGCAAGAGTCGAATTAACAGGCAATCTTTTGATCCAAAACTTCTCCAATGTTAAAAGATGGAAGTCCCCTTTCATGGACGAATCAGCCTTTGTTTCTAGAAATTCTTCCTCAACTTCTTCTGGTAATGTGACACATCGACAACAAATGGATTTCTTGTCATGTGCCATATTGGTGACTCTGACTTGATGTCTCGATAGTATCGGTGAAATTTGTCTACCAGCGCTTGCAAATGAGTTCTGGCGTCAGCTTTTAAATTTGCGTCCACTATGTTATTTTTAATTGCTTCTAACAGCCGACAAAAAGATATAATATTTTCAGGAGACACTTTTTGATTCCTAAGTTGAAGCTTTGATATGAACCCCTGAATATAATCATAATCGCTTATTATAGTGTTGTTTCTGCCCTGAAGTTTCAAGTTTAGCTCATTCAAGGAGTCAAATATGTCAGTTAAATAAGCCAACCTCCATTGAAATGTGTCATCTTTGAACATTGTCAAGAAATCGTGTTTTTCTCTGAACTCAAGAAAAAGAATTACCTCTTCTTTCAATTCATAAAGGCCAGCCAACATGTTGGCTTTGGACAGCCAGCGTACTTCTGTATGGAACAGAAGTACTTTGTGATCAGAATTGGGATCCTCGCAAAGTAAAGTAAATAACCGACTGTTCAAAGCGCTGCTCTTGATGTAGTTTACAATCCATATAGCCGAGTCCAAAGTCTGGCGTATTTTCTGTAGCAATGTTTTGGAAGCAATGTGTACTAACCTTTGCGCGATTTTTTTCCTTTAGCTTTTTAGTTAAGCCCTATCAAGGCAGGTGCGCCATCTGTGCAAAGTCCAATGAGTTTCTTCCAATGCAGATCATTTTTTTCAACAAAATTTGATATTGAATTAAATATATCTTCAGTTGTAGTACCTGCTGTCATAAACTACATAAACTATTAACTGTGCACAATTAACGATGTCGGTGGATTCATCGCAACTAATGGCAAAAAATTGCGATAATTTTACTTTGTTAATTATTTGTGACTTTATGTCTGCTGCAATGTCATCGATTCTAGGCTTGACTGTTCTATTGCTCTGCATCTTCTACTAAAATTATGTGCGTGGCTTTTAGGACACATGGTTTTATTAATTCTTCACCGATAGTATGAGGTTTCTTTTGCTTTGCTATACACCTGTGTGATAACTTCCCGATTTATCCAGTCTCATCCGCTTGAGTGATCCTGCTTTTGAAGAAAAAAACTCTTTCGTCTTCAAAACCACAGTAGGATGTTGTTGCTTCAAATGCCTTTCAAGGCGATTGGGCCTCATGCTAACATTGCTTAAAACTTTCATACATATCACACACAGGCAATTGTTCGTCTTTTTCTATGAAGGTAAATCCAAACTTTACGTAATCTTCGGAAAACTTTATTTTTTCGCTGCCATTTTGCACCTATAACAATAAAACAAATAGGTAATAAATAAATAAGCAAAATACCTACATTTAATTACTAATTATATGCCCACTGTTTTATCTTAATAATGTAATGTATTGAACAGTATATTTGCCACCGGGAGATTTAAATTTTTGTAGGCAGGTTGACGTTATAATAGTAATTTTAAATACATTTGGAATCAATATTAGGTACTTCAAGTTCGTTGTTTCAAAATTATTTCGCCACGTTGGTTTGATTGTGATATGGTAAAAAAGTCCCAATGGCCGATCTATGAACGCGTTTCCACTCAATCAACAATTTAGTAAATTAAAGAAAAATGGCAACTGAGGTTGTAAATACACAAACTTACCTTTTAACAGTGAGACACACTAATTTGACACTCAAACAGATTTCTCAACAAAACATGTACGTCGAAACGTCAAATTTTTCGCAAGTTTGTGGGAATGAATGTCACAGATGCTCATCCGCGTTTGGTAGGTACACAATTGTTTTCCAAGTGATAAATGTTAAGCGGAACGCGGCGAGGGTGCGCAAGGGATTTCATGTTGTGACTTGTCGAAACTTGTATAAACTGCGATTGCGAACGCCGGGTTATGAAACAGCCCCCCTGGTTGGGAACTCCTGTTATAGATGGTCAACTACATTTTGTGACGTGTTGAAATCAAGTTGGCAAGTTAATTTGGCAAACAGTTAGAATGGAAGTAGTCTGGTGAAATTAGCTTTGCAAGTTTATTGTGCAAGCACCTTAAACTCAAGTTGCCGTCGTCCAAGAATAGTACTTACCAAACTTGCGAAGTTAATTTTACCAGAGTATGTCCATTAATCCACCGACGACTTCAACTATTCGCTACTCCAGTTCGAGATGTTTGCCAAATAATTTTGCGAAGTCAAGTTCCTCAGAGAATATCCGATAATTTTCCTGGTAGCATCTACTCAGTTCGAGGTAATTGTCAAAGAAGCTTGAGAAATTAATTTCAATTATATCTATCGTTAATCACATAGAGTGCAGTGGTCAGGGCTCCTGACTTCTCAGATTTAGTAGTAGAGATATTAGAAAGATTAATTTACAACAAATTGCTACATAAACAATTAGAACTAATGCATAACATAATAATAAATTCTTTCAGCCTATTTTTTCGTTTTATATCTGAAGCTATAATTTATTGAGATCCATTATAGACCTTGATGGAAAACAGACTTTGTACATACTGCGTTATTTGCTATTAAATGGAGATCATGCTTTTGTCTGGTATGTTATGATACCATTTTTATAAACGATAGTCCGTCATTTACAGCTGTTATTGTAGGTAGATATCAAACAATAAATTATTTTTAATTTTCTAAGTAAGAATCATGCCTAGACATTTAATGAAAATTTTAATGTTAAGCCGTTTCAACGTATGAGCATTTGATTGATTGGTGCGTATTTATTTTTATTTGGTATTATTACATTTATTTTGTAAAATCCATAATCTTTGGAAAACGGAATCATTAGCCAGATAAAAAAAATGCGCTATATAAAAATGTTTGCAGAACAATTGTATTATAAATGATTGTCTTACTGTGAAGAGTTAAACTCTCGGAAATACGTGATAGATATCCCTATTTTACTACTAACTCTACTCGCAATTTTTTCATAATTTAATACAAAATTCAACCTATTGTCGACAAATATGCCAAGGTATTTGAAAGAATCTACAAAATCAATGTTTTTGCCACTAATATTTTTGTAATATAATTTTTCCAATACTCTTTTGTTTGTGTTCCATTTCAATTTATTAGATGTATTCAATTCAATTTCAATTTATTCAGATACATGTTTCAAATCATTATTAATGATATGTGATATGCCACTGTATTTATCTTTAATCAGAGGACTGTGTATATGCCTATCTAGAAAGTTGTACCTAAGAACAATGTTTAACCTTATATTGCTTGACAGCATGTAAGCAAGTATATACTAAGTGATATAGCAAATTCACCACCGACTATGAGTGCTGTAATTATGAGTATACTTTTACAAGTTTTAGTTCTACTGATAAATAGAAAGTGACCAAAATTTAAACTAGTAATTTGGTGGTGTATTTTGCAACGTTCTTCTGATCATGTCCCATACATGTTCAATGGGGTAAAGGTCGGAGACCGAGGAGGCCACTGAAGCCGATTTACTCTGGGCGCTTCTAAAAAGTATAAACCAACACGTGCGACATGAGGTCGTGCAATGTCCTGTTGAAAAATAAATCTTTCAATATTTGCAAAAAGGGAAGCAGATGTGGTTGTAAAACTTCGTGGATATAGCGCTGGGCAGTCATGCTACTAATGAACACTAATAGCGAGCTGCTGCCGTAAGCAATAGCACCCCATACCATAACACCCTCGGTGCGATGAACATACCGTTCCTCCTTTCTCTTGCACGGCCATTATGTGTGCCCCAAACAGAATCTGGACTCATCGCTGAACACGACTGAGTTCTATTCCATATTCCATTCAAGTCTCTCCCTACTCCATACCAATCGTTGCCAACGATGCGGTGGGGTCAGAGATAGTACAAGATGGGGACGGTATGAAAACACTCCAAAAGACCTTATTCGGCGATAAACTGTCCTCATTGCTAATGCACTTCCGACTGCATCAAACCACTTGTTCGCAACTGCCCTTGTTGTGGAAAATCGATCTCTAAGTGCTAGTTTCCTCAAATAACGATCCTGCCGCTCTGCAGTCTGTCTTTGACGTCCTCGTCGATTTCGGCCTTCTTGGAATCATGCTCGACAAGATATCATTACAGTAGCTTCGTTTGTCGAGTGAAATTAGCGCGTCTGCGAACTCTAGGCATGATAATGCAATGAAACGATAATGAAACAAATGCTGATATGACAAAAAAGCCTTTCCAAAAAAGTACGGTTCGGAATGCCTTCAACATTTTATCAGCGTATACTTCCATGATAGCAAATATGTTTACAAGTTTTTATCAAAATTCAATAAATAATTCTGGGTGTTGCACTTTATATGTCACCTTGTATATTTAACAAACATCCCGACTGTCGATATCTCTGACCAAAGTTATCTTACTGTTTCTCACATTCAAAACTATCATTAAATAACACTTTTAGATAGTTAACTTTCAGTTAACAGTAAAATCATACTTAACCTGCGATTGAAAAAGTTGCCCATGCACGATTCCCTGGTTTTAAGGCCACCATGACTTAAGAATGCTTTTTGCGATTTTCGGTTAATAGTAAAATCATAGTTGACCTGTGATTAAAAAACAGCCCAAATGGAGGTTCGATAAAAATGAACTACTTTTATAACAATTTACTGTAATTCATATTTTCAACAAATTATGCCATATAAATAAATGTATTAATATCATCATCATCTCTCTTCATGTATTTTTGTTCGATCAACCACTCCAACTGTTCCTTGATCATTTTCTTTGAAGGTAAAAACATATTTTTCAAAATATCCACCAGCTCCGCTTGCAGTGCAACGTTAGTAATCTTTTTCCTCATCTTTAGTATCTTTATTATAGCTTCCTGAGTCCTGAGAATTCGTAATTGTACTATAGACTGGTTATCTTCGATCTGAGAACGTTCTGTACTCAACTGCAACCTCCCGATCAGGTTCACCTGTTGAATAAGTACAAAATAGTTTGTCTATGTTCACGAGTGTAAAGTATTTCTCACAAAACTACATCAAAAGCTGTAAAGTGACACATAATATCTGTAACTAGAAACTAGGATCTTGCGTAAAAATGATGTAGAAAATAACTGCTAAAGCGCTAGTATCGCACTTCTATACAGAGGAAAATACAATTGGCTATCTGACTAAAGGGCAGCGAAAATGTAACATATCGAGTGCATTCAGCTGACGTAAGGTATTCATTGCCTTCAGCGAATGTGATGACAATAATCTACAAATATTGCAGAATGCTCAGCTGTTCATGATAATAGCCATATTCTAGCAATTATATTCGAATGGTTTTCAGTCATCAAATTCAGTTGACCAAACGAATTGTCAAAAAATGTCACTCAGATATAAGAATCCAAATAATTTGGAAGACTGTTTCCAACAGTCGACAAGCATAAAAAATTCGTAGCCAGAACACGTCTAAAGCAGTAATGTAGATCTGACAATCTGTGTTGAATTGACCCTTATTATACCACATTATCAATTGCGTTTTCCTCGATAAAGGAGGGCGATACTAGTGCTTTGACTACTATTGTACAGGGTCAGTAGAAATAACTAGTGAATAGTAACTGTAATATATCCGACACCGCCACGTTGTCTCCAGCCAAATACGTCAAAGCAGATACAAGCTACGTCAGCTTTTGTCTGCTTCTTCGAAGTACAGCTACAGCTTGAATGTTTATGGAGATAAGTGACAAGTGGTGCCTTCTTATACCAAACAAAAACGTCTGAGACACAGCAAATGTTAGTAAATAGTGGAATTCTGCCCTAACAGAGTTCACTTTGTTATCCGGGTTGCAACGACCACAGACGTATATTTTCTGTGCCCAAAACTGAGAATTTATCTTATCCGTGTTTGTAATGGGCATTTCACAATACTGTGATTTTTTTTTATGGATACTTGTTCAGTCAACAATAACGTGATTTATCATTATTAGCACTACAACATTCGGCGAAAAATTCCGATGGCACTGTTGTGTAGTCTTTTTTGTGCTGGATAATGCACGTAACGTGCTGCCCTATCTTCTAGTTCCGTATCCAAATTAGTATTGAATGAATTGATAGTTGACTGTTTCTTCACTAAGCGAGTTCCACGAGAATATCACACGATTTGAAATGAAATTTCTCCTTATCAACTCATATTTAATATTTGAAGGGTACATGAATAGCAGCCAGTGATGACCTTGAATGTCTCGTAATCTTCGCTCAGCCTGTGTTGTCAAATGCATAGCCACTTTGCATAGCACTTTGTTCATATGGCAAAAAATGTCGATTCTCCGGTAGTTCGACGTCTTTGACGGAATAGGAGCTCCATATGCTATCTGCATGTTCAAGTTTTTGTCGAATGTACACCTTGTATAGGTTTTCTTTTTTTGGTAATGTGAGCTTCCCAGTTTAAATTATGTGCTATTATAACTCCTAGGTCTTTCAGGTACTGTAATTTTTTTATTTATGGTGGATTCATGTCAACTTACTTCAAATGTGTCTTGGTCGTACCTTAAAGCAGTACCAATGAGGTGTGAGTTGTGTTTTGCACTTTAATTACATTACTCACATCTTACTGATTCTCGCTTAATTAGTTAGTAACAATGACATTATTAGTTATCTTAAAAAATACATACCTTGCCTCTCTTCTGAGGTTTGCCGTTTTTAACAAGGGCGAAGTCTTGATGCACCCAAAACACTGTATGTTCTGTGAAATCTTTTGGTGCACTAACAGTCGGTGAAAATAACAACAACTGACGTTTTAGTTTTGGGAACGCCACTAACGACCATAGCGTTCTACGTAACTCGCCGTCCGGTAACTCGGTGGCTAACCTAAAACAAATAATTATACTATAGTAACAATTCAATAATATCTAATACAAGTCCATACCAAGTTTTCAATCCAACCAAACAGCCAGCATTTCCATTGTGAGTATTGGAAAAATTTGAATAGGATACTAAGCTGTAACGGTTCTAATAGAATAAAATCCCATGACTGCCAGACATTACTTATTCTCTCAAAGACAAAACGTGGGGCATTGAGTAGCGGTCCGATTTGCTGGTACCAGGTGAGAAAGGTTAAGTAAAAATAAAGCTAACTTTATTTGGCTGATTTTTATATATACTTTATAAAACATTATTACAGAGTAATAGTCACAACTGTCAGATAATTGCTGCCGGCCATAACTTCTGCCAGACACTTTAAACCTCTCTACTTGTTTGTATGACGGTTTACAGAAATGATACATTTTCATGCTGTTTTTTGTATACAAGTTTCAAAACAATTCTATCAAATACAGTTGTATAAAAAATAGACACGTCAAAAGATTTGTCAAGGGGGACAACTTTTAAACCAAAAACAACTTCACCCTCGGCCCACCAGGATCATTCCGTTAAAAATTTTAAATGAGAAAAGGTATCGAGAGTTATGTAGTCGGAACTTCAAACTTCGTTTTTAAAAAACTTTATTTGGTTCCAACAATAGTTTACATGGACTGAACCGGATTTACAGTGTGTGTGTTCGCTGTGACTGAGGTTGAATGACTGACTCATAATTAAGATACAATCGTTAATATAAACCAAAAGTGATGAGCTAGTAAAAAGGAATACAATGCAATTATTATATCAATTAATAAAGTGTTGAATGACAGCAACATAACTCTTCCACCCTTAAGAAGAAGTTTTGGAGGGCACAATCAAAACTTCGTGCCTCTGGGGTTGCATTTCGATTTCTTCTAAATGTTGGCTTCTTCTTGATCCTTTTCTTCTCTGGTAATACTTTTTCACGAAGATGCATGCAATTCCAATTAACATAATTGCATACAGAGGTAGACTCCATTTGTAGAGGTGTTTCACTGTTTCGGAAAGATCTACCTGGATTTGGTCGGCTCGTTCTTGCAAGTGATGAAGTTTATCTAAGGAAATATGTACTAACTTGATTTCCTTTGGATTTTCTGTTTTTGATGAAATGTGGACCTCTGGAAGCAACAGCGGCTTTTCCATAGTTGTTCCTTTTTGATTTTTGTAAATGTAGTCCTTCGTTTGTATGCTGCATTGGTAAGGCACTTCAAGTAGGTAAATGCCTTTTAACTCTATGACGTCATCTTGTGCACACTTGATTATCAGCTTTTCAGGTTTCGGAAAAATAGCAATGTATTTGGACTCTGAAACTTCTTCAATTAAGGCTATTTTAAGAGTTACGGGAATTTTGTTACAATTTGGCTGCTTTTTGTTTACTTGTAAAATATCAAAAAGACAATCGTCTTCTTCTTCTGCTACATGGACCAATTTGTTTTCGTGGCAAATAAAAATATCTTCTATCTTTTGACATGGTTCAGCATCATATTGGTACATTTTGGTACTCATTGTGAAATTTGAACAAATGAAATTTTATAGGCTCACTAACATTGAGTTCTGAGAAGGCAGGAATTTTAGCACAATAGTCTCTCTTCGAATGCTGAAAAACTGAAGTTACTTCGAATGGTTCTTTATAAATACATTTTGGAAAATGCAATTGTGCAAGATCAGGATTTAAAAATGATTTCGTTGCACCAGTATCAATAAGAAGCTTTAAAGGCGGATTTTTAATTTCAATATAAGGTAACTCTGTTTTGTCATAAATCGTGTTTAAGTATATTATGTCTCCTCTATCATGGGCAGGGCCATCTGAAAATTTTGTTTTTCTTCATCAGGATTTTGACCAGTTTCAGAAACATCATTTTGTGTCTCATCAGGGTTTTCGTAATATAGATCAGAACAGTCATACTGATTTTCACTATCCTGACAATATTCCGAGTAATAGTCATCGTAAGGGTTGTTTCCAAAATTTTGATCATAAGGATCGCTCTCAACGTTATGTAATTCTTGAGAAGCAAAGTTCCTTGGGCCAGAAGGTCTAAAAGAATTATTTTGGAAATTCGTCTTTGTATTGATGCTAATAACACCACTCATAGGAGTAGGCCTGTAGGAAGGTCCTTGGTTAGGCGAATTACGCCAAACATTAACATTAGGTCTATTGCCAAAAACTTGTGCGTTTGTTGGAAATTTTTGTGGAAGAGGATTTTGTCTAGGTTGAATCGGAACTGGTCCTCTTGGGAATTGAGGCTGATAATTGAAATTTTGCTGAGGCCTAAATTGATTCATAGGCTGCATTTGAGGCTTAAATAAATTTTGAAAATGTGGTTTGGATGGAAGAGCAGGCTGAGGTGGCTTATTGAAATTTGAATGTGCACCAGCCTTTTGTAAATATCTAATGTTATTATCTTCTAAAACATAAGCTTGAGCTTCTGCCAAATGTTTAGGTTTCATCGAACGAATCATGGAACTTTGTGGCTCCTTTAAACCTACTAAAAGTGTATGCAATGCATGACTATCATACAGTGCCTTTTTACTAGTTTTAATAGCATCATCTGTTTCATGAATATTTATATAGTTATGTAAATGATTCAGCTTGGTTACAACTCTAGAATAAAACTGTCAAGAACTTTCACTAGAATTTTGTCTAAGGGCAGTCATATCGGAGATAAGACTACTCTCGTTTCTTTGATCACCAAAATGAGCAATTAGCAAATTTTTTATGCTGTTCCAGTCTGTGGTACCGCTAAGAGAAAATACTTGCTCTGCCGCACCAGTCAATTTCGAGAAAATGCCATGCAGCAGTATTTTGTTTTGGACACATCCAGTATCCTCAGTGTTCCAATAGTTATTTAATAAATCTGTATTTATTGTTATACCTGTTTAGTTATTTGTTCATAAGGGAAATTGCTGTCAGTTACCTTTGTGACAAGCTTGTGATAGTGGAAATTAATTTATTGATTTAGATTTTACTTCCAAATGTGCTCGGCAAACCTCAGTCACGTTGAACGCCAGACATCCGGGGAAGATAACTTCGCATAGGTATGTTTTCAATCTTGTTAATAAATTTATTCGAACTGGATCTGTTGCCAATAAAAAACGTGATCATCGGAGAGTTTTTGATGAAGACGCTCAAGTTGAAGTTTTGGGTCATTTTGGAATAAATCCTAATACTTCATTATGCAAAATTGTTGCTACGACTGGTATTTCATTAAGCTCTGTACACAGTCACTAAACTCAATAAATTTCATCCATCCAAAGTGAAAATATTGCAAGAGTTAACCGAAGATGATTTCAATAGGCGAGTTGAGTGTTGTGAATAAATGACTGCCACGATTAATGATAATACCATTCATGTAAAGTATATCTGCTTCAGTGATGAATGCACATTTTATCTAAATGGATTTGTTAATAAGTATAACTGCAGGTATTGTAGCAATGAAAATCATCATGCTTTTGTAGAAGGGCATACCCAGTACCGCCAAAAAATTAATGTATGGGCAGGCATTTTAGGAAACAAATCGAAGAGGATGGAAACCCTATACTTGATGAGGCCTGAAATATATAAGTCGGCGCTCCTCCTCACTATGTTCTTCCGGTTAGGCAATGGCTGGACGACGAGTTTCCAGATAAATGGATAGGGTAAAGAACTATAGAATGACCTGCTAGATCTCCCATTAGTCTATTTGGCCATTTGAAATCTATTGTGTTTACTCCCCAACCTGAAAGTTTCAATGACCTTCGTCAAAGCATCATCGAAAGCTGCCATGATATCCCACATGTTTTTAAATGTCCGTCAGGAATTTGAACATCGCCTATATCATTGTTTGTCCAATAACGGGCAAAATTTTGAAACACTTATTGAAATAAAATGTGATATTTTCGTGTGTGTTTGTTTTCTATCTGAACAAATTAAGATAAATGAAGTTTTTCTAATTTTCTCGAAAACGAATCGACTGATTTTCAAAAACAAACGTCAAAATAAAGGACTTCGAAATACCTTTTAAACATACTATTACTGGATACAACTTAAATTTTGGAGGTAATGACTCTGGGGGCCGAGGGTGAAAGGGGGTGAAGTAGTTTTTGGTTAAGAAGTTGTCCCCTTTGACAAATCTTTTGACGTGTCTCGGCGTTTTTTCCTTTAATCGGTGGTTTTAGATAAATCTGTGGTGGAAGGTTTTCAAATGAACACCCTGTATATAATAAGCCTTCAGAATTTAAGTAAAGATAGTCTTATTTTTACTTAATGTACCACTACCCAACATAGCGGGTGTGCAGACGTTGAAATGACATAAACACTATCCAATGCCCGCGTTTGTCTTCGAGAAAATAAGTAAGGTCTGGCAGCCCTGGGATTTTGAGTCTATAAAGGTATATGTCCATATGTGAGATCTTCAAATCAATATATTCCAATTTAATGACTTTGGCTGTTTATTAAGAAGCAAATAATTGCAGAATTCGAATCTTTACCTGAGATTTTCATAGGTAATTTTATCATGGGGCCTTTGGTTCCAAGCAAATAGCACAGCCATTTGAAATGTGGTAACATCTAAATCAAACTTTCCTCCATTCGTCGAGAACGTTATTGTACCATTGCTCATGTGATGATACCTGTAATAAATAAAAATTGTTTAAAAATATTTATCTGCTATGAAAAATATTTTATTCACAATATAGTCCATCTGTGGGAATTTTCTATTTAATAAACATGACATCTGAGTCTTGATGTTGCAATTCTTCTAAGAGAGTATTGAAAATTTTGAAGACTCTTCGGAATAAGACTGTGGAATGGCATGCACCTCTTTTCTAGCTCCGTGAGCATAAGCCCTAAATGTGAAAATACTTTATTACAATGTATACTAACCACTGCAACTTTCTGCCCGAATGCTTCTTCTTGTAGAACTCCTCTACCTCAGGTATGTAATCTTCTAGCTCGACGGGCAGACTGACGGTGACCCGTTCGGAGCCTCGGGCCCACGCCCCCGCATTCAGAATCTTGATGTTGATGGCATCGTGGCGTCCGGGAAGGGAAGGCCCGCTCGCGGCACTGGTTCCAGGCCCTGTCGATGCCGAGGCACGCCGGAACTGCGCGTTTAGGTCCTCGCTCACTTTGATGTCTTGAAACATCCGGGCTAGTTTGTTGACGTAGTCTGCGGGCATACCCACCTCGCGCAGCCACTCCACCATGTCTTCTTCTTTCTCGCTGTCGGCGCTGATTCAGAAATTCAACGTTAGATATTAGTATATCGGTATTTTCAAAGGCAAGACATAGACCAGTAAATTAATATATTTAACCTAACAAAAATTCTATAATGGATAAACAATTAAATTAAGGTTATTGAAGTATCATTCTTTAGCATGAAAAAAGTTCCGGATCCTACCGCAGCCAAAAACTCAAAAATTTTTGAAACATGAATTTTGATTTTTTTGCAACACCACTGTTTTTACGATATTTTCATACGTACGTCCGTTTACGAGATTATGCCAATTCTCTTAGGGCTCTTATTCGACTTTGCGTAAATGCTCGTGTGCAAGATTTTTGAGCTAACAGATTGCTAAAATAGTTTTATATAAGTTAAATGCTATTTTATATGTTAAATCTTTTCAAAATTATCATAGTGAATGACTCTTGTAGATTTTACTTTGCATTTGCTGTAAAATAACTGCTTACTGAAGAGCAAAAATATCCACTTCCTAGAAAAGAAAATATGGCGCAACAAAGTTAAACTTTTTTAGACATTATTTACAAGCAAATTTTCTTATTTAACCATATCTTGAAGAAAAATATAAAACCCCCATAATGACAACATGCGGAGTTGAAAACATACATCATTGAGGGTACCCAACAGTTTTTCTTTACACGTTGAGTTACTTAAATATTTATATTTCATGGTCAAAAAAAATATTTTTGTAAAAACCGTAAAGCTTTTTTCATTGTGAAAATTTTCGGATGATAATTTAAGAATATATTTAATAATAATTTCTGTAAATATTGTGTCTACTAAGATTGTATGTGTGCAGTGGTAGAACATCTGCCTTGTACATTGAAGGTACCCAGTTCAATTCCTGAGAGCAGCAACTATTTTTTCGTTTTTTCAAAGTTTTGTAGTCCATAAGTGGTAGTGGTGATAATATTTAAAGATATTATATATACTACGGTAAAATAGCATTTAAGCTGAAAATATAAGCAACTTCTCGGTCGGGTACCTCTCGCTCATATTGACATCAGATAGCAACAGAAGCTACTCTGTTTTAGAGTAACCCTATCCAGTCATTTGAAGAGGGTCTCACAGTCCATTGTGAGACGTTCTTTCTCCTAAGTTAATTTTCATCCTGCAGCATGTTAGAGAAGTTATCCATTGATATCTAATATACTCTACTCGATGGTGTCTATTTCATTGTCTTGTCATGTGACCAAATCAAGCTTGTACTTAGTTAAAGTATTGTACATCAGTAGGTCAGAAGAATTCAAAAAAAATGGGAGATCAAAGAGGAGAAAGTCAAATGCGAGGAGAAGCAGGGGTCTTGGCATTGTTAACTAGGATTCAAGAATTTTGAAATTGTCCTACAAAAGTACTTTGGAACTCAATTGTTACTTCTTGTTGTACAATATCTACCCAAATCCATAGGGATCGGTTTCGGCTCCAACAACTCTTCTGCATATTAATGTTCGAATTTCTCTTTGATACTAGGCCTAGAGGTTATCACTGTGCGAGGAAAAAGGAATATGGCACAATATCAAATAAGAGATACTCAAGTGAGCATCCAGTTATAATGTATAGCCAATGTTTAACAAAAGGCACCAATATGACTCTTCAGGTACTGCATAAAACATGAAATTTTAAGCAGTGAACACAATTATGACAAATCAACCTCACTTATAAACCAATTTTAGAATAACTATTTTCAATAAAAGTATTTCCAGTGATCACTTACCTAGCATCTAATATTAGTCGTCGAGTTAAATGCGCTTTATGGTACCTCATGAAAACATCTTTATTTGATACATATTTCAGTACTAACAACACATCTCTTAACCTGAAATAATAACTAATTAGTAGAATATGGTTCTTCCAGAATACAACCAATATATCAATGGTAATGAAAAATCTACCTAGATTCGATTTCTTCACTAGTTAATCTCTTTGAGAGCGGAGTTCGCCTTAACAGCATATCACAGTAATTAGCAAGTAGTTCGGGGCATTTGCTTTCAGGAGCTACAGCTTTGCCACCTATACTCTTCCCAGTTCCCAATTCCAATCTGAAAATTGTGAAGAGTTAAAAATGATGAGTACTTTTCAAAAAACAATCACACTCAAGTTAAATCAGCAACTGAATATTGGAATGATCATAGTAGTCACTAGAAGGTTGAATGTGTCCCATGAAAGTAATTAATATGGCAATAGGTCAAGGTAGGTAAAACTAGCTCATGTAATTTCAATACTATAGTGATACATAGTACCAAAGTCGAATTTGAAAACCGTTCCACTGTATAAGATGCAATATAGCAGTGACTTGTATGTAGTTATCATAAAACACGCCTGAGTCATGGATTATAAAAATAAAATTAAAACCTCACTTAAAAACAGTGGTGTCATTGACGACAGCTTCGAAGGCCTTGTCTCGGGCTGTAAGAAATCGTGGGTCGTCAGAGAACGCTTCTAGAACCAACTTACTAAATTTCCTAAATAGCTCTAATAACCTCTCCACATACTTTTCTGAGTCTTGTGTTACCACATCTGCTGCCGCTACCTGTTAACAAATTTGAAAATTCGTGATGAGAATGTGTCTACAATGTGCATTACCATATAGGACATGTTCACGGGCATTTCTATGATCATATGATTTGAAGTGATCTTGACGTTCACGATAAAATAATCTATACCTACCATATCGGCCAACCCTGCTTGAGTAATGTGATTCTCCAACTCCCTCAGCATAGGTTGCACACCTTCAGGCACTCTTTCCAGCAATCTAAACATCAGCTGAAGCCTCTCGGTTTCACCTGCTTTTATCAGGGGGGCACATTCTGCCAAAAGGACGGGCAATGCATTGCCGACAAGCACTTTCACACAGCACTGTATCACAGAATTGCTGCCTGCTTCTAAATACCTAAAGCGAAAAAGTAAAACATGGAATATTAGATAAAAATCTTTAGGATAGTATAACACTGAATAATGTATCTCTGGAATACATGAAATTCACAATAGAATTTGGGACCAAAACTATTATTTGTTTAAGATCTAGTAGTCATTGCATACCTTTAACTGCATTAAAAACATAGTCTTTTGTTCGTGTTTTATATAGCTTGGCTCAAAAGGCTCATAATTTCATGATGGCTTTTTAAAGTGATTCGATGCCAAATTTTACGGTTGTTTGCAAGTATCTTGCTAGGTACTGTTTAAACCTATTAGAAAAGTTGTAACAAGTAAAAAGCGGCCTTAGTTTTTTTACATAATTGGCGCAGATCGTAATTTTTCTTCAGGTGTACGCCGAATGAGCACATTAATGTTCTTAATTGCAAACTGAGTTTTGTTCTTGACTTACCAAAGAATTATAAATATCAGAGTTCTACACCTATTCTTAACCCTTAGACAGGCAGGGCTATTACGTAACTTTAAAAGTGACATTATGTCGGTTTTTTGATATTATGTAGGTTTTTCTACAAGACGTTGACTTGATGAACTATTTGCACACTAGCCTACTTAGTCAACAAGTTGACGTTGTATTGGTTGTTTGACATTATATAGGTTTTTTTATGTAATAATCTCGCCGTAGACATTCTCACTAAAGTTCAATTCATTTTAAGTTTTTTTATCGCAAATTTTCGTTTAACCGGGTCGTCGCTATCTCCAAAAATGCATCTCTTTGGTTATAACACCATATCTCACGTCTCCGTAATAGTAAGTTAAGCTCCAGCACAATGGATTCATATTTTTTTATAAAGGAAGACTAATTTTGCCCCCGAACCACTGGACAACAGTTGCTGGACGTCAAAAAATGGTTTCAGGTCGATATGAGAATTTATTTACCTTCAGCTAAGTGGGAAAAACTCATAATGCTTATTACAGGTTTAACAACACGTTTTGGGTGAGTTGTTAAGAAAACTGGAGTATCTACAATGCAAAGCAACTTCACAAACCTTACAAGCAAGCGCTATTCACACTCAATCTCTATTTTCAAAAGGCATTTAGTGCAAACAAAACAACTTCACAAAAAAATATTTGTGGCATTTGTGACTTCAAAAATATAATGATAAAAAATAAAATAAATTTCTGTTTTGTAGTTATAAAAAAAAGTCAAGAAGACAAACCTCTTTGCTCTAGCTTCTTCTTCTCTCAGTTTGGCGTCAGCATACCTCATATAGGCTTGAACTCCATTTGAAGCTAATTGTTCTGGGGCTTTAAGTCTATAAAATAAATCAGTGCTTTGAATATATGCAGCCTCAAAGTTTTCCCTGTATATCTGCAAACGATCTTCAGTGTTTGAACACAAATTTACATATGATTCCCTAACACCTAGAAATATACAACAGAAATACTTTGCTATAAGATATATTTTCAACAATATCTGTGATACATTGCTGATTTTTTAAACTCTATAGGAACATAGATTCTATATAATTATAATATAAAACTAAATACCTTGGGTTTATTAAGCTTTAGCAGAATTAGTTCCATATCCTATTTTATAATGTCGATCGCACACTATTATATTTTTCAGTACTAATATCTATTTCTTCATATTCGTTGTTTAAAATTTGTAGACAAGGTGGATTTGAGTTACACGATGCTTCGATTGATTCATCTGAAGAGGATCGAATCGAAACATCTTGTGCCTTAAATTCTGTTCTAGTCAATGTAAATCCGAAATTAATCTTTTGAAACTTAATCTTTGTTACGGGTCTTCAAATAGAAAATAATTAAACAATGATGATAAGGTCTGTGTTCAGCACTTCATATGCTCGTACATCAAAACTCAAAATCGGATTTGCAGCATAGTTAAAATTAGGGATGCACCGAGTACTACTTAAAAAGAAGTCAGTCGGTCAGATTCGAATACCGAGTACTCGGTGAAGTGATTAATGATTTTTTATATACTTGAACCACCACAAAGGCCTAAGGCCCAAACATCCGTGGGTACCGTGAGACTACTCGGGGTGACAGGGGAAAAGGGGGGTCTCCACACGGACTCTAACGAGGGAACAATCACAACATCCATAGCCAAGAGAAAAATTCACTTGGGACCATCTACCATTGATTAATTAAGATTACATTTGAATTTATGGGAGAACTTTTTATGTAACATCTGAAACTTATCCTGTAGTTTTCATGTTGATAATCCCCCATGTTTGTCTGCCCGAATCAAATCACGAATAACGTGTCATTTGTATTTGAAGAAGATCGCCATTGGGACCGAAATGTCATACAATAAAGAGGAATTTTAAACATACGTGGTTTGATTTGCCCAGGCAAACATTGTGGATTAAGGGTTTTATGCCAAAAATTGATTTACCTTACCAAGAAATTCACGTATCAAGAAAAAACCCTTGTGACTTGTATGATTTTTTGTGAGTGAAACGCTTAATAGGTTAGGGTATGTTGTTTTTAGAAGTTTTATTAAATGACTAGAGTCTAGCAGCTCCTAGGTATATATTCTCTGGGATCAAAGTCAATAATTTACAAGTTATAGTTGTTTAAAAGCCTCAAAACGGCAAATTTAAGACATATTGTGAAAAGTTATGTCAAGTCCTGGATACATTAGATACAAAAAAGGTGTGATTTTTGCTGGAGATTTTTATGTACAGTTTAATGCAAATCAGACTGAAGCTTGTATTGTTGTATATTGCAATCATATGGACTTGAGCGTACAATATAACGTGAATTAAGAGGCAAATCACGTCTTTACAATATATTTACTAATTTTCCTTGCCATAAAGTATTATCAAAAATTACTGACTCTTGTATTTCTGACCACAAATCTTTAGAAATTAGTTATCAAAAAGACCCCACAAAACTAGAATAATTAATAATAAATTTGGGTTTAAACCAACTATATATATACTGAAAACCAAATTTGCCTAACGGCTTGAGTTCAATGTGTACGAGAGAAAAGTGTGTACAGACAGATATATTAGAAAGCGATAGAAGCCGACAACGCTAACGAGGCAATCTACCGAGTTGCCAATATGTTACACCAATTCCTTGAATTGAGATGCATATTGAAAATATGCGTTAGTTTATTCTTTACGCCCAAATAATTTTTTATTTTGAGCGTACATATTTTTGAATTGTGAATTGTGTCGAGTCTGTTTAGGACTGATTCCCGATCGGTCCTAAAGGCGCTCCATTTTATGTCGAAATGGTCAGGACTGCCACCAATTCTGCAATGTTGCATCAATGGTTCGTTCAGTTATTCCTATTGTATCGAATCTGTTTAGGATCGATTCCGGATTGGTCCTAACGGCGCTCCATTTTAGGTCTAAATAAAATGTCAGGATCGCCACAAATTCTGCAACAGTGCATCATTGCTTGGCAACACCGCATCTCGTACATTCCAAGGAAAGGTTTCCATCTCCATGATCATAGATGACCGTTCACAGTACAATAGAGGCATGCGATCGGTCATTCATTAAAGACAAGACATTGACTCCCTCTGAGAAAATGGATATTTGCACGAAGACAATTATCACCGAGTTTGAATGGGCTTTTCCAGAAAAATCTAAATTAACAGAAGGAAGCTCTAACAATATTTATAAAATACATTGGTTTACTGAGGAAGTAAGAAACTAGAGATTATTTGCATATACTGACAAAGATAAATAATCTAAATCCTAACTTTGTTAGTAACAGTGACCTAAAAAAATTTAGAAAAATCTATAGCACAGACTCAAAAACTTGTGTAGGATGTTAATGCATAACAACCCGATAATGGCTACCACCTCACCATTTAATTTAACTGCTAATGATTTCCTGCATCAAGAATAACATCAATTGTTCAATAAAATTTAGATTCACAGAAATATCAATAATAGAAGTCAGAGACACCATTATGAGTTTAAAAAATTCAAGTAGCAAGGACATGTACAGCCTGAATTCTAAGATAATTGAAACAATTAAAATATGATTGCTGGTCCCTTACGAGTGAATGCATTACAACCACTACTTTTCCTAAAAGTCTAAAAGATTGCTAGAGAGGTACCAATGCACAAAAAGGGTAGTTTGGATGATGTAAACAATTTTCAACCTGTATCTTTTGTTCCCGACATTGATGAAATTTTTTAATCTGTTTTAAATAAGCAGATAGTTAGCTACTTTGAGAGCAATAGCTTCTTTAATAAACGCCAATTTGGATTCTGTAAAGGGAGATTTACAATCATAGCCATAGTACAGCTGGTGGAATACATTTATGAGACAAAGAGAAATCAAACATTTAATGGTACCCAGGATTCCATTCTGGGTCCCACTATGTTCATAATTTTTATTAATGACATCTTTAAAAGCTTCCCTCATCATGCAGTACTATATTCTATTGACGCTATGTCTATCTGCAGTGAGCGCAAACTTGAAGACCTTAGCCAAGAAATTGCAATGAACTTGAATATATTAAAGACTGGTTCTATGCAAATAGTTTTTTTTGCACTTTGCAATCTAGTTAATTTTCAGAATGCTGTTTTGCAATAGCTACTTTCACTCCCATATGGTTTATGGAATCTTGTTGTGGGGACACTCCTTGCATGCTTCTAGAGTTTACGCAATACAAAGTAACTGACAGAGTGTGATAGCAGGACTAGGCTACCAGGATTCCTGTGTTGATGCATTTATCAACATGGGAATTTTGACCCTACCATGTGTATATACAGGGTTTGTCCGGAAAGTAATAGGGCTGAGCCGATTTAAAAAAATTTATTGAGCCAATCGTTACAATTCTTTAAAAACTTTCAAAATAGGCTCCTTCTGCGTCGATGCAGCGCTGCCAGCGCGATTTCCAAGCATTGAAGGCGTCACAGAAGGCATTCTCCGGAATAGCCTTGAGAGCCGCGGTGCATGCTGCTTGGATCCCCTCTGTCGTCTCAAAATGCTTGCCTTTCATCGGCCTTTTCAGGCGAGGAAACAAAAAGAAGTCCTGGGGGGCACATCTGGGCTGTAGGGCGGCTGCGGAAGCGTTGGGATGCCTGGATTTGCTCATTCTTCCCATTTTTGGGCGAGGAGACGCCGTCGTGTGCCACTCGGAAGATTGCCTCTTTGTCTCGGGATCATACTCAAAGATCCACGACTCGTCACCTGTGATTAAGGTATTCAAAAATTGGGGGTCACTTTCACACATGTTCAAATTTTCTTGGCACACTTCCACTCGCCACAATTTCTGGTCGTCAGTGAGCACTTTTGGGACCATCTTCGCGCACACCTTGCGCATGTTCAAATGCTGTGTCACAGTGTCATGAACCACAGATTTTGGTAAGTTCAACATCTGGGCAATTGAACGAATACTTATTCGACGGTCTGAGTTCAAAACTTTGCGCACACGAGTCACATTATCGGTGTTTGTCGAAGTCGAAGGTCTTCCAGCACGGTCTTCATCAGCGACCCTGGCCGTCCAAAAAGGTCTGGTGCCACCGAAACACACCGCTTCTTGTTAAAGCAACACCTGGGTAAGCCTGCTTGATCATATCAAACGTCTCTGATGCAGATTTACCGAGTTTCACACAGAATTTAATCGCGTATCTCTGCTCTAACGAACGCTGCATTTTCGGCTTGCATCACTCACAGAAACATGTCGCGCAAAAATGCCTCTACTGACTCTCCAAGTGCTCGGAGACAACTGACCAGCCGCTCATTCGTTAGCTAGGAACGCCCTCTACCGAATCCAGTCGGTGCGCGCACACTCCGAAGTACAGTCATGGCGGAAGAAAATGAGTCCTATTACTTTCCAGACAAACCCTGTATATCTTGAAATGCTGTGTGTATGTCAGGGGAAATATAGACTATCATAGCTACCAACCCAGATTTTGTCAACAAAATATTGTAGTTTCATATAGATGGGAATAACTACAATGGTAGTTTTACAATGTTTTAAAGAGTCAGTGAAGTCACATTTCAAAAAGGCACGCAAGGGATACTTAATTAGGAAAGCCTTTTATAATACATCTGATTTTACGGACAACAATTTTAGTGATGTTTTGATGTGTCTTGTAATTGTTATATCATCCTCACATTTTATGTGTATTTTAAATATAATTACTTTTCTCTTTTTGAGTTGTGTAAATGATACTGCATATACAACACCAATAAATATTATTATTATTACGTATTATATAAAATTTTAGATACCTGTGAAATACACTATTACAAGAAAAGTGCATTTTTAAGGCAATACTGACATAACATGAAGGAAGGATTTTAACATGTGGAATGGAACTAAATTCAACATTTTAAGCCTACATTTTTGATGAACGTTGATAATGTCAGGTGTCAGACCATATGCCTCATGATTTTAAAAAAAATACCAATTAAAATCATCATGCCTTGGCTATCATGAAGATACACAAATTAAAACTGTTGCTGCTTAAAGTTGCTATGGCACCAATTCAGATTTGGAAAGAACTAAACCTAAATTATTCTTAAATATGAGTATAGGGTTTCTATGCAGAAAAGCGAGAAAATTGTAATTCACCTTGCTATCGAGTTTTCCTACATTTTGTTTGTTTTTTATTGTTTTTATTTTTTGTGAGTATCCATAAGGATGATAAAAAAAGATGGAAAATACCAAAGGCAATAAGGTTTCAAATTAAACTACTGTAGTAGCAGCTCCATGGATCCACAGTGTTTTTTTATGAAAAAAATGTAGCAACAACCCGTATATAAAAAAATAAACTATGCAAATACAATAAACACACTAGCATGCTGAAGAAGGTACATTTAATAAAGATTCAATATTTAATTTATTAAATTCAACAAAGATATAATAGGATTCCTGCAAAAATATGCTGTAATCTTGCCTATTTTTTGATGGTGCTATCATATATTATCAGGAAGTGTGGAAAAAGACATAAAATTCTTCAATTAACACATGTCTGTGTCCTGCATTCAGACCAAGTAATTACCTAGACAAGTAATTTATTATTTGGCAGGTACCAGGTGAAAACTGAGTACTTGGTGCATTCCTAATTGACACCATGTTAAAAAAGTCAATAATAATAATAAACAATAATTATGGATTATAGAGCAAACTCATAACATGAGAAATCTGTTACCTAATATCAGAATGTCACACAGGATTGTTTCCATGTTAATCTAAACAAAATAAGGTAGACACAGGATTAATCCATATTTTTTTTTCAATTGTTACAAATCTAGAATAACAAACGTGATTTACCTATGACTAACTGTGAGTCAAATGCCTCCCCATTTCTTTCTGCCATCACCAACTTCATAGCACTATCTTGTAATCGATGTTTGATATCACTAAAAATACTTTCATTCCAAGAGTCTAACATGAGCTTCCTCACTATACTTTCTTCAGTTGGTCCCTTTTTTCCACTATTATTCTGAACTGTAGAACTAACAGTGGTTGACTTCCCCTGCAAACTACTCTCCAATTGTCTAAATGGTGTAGGCAGATAATTACATTGTGTGAAAAATTTTCTCCATTCAGTAATGTATGCCTTGAGTAGGGCTTCCTCTTGCCTATGCATTAGTACCCTAGCCTGTGCCTGTTTTATAAACTGTACTATATCTTTATGTAGGTGATCTCTCAATTTCGCGGGGCCCTTCTCGTCCCAAAGGCAAACTAGATGAACATCATAGAAAAGCTCTTGCCATTCTGATGGTGAAACTGGTTCCTGTTTTAGAAGCTTTAGGACAATAGGCTCCATTTGAGGCCATTTGTCCTCAAATTTAAGTTGTCCTTTTTCCTAAAAAAGTCAATTGAGTGGTCTGCAAGAGAATATAAACAAAGTACATACCCTTAACATTTTTAGGTTAGGCTTGGGTTTCTAGGCATTTAAAAAGAAAATTGGAGTGATATGGTGAACAGTAATAATGCGAGTACAAACAAATATTAAATCATGTTTCAGCTTCTTTATAAAGTTACAATCCTTTTTTTAAAACAAGTACCCCATTCTGCCTTTTTCCAAAGAACAAGCAAAAAAATGACAAATTGTCAAGTTGACAATTCACCAGAACTAATGATATGGAACGGAGATCTTATTATTTTGTATCAATTAGCACTTGACCATCTTCTAGGTTAAGCAGCTAATTGTCGAGAAGAAACAATATATATATGCTTTATTAATTCAAGTATATACTGAAAATAAGACAGAAATTTAAAGAGATTAGCAATACGTAGATTTCTCACAATGTAGTTGCTTTTATTTACTTCTCCCTCATCATATTTCAATGGGTAGATTAGAAAATGGCGGTGACAACCAAACGTTATCTTCTTTTTCCATATTTATTCTCTGATTGTGCTGTTGGAAGTGATGAACTGTCACATGTCGAAAATTGATAGCTGCTTGTCAACTTTCAAGATGGTGGAAAAAACTATATACATTTCTCAATCGCAAAGAAAACCCATAAAAATATTGAAATGGAAAATACGGGAGGGCCAAACAGTTCCTGTGGGCCACGTGCTGCTCCTCTACGATTTTGTAGATGCCAAAACAGCCGAACAACGAAAATTGAAGTCGACTCATGCCGGGACCGTTCACAAAATTATTGCCAAACAAGGGGAAACTATCAACACTGGGTTAGTTTTCCATGTTTTTTTTGAGACAACTAGAAGTATTAACTAAATATATCCTTGTATTTATAAATCAGTTTTTCATTCTTCTAGGCGAACTTTGCTTCAGCTAGAAGCATGTTCTCACCCCACTGTGATGAATGACATGTGTGCAGAGTGTGGGGCAGACTTAAGGAAGGAAGAAACATCCCCAACAACAGCATTTGTACCTATGGTACATGCTATACCCAATTTGAAAGTCAGTGAGGAGCTTGCTCAGAAAATTGGAAAGGCTGACAATGAACGCTTATTATCTGACAAGAAACTTGTATTGTTGGTAGACTTGGATCAGACTTTGATTCATACAACAAATGATAACATTCCTCCAAATATAAAAGATGTTTACCACTTTCAGTTATATGGGCCTAATTCGCCATGGTACCATACAAGGCTAAGGCCTGGTACACACAGGTGGGTGTATCCATCATCAAGTGAATGGTGTATTCTTATTTTGCATAATGGAAATACTATTTTTTAATTAGCTCAAGTTTATAGAGCATTATTTGGCAATTATGGGTATTAACCTACAAAATATGTTTTCCCTCCAAAATCTAATTTAATCTCAAACTGTGAAAGAATGCTGTACAAATACTGTTTTTATAGCTTTTATAGAGAAAAAGGTAAGTTGCCAATTCATATAGTTAATTTCCAGGTTCCTGAACAATATTCAGACAAACTATGAGTTGCATATCTGCACATTTGGTGCAAGGAACTATGCACATATGATAGCAGCATTTCTTGATCCTGAGCAGAAAATATTCAATAACAGAATTTTATCTAGAGATGAGTGCTTTGATCCTACAAGCAAAAAAGCAAATTTGCAGTAAGTTTTGCTAAGATCTAGTTATGTTATTTTACAGATATTTTGTATAAAATTATTTTATAATAGAACACAACTTAAATTCATACATGGGAAAAGAACTCATTTAACTATTTTATTTATATTATTAATGCCATTAGATGACCAGACTTTTTACATGAAACTGTCACCATCAGAAAATAAACATTATTTCCGTCACATCTCGCTGATACTTAACCTCCATGGTAGAAGTAGAGTCATGTTCTAAAGACATAGTGTCCATAAGCTATTATGTGTCAGCTTTGCTACACCCTATTTCACAAACAACCATCATGCTTTGACATCTACTGAAGTGAACAGCTGATCAGCTAGTGACATTTTTGTGTTAGTCTGCAACTTTGACTATAATGAATTGGGTGTAAATCTAGCAAAAAATTGTTTTTAATGTTTTGTTTTTATATGCAAATGAACTTTTCTAAATAAAAGAGCTTTTAGCAAGTACAAAATGAATCTGCAGCATACAAAAAATCAAAACAAAATTTGGCTCTGCTAACCTGGCATTGACGGACGCATCAGAATTATGTGTCCTTTGCGGATATGGGTAATTTTCAAATATTACCAGATGACCAGCTGTCATTCTATTGTGATGGATACTCGTGAAATAGGGTATACAAAATTTTACATTTGCACTTTGGATGGTAAGTTTTACCATTTCTTATTTATAGTAATTAGTGAAAACATTCATTATGCATTTTTTAACACAATACTAATGTTCTACCAAAATAGTGGTTATTCAGGTTATTGTATTATATGCTAACATACACCATACAATATTTCAAGCAGATAATAAGATATATTAAATTGTGTTTAAAGTTTTGTAATAGCTTGGGCATATTGATCAATTGTATACTATATTGATATTTGGGACCAATATTTGTGGTTGTTTAGCCAAAAGGGAGCTCTGTGATATGATTCATAAAATTCTAGATTTTTTAGTCTTATCTCCCTATTTGCTGTCTTTCTATAGAGGCAAATAGGGTTCTGTAAGCTTAGTTCTTTGTGTATCTATTTCAACTCCAATCATTTTGAAACATCATAAACATGCAGATGATGCATATAATTGTTCATTGATTGTTTACACAAAATGGAAAATATTGCTAATGCTCCAGATGTGCAAAACATTATCTGCTCTGTTATTTCAATAAATACCAGGCTTTAGAGGGTGTTAATAAAGTATGTAGACAAACTCTAACCATCGAATACTTGGTCAATTTGAAGACGAAATTCCCATATGAACATGGATCTGCAACAACTTTGTTTTCAAGCTAGAGCATATTAGCACTAAAAGAAATGATGATGTTATAAAAAATTATAAAAGAATGGAACATATTTTATATTAATTAAGTATGCCCTGTGGTAAATACCACATGATTTACAGTTACAGACCCTCCATGTACATAGATATGGATAATGTTAAAAAAAATAGCATGACATTGATTTGTTTTGATCGCAATACTTTTAATATTTAACTATTGACCTTCTAAATAAAGTTTTTTTTCAAAAAATACAGGATAATACTATTTTCATCCAGGTTCATATTGAGCCTCAGCAACTTGTAAAACATGCAAAATTTATCATAGGTTATACCAACTGTTCAATAAATATGGTTTATTATTCATAGAAATATTTGGAACATTACTAGTATTTATTTAGTGATAGTGCTCAAGCTCAAAAAGAAAGCTTTACGGACCTATGTTCATATGAATATTTAGTCTTCAAATTGACCAAGGATTTGATGGTTAAAGTTTGTCTACATACTTTATTAACACCCTGTATATCTTCCATGAAAGATGGCTGTTGAAGTTGATCTCCAGTTCTTTTTATTTCCTGAATAGGAGTTTTAGACTTAATATATCCTTTGCCATTTTTTGAGATTCTCTTTGAATAACTAGTGGCTAGGCAAAACTACATCTTTTTACATCGTAAAAGATCCTCTTCAACTGATTTGTACAGCTGTAATGTAATTACTCATAATTCTTTTGCTGGTATTTTAGCTACATTAGTAGCTTTTTTAAAAGTATAAAATGACGCCAGAAACTACAGTAAATCTTTCAATCCTACACCTGTGGCTTGATTTTGCAGCCAGTAAAACGTGGATAGCCATCAGTGAGACAACCACAGGATATTGTTTTTTTCCAGAGCCCTGTTTCCATGTGGCGATAACATGGTATGTATCATAGACGACAGGGAAGACGTCTGGTCGCATGCCTCGAACTTGATCCACGTGCGTCCATACCACTTCTTCCAGCACACCGGAGACATAAACGCTCCTCCCGGCCTGGACAAGCACGAACACGATGCGGAGGGGGGGCCGATGGGCGTTGATTTGCTAGCTGGGGTCGAAGCGAACAAATCGGTTGCCGAGCAGGCGGTCAGCGACGAACTGGAGGCTGGCGAGGTTGAACAGGCGGAATTTGAAAAAGCGGAGATTGAGGCGAAGGACGCGGAGCGTGACAAAAAGAAGGCGGAGTCGGAGACTAAAAATGCGGAGCTAGACCCAGAAATGGCGGAAGCTGAATCAGTGAAGGCAGAGCAAGAGGAACATCAGCAAGTAAAGATTAGTGAGAGGTGAGTTTGTTTTTTGATGCTTAGAATATCTTATTTTTTTCGTTGCTGCAATAAACGTTTTTTATTGAGAAGAAGGGGCAAAATAGCACTCCAAAGCTCATTCATAATTCGTTTTTCCATGCCCTGTCCTTGTCCTTCTGCAATAAAGGTTAGGCTTGGTGATTAAAATGAGGTCTCTTTCAATCTACGAATTTCAAAGTGTTCCCTGTAGACCAGCGAAAGTACGAGAAGAAACTTAATTATCCTTAAAAAAAAATGTAATAAATTTGCTTTAGCTAGCAAAATGCAATTTAGCCGAGGTACGAAGTACTTCGATTATCTACTTCAGCATTATATCCTATACAGGGGGCCCCCAAGAAAGCTGATACGGGCACCTATAGGACTCTTCTAGAAATCGATTTTCCTTTACTAACTTTTGAACGACACTGTTTCATTGAACGATATTTTGACAGCAGTGTAAAGAGTTGAGGATGACATGATCATGCTCACAGAAAATAACTCATTTAGATCACCACTGACGACGGACTTCCCTAACACAATATATAAGTTTTACTTCCAGGAGAATATTGGCATGAACAGTCTAGTTTCAATACTGCTCCCATCAATCTGCGCTGTAGCTGATCCACAAGAAGTTCCACAAAAACCCAAAAGCTGGTAAAGAGATGTCAAAATGTATTATATTGTGAGGTTTTTTAGCTCGCTAATTACGAGCCTGTTATTATAATTACTAGTCAAAGTTGACTATACTCTATTTCGCCTAAAGATGAGGCTTTCAAAAGATATACCTATTGAGAGTCATTATTGAGAAGGCTGTAAAATATTAGCGATATTGTGATGGGGCTAGCCCGACTTATATGTAATCTGAGTGATTTTAATTGTTTTCTATGGACACCATCACGATAGATAGCGTTTTTTAACTATGATGTCAACATTTCGTTGAATGAATCATCATTCACTTGAGAAAACCGATTTCCAATAGTATTCTTTATGGGCCTGCGATCACAGTCCCAGTCTGGGACACTATGTACAGCATCATGGTACTCAAAACGCCAAAAGACAAATTTTGTCTTTGTGACCCCTTCAGGTAGGACTACAATGCTACTGCTGGAATAGCTTTTGGACATTCTTGCATGAAGACTATTGCCATTGCATACTAGACGTGTTCATCAGGCGGTTGTTTTTCACTCCCAAATAATTGATTTCACTACATCGAGAAGTTTTTTGTGACTTGGACATCGGAACTTTAACTCAATCCGTGATTTTAAATATTGTACAGATAGTTAAGAAAGGGAGTAAAACGGTATTTTTTCCTCTAGAGTTAAACGCAACCAACAATTTTAAACTATTTCAGCAATACATCAGAAAAACAGCATGAAAAAAAATCGGCAAAAAACGGCGAGGATTCAAATAACAGTGAGATAGACAAGGTGGTGGAGAAACATGAAATAAAATCAGAAACAGACAAAATTAACGGAAGCTCTGATATCAAAATTAAAAATGAGGCAGTTGGGGCAGAAGAGAAATTGGAGAATAAACATTCGGAGCCGGTGGGAGTATGCGAGGAGGAAAAAAATAATGAAAAGATGGAGACTGATACAGATGTCAAAACGAAAGGGCCTACTTGTAATGGAGATAGTACTGTTGTGGTTGATCGCGAGCCTCATCATATTGGAAACGCAAATGGTAAATTTAGTGAAGTTGAAGATACTCAGCAGGTAAACTTCTGTACAACAAAACTTTTGAGTGTATCCTAAGTTTCATACATCATTCTAGATGAACAGTGGGAAAACAAATGTGAACAATTCACATCAAAAGAACAATTCTTGTATAAATAGTAAACTTGCTTCTGATGTAAAGGAAGCAACAGATAGTCAATGCAAAGATAGTACAAAATCTAATCAGGATATTAATAGTGAGAATCTAATAGAAATTGATGACCCAGATGATTATCTACTTTACTTAGAGGATATTCTGAAAAGGATTCATGGCGCATTCTATGAAGAGTATGACAAAATGGAAGCAGGTAATTTAACCCCAATTATCAGTGAAATAGAAGAAACATAAAATAAGCAACAGTAAACATCACTAAAGTTCTAAACCTATCCATCAGGAACTGTATTCGATACAGTTACAGTTCACTTGTGCAAGGAATTTATATATATATATATATATATATGCATTGGGTAGGTCAAAATAGAGAAACTGTAGCATCTGAACCATTAATGGATTGTGGTTTTATATTATCAATCAAACAATATCTTCTTGCATCTGTTACTTGGTTTAGAAAATTTTAAAATTATCGTTTTACTTGTCAATTTATTTATTGTAGGCGAGATTCCGGACTTGAAAGTTGTGATCCCTAAAGTCCGTGGTCAAGTTTTGAAAGGCTGTAGACTAGTATTCAGTGGCTTAGTGCCAAACCGGATGAAACTGGAGGACTCCAAAGTCTATCAAGTAGCCACTAGTTTGGGTGCTGAGGTAACTCAGGATATTACAGATAAAACAACCCATTTGGTAGCAGTCCGGCCAGGTATTTAAAATAGCAACAGTTTTCGTTTTTTATAGTCCACGCATTTTTCTATATAGGTACTATCAAGGTTAATGCCGGACGTCGTCAAAGGAATGTGAAGATTGTAACTCCTGATTGGCTGTGGTGTTGTGCAGAACGCTGGGATCATGTAGATGAGAGAATATTCCCACTGAACAGCAGGGTATGTCGATTATTCCAAGCATTTCCTATTTTTTCAATCCAAGTCTAAAGATTCCCTCTAAATTTCAGCTGAGATAACAACCAGCTATGCAACTCTACCATCAGTGTCATTAAACGGCCGCCATATCAGAAGCGAAATTTAAAAGCGTATTTGTAAATTCACTTAGAACTCAGGGTAACGATGAAGGTCACGCATCATGCTAGGGGTGCGAAATATTATTTTTCTTTATTTGCTGTGCTAAAAAGGATAATTAAAATTCAGATAATCTAACAAGAATCTATGGTGGGGGTGATGTTGATCTTTATGAAAAAGTTTCACAAAGAAATATCATGATGGAAGTTAACATTATATCTGTAATGTCAGAAAATATTTATTTTTGCAATTATTTTCTGTGCCTACCTTCCAGTCTATTGATATAAACTGGTGGACAGTAGCTTTGCAACATGGAAAATTTCACCAAAATTCAAATCTCGATATTTTCGGAACGGAAAGAGATAACGAGTTGCGGTATTCGGTAGGTTCTTGGCCAACTCTTTGAGACCACGCACAGGGTTTGACCGGTATATTTCTTTTATTTATCCACTTTACAGGATGAGCAAAGGAAGACATGTTTTTTTAGCAAAGTTTGAGTCAGATTCTCCATTTTTGATCTTGGAAATTTGTCTATGCATCTTTTTGATCTTTGGACTATCCTATAACTCAAATTATCGAATTTTGAACTTCCCGCGTTAAATGTCTTTCGGCTCGACCTCGTATTTTTTTACCCTCTCCATGCAAATAGGAATTTCTCCGGTTTCACCCTAACTACCTACACCTCAAACATGCAATTGCTAACTAACAATAATATTGACTGTAGACTTGACAGTATAATTTTATTTTCTCAAAAAGAACGAGAGAATTGTGTAAGATTATTGGGAGAAAGTCGTTTACAGAATGATGTAGCTTTTATTTATAATATTGATCGGTCCTCAATATACCGTTTAAGGCGTAGATATTAGGATACCGGGGAAACCTCCTACTTACATGGAGGAGGTAATCCAAAAAATACGAGGTCGTCCAAAAGACATTTATTACAGGAAGTAAGGCGAGGGAGGATCCTTTCGTCCAGAACCTTGAATGAAAACTTACGGCGGCACAGTGGAATAACAGCATCCAATCGTACGGTAAGAAGAACTTTAAATTCTGATTTTTTAAGGTATGTAAATCTTATAAAAAAATTGCTAGGTAATTTCTTAAAGTAGCATTTCTTCCAGAGCAAGGCGTCGCGCCAAGTGTACCAGACTATGGAACAATCATGGAGTCGCCAGCTACCAATGGGAGTGGGCAAAATTGCATGTTTTCCGACGAAACACGCTACAACCTATACCACTCTGATGGTAAGGTCCTTGTTTGGTGGCATGCTGGGTAACGATATGATGAAGAAATCATGACTCCACAAGAGGCGTTTGGTGGAGGTGGCACTACTGTTTTGGCTGGGGTTTTGCACAATGGTAAAACCGAACTTTTTATTTAAAACAGGACAGTCAATGCTGCAGTTTATAGGGACAACATTTTAAATAATATTGTTCTACCTTTTGCACAAGATTTTGGGGAGGATTTTGTCTTCATCGATAATAACGCCAGGCCGCACAGAGCTCGTACGGTTATAAACTCTTCGGCAGAAAATAATGTTGCATTATTGCCTGTGCCATCAAAGTCTCCAGACCTAAACATAAGCGATGCCGCTTGAGCGTTGGCAAAAACTGGTTGCAACAGCAGATTTTAAATGGAAACGTTCATTTTGACGTGGCGCGATGCTTTGCAACGTGTCACTCGAGCTTTTTTTTTTTCGTTTTTCAACCGGCATCGCGGCGGTACGCCGACTTCAGTGAATAATAATAATAAAAATAATAATAATAAATCTTTATTTCAAAATAACAGTGCATGATTACAATGTATTACACACTGTTAGGTGAAATATACGTCACAGTGTCATCAAGACAGAAAAAACAAAAAGGCAAAACATATAACATAATAGAGATATTACATTTCAAAATATTCTTGAAGGTCATATGGTTCTAAGTGCATTAACAATTGATAAATACTCTTTTTATATTCTTTTATATCTGCCAACCTTTTAATTTCTTGTGGTAACTTATTATATATTTTAGTGCAGCTGTAATGCACATTTTTTTCGGTAACCGCGAGATGATGGACTGAGAGATCTGAGAGATTTATATTTCTATTTCTTGTGTTATAGTCACTTCGTGGGTCATCGATAAAATTGTCAATAATTTTAAATGTAAAAACTAGAATCTCTTGAATATATATTGCGGCTACAGTTAAAATTTTATTACTCTTAAATTTTCCTCTGCAAGTCTCTCTAGAGGAAATTTTTAGGATGCACCTCAGCACTCGCTTTTGCACTAGAAAGATCCTATTGGTATGGCTACTATGTCCGAAAAAAATTATTCCACAACGGATAATGGACTCGAAATTCGCGTAATATACCATTTTTAGAGTCTTGAGGTCTAGGTACTTGCTTAGTACTCTAATAGTATAACATGCATTGTTTAACCTTGTTTCTAGATGTTCTGTATGTTTAGCCCAGGAAAGTGCTTGGTCAATATGAACTCCCAAGAATTTTCCACAGTCTGTCAGAGGGACTTCTATTCTTTCTGCTAAGGTGATGTTTGTAGCTTCGATTTTTTTTCTTAACTTAAAAACGCATTTGTTTTTGAGGTATTCAGAGATAATCCATTACGAGCAAACCACGGAAACGCTTTCTCGCAGAGGCTCAAAGTACTAGTACACTAGTGTCAGCAGCGTATTGGATTGTGCATACATTATTTGGGCTTGTAATACTAGCACACAGATCGTTCACAAAAATCAAAAAGAGGAGAGGTCCTAAGGCGCTACCTCTTTCTACCGTGAACTGTGATGAAACGGCTGATATTTTATTCTTTGTAATGAAAACTCTTTGCTTACGATCTATCAGATAAGACTTAATCCAGTTGAAAGCATTTCCCCTTATCCCATATGCCTCGAGTTTATTCAATAGTAGAGAATGATCCACACAATCATAAGCTTTGGAGTGATCAAAAAACAGACCGAGCGATATCATATTATTTTCAAGGCATTCTATGATGTTGTCGCTGAAAGTATAGATCGGCGTGTTGATGGATTTCCCTTTTACAAACCCATGTTGTGACTCTGCAATTAAGTTGTTACATATCATATGATTCGTAATTCTTGAATACATCACTAACTCAAAAAGCTTTGCAAAACAAGAAAGTAAGCTTATTGGCCTATAATTTGGTCAGCCTTTTTGTCACTTTTACTGTTTTCATGGGAAACGATTGATCAAAAATAGATTGAAATATACGACTAAAATAATTCCATTGTTTGTTTACATCATTCTGAGGAATTTGAAGTAATTTTTTTTTGCCAGTTTACAGATCTGAGGTTAGTTAAAAAAAATCTTTATTTTCTGAACTGAATATTATGTTCTGTATAAATATCATCACCAAGATTGTGCATATTAACCTTCATTGTTATTTTTTGAGCAGTGCGATCTGAGATTAATGAATTAATGACATTAGATACATAAGTTGAGGTATTGGTGAAAATATTGTCAATACAAGATCCACTGGTGGATGTTATGCGTGTGTATTGGAATATAGTTTGATGTAAATCATATGAATTTAAAAGTGAACATAAGAGTTGTTTTTCCAGACTTTCCTGAGAAAAATCTATATTGAAATCACCGGCTATGAAAATTGTGACACTGTCATCGCGGATTTTCAGTAGAATTCGTTCCATTTTTTCTAAAAACACATGCATATTCCCAGACGGTGGTCTATATATTGACAACATTATGAAATTCAACCCATATAAGGAACATTTTACTGCAGCACCCTCCAGGGAACCTTCCACAGATAATGATTTTATATCTGACCTTTCCGAGCACTGAACTCCCACCCTCACATAAACTGCACTCCCACCATGCTTTCCTTGTTTTCTGCAAAAACACGATGCTAACTTGAAGTTGATAATTTGGTCTTGACTCTTCCAGTGTTCAGTGATGCAAATGAATTTACATTCACTATTATTTGCTATCATATGGTTTACCTCATTTATTGAGTTTCCAAGCGACTGGACGTTTTGATGGAGTAGAGCTATTCTGTTGTATTCCTCCATTTGCTTGAAAGAGCCATAGGTGTCAGACTCATCAGCATCAATTTGTTCCCTGTTTATGTTTGAAAATCCTGGCTGTAATTGATCTTATTTCTAAACCTCCTAATTCTCGATGTGTAGACTGGACACTTTGGGTCGCGGGCAGAGTGATTAAGTTCACTATATTTCATTTTTCGGCAATTTACTCATTTAAGATTATGTTCCTGACAGCTGGTGCCTTCATGGTTACCTGAACATTTGTAGCAACATGTCTGCTGTTTGCAGTACTTAGCAATGTGTCCAAAATTTGATCATTTAAAACAGATTGCCAAATTAATGTGTTCTTTAACATACACCCTTACCAAATCGAAGTTTATCTGGAAGAATTAATAATGACGTCCCAAACTGACAGCATCGATAAAATATAATCAAACGTTTCCACTGACATCCTTAAAAACTGGAAAAAACGTACTGGATCATCGCGAAGTGACTCTCATTTTATTAATTTCATGAACGCCTTGTCTCTTTTTATTTCTTTTTCTAATTAGCCATCGTAGCCGTGGATTTTCCATAAGTAACAACCGTTATTTTTACCGTTACTCATCAGATCTAATTCGAGAAAATAACCGAAATAACGCTGTACCAATATGAACATGACAACGCGCGCGATGATAACGCTCAAGCGGTATCGCTCAACGCTCGTCGCTCGAGCGGTGCCAATATGAACGCGACCTAATTGAGCATGTGTGTTCTCGGCTAAAATGTTTAGTGTGGTCAAGACAAAATGCTCCTTAAACAATGGAAGAGCTATCTGAGGCCATTTAGGAAGAGTGGGAACACATAGGTACTAACGATATTGTTTAAAATAACTGTTGCTGTTTTGTAAAAAGTTCTTTTTTGTCATAATTAAATAATTTAAGTATTTAACTGGTCTTCAAATGTATCTTTTCTAAAATGCTACATATTGTTAATGTTAATCAATAAATTCTTTGATGTTTAAAAATTTAATAGAGTTTATTACCTATTGGAAAACATATCCAATGAAGACGGGTACGTCAATGCTGAATGAGAAAGAGAAAAAATTCCTGATAAAAGATGAATAGCAGTGTTGGCCAGCATCAAAGCTTTTAAAAAAAATAAATTTGTCAAGTTATTGGCACTTCTTACCTAACCAAAAAATGTTTTGGTGTTACTAAGAGTAGTAACTTAGATTTGTTCATTAAGGTTTAATTGCATAGTCAAATTTATAAATTCAGTTTAAATTACATAAAGTATCAAATTTTTACTGCACGCCACTGGAGGCAACAACGTTCAATGAGTACTTCAATATTTTCTCGGACGCAAGAAATGCCACTTTATGCAACAGTATGAGAAAAAATACCCATTCTCAAGAGAAACCCCAAAAAGTCGCTTTTTAGGGATAACCACTATTTTAATAATTTGAGTTATAACAACTTTCGAAAAATTTGAGAAATTACTTTTTTTGGGATAGTCCAACGATCAAAAAGATGCATAGAAAAATTTCCAAGATCAAACATTGAGAATCTGACATAGCCCCAAACTTTGCTAAAAAAACCTTACTTCCTTTGCTCACCCTGTATAAGTGGATAAATAAAAGAAATATACCGGTCGAACACTGTACGTGCTCTCAAAGAGCTGGTCAAGATCCTCCAGAATACCTCAACTCTTTCTGTTCGGAAAACATCGAGATTTAAATTTGGTAAAGTTTAGATAGACCTGTTGTACTGAATATAGTACACGTAAAACAAGTCCTCAAAAAATCTACTGTCTGTATGGGCTTTCGAGTAGGCTAGACAAGTCTAAATTGTATATTTTTCTTACGCCACTGGGCAAGGAAGTATTGGAATCTCGAAAAGTTATCTCAATTTTTTGATGTTAGTATATTTATACGCACCCACTACCGGTTATTCTAGGCTCCGATTAGCCAGATTTTACACATCATAGGTTTCCTCGTACATTTCTCCTTGAAGTTATAATGATAAAGAAATGTTTTCCATACGCGTCTCCTGCTGTCTGAGCTCAGCGCCCGGCGTAACTACCTAATTAATTATTCTGATCATTCTGCTGCGTTGCTTTGGTGGGCGCTGCCGCGTCAGATGATATGGCAAGGGGGGACGTTGACAGATGGACTGTAACTACCGGAAAATAATGTCTATGGACTAATTGTATGGGTCTGTTTAACTTACTTGTTCCGTTTAATTTCTCTATTGTACATGTTTGTAACTAATTGTTTCTATAAACGCACTGTAACTGACAAGAAGTTATGTACGTGTCTTCTTCAAGGAGAGAAATGGAAGCAAACCAAGAGCAAAGCGGCAACTGAGTCATGCTGACAGTATACCGTTATCAAAAACGGCCATATTGCCATAATTTGGAGGAAAGGCTAAAATCTGCATGCATGTTACCAAAGTCTTGTTTATTTGCGGTTTTTAATTTTTGTATGCATTTTTCGTAGTTTCTCTTTGCAGTTTTCCTCGTAAATCTGCGCTACTATTGATCATAGCTCCTTGTTTATCATTGATTCACACAAAACCATAGGTTCGTTTAGTTCTATTAGAATTTACGGGCATATTATTTAATTTTCTACCCGACGGCCGTTTGATGACAATGGAAGCGTAGTTGCATAGCTGATTCTTATCTCAGCTGTGGCACAGCGTCATCCTTCTCTAGAAATCCTATGAAAGATAAAGATCATTTCAGGGCTCAAGGAACCGCCATCCACCACCGCATTGTAGTAGTCCTGAACACAGAAAATATCCCACACATGATAAGCCAACTGCACGAAAACGTACACCAAGTGGCCGGTTTATGGACACCATCAACCCTTTGATGTCATTTTCTAGCGCCGATATCGCAGATATGGATAAAGAGGTTAGCTATTTACTACAGCTTATTTCACGAGTATCCACATTACGTTTTGACAACTGTTCAACAAGTGACATCTTTGTATCAGTCGGTAACGTTAGCAATAATGAATCGGCAACTTATAAAATGTCAACTTGTTGACTAAGTACGCTAGTGTGTAGTAATCTAGTAATCTTATTCCTCGCTTGCTACGAGTGAGCATGAAGTGAACGACAGCTAGTTCCAAGTTGACATCTTGGATTTATTGATTACTAGGTAAGTTAACAGAACAGTCTGCATTGTCCTTTGTAGTAACTGTAATTTTACCTGTAAAATAATATAGGCACTTGTTTCTGAATTCAGTCATATACTGCAACATTTTTTGTATTCACTGTAAGGCTGTTTCATTGCCCATTAAAATCATGTGGTGTTTCAAGTTTCAAAAGTAGGGATGATTAACATAGTCAAAAACTCTCATTTCGTCCCTACCTGACTTGAAATGTAGTTAGGATTATTAGCAGCCATTTTGCTTGTACCGTTTTTTTTTTTCGTATGCGAACTTTTATAAATGAAAGATTTGTGAGCAAGTACAAAATTAATCCGTAGCATACAAAAAACCGCAACAAAACTCGGCCCTGTTTGTCTGGCGTTGACGTGACCACCAGAATTGTGTTACTTGTGGATATGGGGAATTTTGGAATGTCACTATATAATCAGCTGTTATTCTGCCTTAATGGATACAGACAGTACAAGTAGAATGATGAATTGTAGGAAGTTTTTTCTATTTCTGATAGGTTTAAAAATTATGTTTCTATTCGCGATTCAAGTTCCAACTCCATTGGCGGGGAAGTATTGTAATCCTGAAACATTTTGAAGATATCATGTTTTTTGGAGTTTTATGTCATGCACATCACGAAAAAACATGTCTCTCATTTCCGTAATTCTATCAGTCTGTCTGTTTGATAATCCTTGTCTTGACTGGGAAAGTACTGCACGGACTTTGATGCAGTGTTCACTATACTATAGTATTTAGTAGTTATTGAAAATTGATCTAGTGGCAGTGATGCTGTAGACAAAAAACGATATGAAAAATCGTTCAGATTTCGTATTTTGACGTTCTAGAGTCTCTTAATCTAATTCAGAAACATTTTTGTAGGGGTTACGAATTGTAAGGGGCGGGGAGGGTATTTTTTGCGTTAGCATATTCATACGTTTCTGATCCTGGTAATACATTTCCCGCACATTTGCCCTTAAAACTTGACCAATGGTGGGGAAATATTTTCAATTCACACGCCCCACGAAGTTGGTCGAAACCAAAACATAGACGTGCTAAGGCCCGTATCGTCAGTCGTCCCTACAATTGTAGGGCGCGTTTATGTCCTCCTTGATTGTCATAGTTTTCTACTTCTCCGTGTCAGCGCTCTATTTTGAGGTTATGTCACAAACATCTATTTGCATCAAATTGTGCTTGCTTTTGAGTTATATCATGTTTTATCAGCCTGAAATTTCCTACAATTTTAAAAGAAAACATATCTTCACAATAGGAGAGCGCTGACACGGGACAAGTGTAATCTAGAAATGTTTGAAGGAGAGAAAGGAGTATGACAATCAAGGAGGCCATAAACGCGCCCTACAATTGTAGGGACGACTGACGATACGGGCCTTAGAGGACTGACTGATGGGAGAATTGTATGGGCCTGTGAGACTGACTTGATCCATTTAATTAATTAGTTATACATGCTCGTAGCTAACTTTTGTCTCGGAGGGACTAACTAGTGCCGAACATAATCCTTTATGACAGCATTGCATTGGAAGTACATAATTAACCTATTACTTGACGTTCTTTCTTTTCAATATGACGGCGCGAGTGGAAAAGACCATGGCAGCAAAGTAGAAATTAGTAAATAGCAAGTCAAAAGAGGCTTCTGTTTATCACAGAAATCTCATGTTTCAAGTATGTAATGGACCAATAGATATCTATGCATTTTTTACTGAATATTGCGAATATTACTTCTGTATTGTTTCCTCTTCGTAAACTTGCTGATATTAATTTTTATAAAATGATAGCACATATTTGTTGTATGAAAGTTTTGTGAATTGTGAAGGTCGAAGACATCCTCGTAAATGAAAGTGGCAGTAGCAGTAGTGAGGAAGAAAATGAAGCGGTTCCGCCTGAGGTGCAAGAAGCTCTGTCGGAAGATAAGCCCACAGTCATCGCAGAGATCCTGAACAGTAGTAGTAGTAATGAAGATGATGAACTTGGAGGTAATGTTTATAATATGCCCTTAGATTACATGTATACACTGTTTATCGCGATAATTTCAAAAAATCACTTTCATATATAGGAGCTGTATTATATAACAAAATACCGCATTCAGTCAAGCAACTACCACTTAGTATATTTAAAGGACATATCAAGGAGCTCATATTTAATGACGTCCTATCTATATAAATGTAATCAGACTCTTGTTTTTTTCTAAATTCTTATCAATTATTAAATTTATTAATGATCTTATTTTATTGTAAAGATGTTTTAACTATTGGTGCCCTGGTTAGAACAGCTGCTAGCTGAATCCTCGCCAGGAAAATAAAAGGGATTTTATTATTATTATAGTTCAATACATCAAAACGTGACAACAAATAACGGTTGATCATGTAGTGACATTTAAAATACTCCATATCGCCAGATAACAGAGGCGTACTTTATTTTGTTTCGTACTTGACAACGCTAATGGTTTTTTGTGATTTGTTTTGCTTAGAGTAATTAGGGAAGTTTTGGTATACAATAAGAACGAACCAATCAATATAATTGCCAATAAACATGATTTCATTTCAAGTCAGCTGAGATTTAGATAATTGGTAAAAAAAACTGATATGCTACTGAATTTGAACAGATTCACTGTTATCAACAGTAAAAATTAGAAGGGAGCAACTTAAATAGGTGTCAGAATATAAAGTATCGAGGTAAATAGTGTATGTTAACTGCTGCATTGCATTGGCCCAGGAGTTATCACCACTGAATGCTATTGTACTATTAGGAACCGAAGATGATTTAGCCATGGAGTATCCCAGGGGGTTCAAAAGAAAAAGGAGTTGTGGTTTAAGGAAGGACCTGGATGAGGATGATGATGATGAAGAAAATCCTTATAATCCCTCTCCAAACTCCTCCGACGATGAAACGCCAAGTGAGAGGTTCAAGTATGTATGAATACTAATTGCTATCCAGTTATTATCTAATATCCATGCAACCACTGAAATAAAATAATTCGGACAGTTCTTGTCTTCCATGGATATTAGTATACAGGTTAGAATGTAAACTTCTATTCTCTCTATAAATCTTCAATGTGATCTAGAGGTGTGACTAACAGGATATTTCTTGTTCATAAACTTTATATTTTGAAACTTTAAGAATGAGGGGTAAATTAGAGTATACAGTTTGTTTAGAAATTCTCGAATATTTAGTAATCTACGGCCATGCTGAAATTTCAACATTTTTAATAATTTGAAGATTAGAATACTGGCGCTGAATAGAATACACCACTGGACCCAACTACAAAGAACTACTACTACTACTATAAAAGTTTTGCAATACAGCTTTATGTATTGACTTCGTTCAAAGTAATTTCCACCACATTCAATACACTTTTCTATAGACTCTCTGACTTTAGGCAGTATACTGTTCCGTGTACTACTTAGCTGTGACTGTCTTCGGTGTGTCCAAAACGACACGCTCCACAATCCCGCTCGATTTGAAAAATACAGCTATCATTTTTTTCTTAACAGATCGGGATTTTCTGACAGCTACGGGTGTGAGCTTATCATCAAAGACTCAAACTTTGTTTTGAGCTTTGGTCGGCACATCGTAATAATAGAGCCAAGTCTCGTCACCCGTTACGATGCTGTTCACATACCGAGATTGCCCTTATCAAACATTTTCAACATCTTTCGGCACCAAGTCGAACGACTAGTCTTCTGCTCTTCCGTAAGACTATGCGGTACCCAGAGAGAACAAAGTTTCCTTCCGTGTAAATGGTCATGCAGAATTGAATGAATTGCTGGTGCATGAAGGTGTAAGGTATCCTCTATCTGTTGGTATATCAGACTCCGGTCTTCGACAAGTATTTTCCTCACAGCAGTAATATTTTCCTCTGTTACTGTTGTTCGCGGCCTTCCGTCCCTCTCAGCGTCCTCCAGAGTGAAATTGCCCCTATGGAATTCTCTGTACCGCCTAAATATAGTCATGCGATGAGGGCAATGATTCTTTAATGCAAGCTTCATTTCTTCTAAGCACTGGTCTATGCTTAACCACGCCTAAAGTTACCGTAAAACTGCCCTTATCTCACTACGTGACCATGGTGTCATAGTCCGCACTTTACACTGTCAATACGAAAGGCCAATTAAATCAACAGACGTGCTGCTGGCGGCTACTATGCACTCATGGACATGTCTCAACATGTAAGATGCAGCCTCGTGCGTCCGTTTGTTAATTTATATTGCAAAACTTTTATAGTACCCTTTTTATTTAGCGGGAATCATTGCTACCAGTAGATTTGTAATATTTTTCACGTTACTTCATCACATTTTAATGTCTAACAAGGTAAACATCTGATCAGCAAGTGGAATCATTGTGTTGGCAGTAATGAAAATCGTGAAACTGAGGCTTGACAGGTGCCGTATATGAATGCAAGGTGGACCGAATTGAATCAGAGCAAGTTAAATCCCGCCAAGCTGGGCAACGATGTGTATTCTTCGTTTTACTATTTCGTTTTTAACCAGGTGAAAGTAGCTACTGCCAAACATTCATTTAGACTCGTATAGCTTTACTCGATTGCGTGACGACAAAACATACAAACAACTGCTCTCGATGGCATTACTTTTGATATGTGTGGTAATCTAGTATGCTTTGATTCTATTCGTCTCATCTGGCAACCTTGTACGGCACCCGTTGCCATCACGTCGAAGTATAATGGAGACCTAAGGATCGTATTCAGAACTATTTACACCGCCAAAAATAGATTTTTTAGATTCATACTTCTCACTAAAATATATGAAGTACACATGGAGACTTGCAACAAATGACATAAAAGTGGTATTAGAAAGTATGAACTAGTGCAAAAAGCAATGGCGGACTTAGGATTCTGCCTATGGGGAGGGGAGGGCTGCAAGCTTAAGCACTTAAGCAGCGCTGCTGTGAGAAAATGCCCTTGTAACAATTAGAAGCGGGGGTGGTACCCATAACTGATAGCATTACGCAATACAAATTATAACCGCTTGTGGGTACGCAGGTGAAAGCCATTTCGAAGCAGGACGATACACCCCTACATGCGCTAGATGGGACTGACCCAAACCGCTCAACTATGATCATGGAGGTGGACACCTTGCCTTGGAATGTACAAGATGCAGTGTTTTCTCAAACAAACCAAAGATGAAATGTTGCAGAATTTGTGGCGATCCTGATCTTTCGTTCAACCTAAGTTGAGCGCCAATAGGACCGATCCGGAATCGAGTATTTGGGTGTAAAGAATAAACTAACGCGTATTTTCAATATTGTAACAAAAATGGATGTACTATTAAGGCCATCTGTTGAGAACCGCGCCGACGAGAGTGACCTCGAAGGTTCTGGACTGCCGCTATGTGACCTACCGGAACTTTGTCGAACTAACGAGTACGGCGATGCGGAATATATAAGCCGACTGCCTGGAGAGGGAAGCAGAGTTAAGTGAATGGCGCGACATAATAATTCGTAAATAAGTAGTCGGACATAAATGTTCTATCTAGTTAAGTTAAAGTTAGTTGTGTTGTATTTTAAATAAATTGGTGCATTTCTTCTTTTGGAATCGAGTGTTTTTAATCCACACCCAAAAGAACCCAGAAAAACGCTACAATACGCATTTTAATTCAAGGAACTGGTGTAAATATTCGGAACGTGGAAATGAGCTTCGCTATCTAGTCGGCTTCTATCTCTTTTTAACATATGTGCCTGTGCACACTTCTGTCTCGTACACATTGAACTCAAATCGTCAAACAAATTTAGTTTTCAGTGTATATACATATATGGTGAACAGAAAATTGGCTCAGCGCTGACAATTTTGCTACAAGATGGAATTAATTTTTGTCACATATTATTTTTTATTTGATATAGGCGCGGGGAGATGGATGTAGACAATGACGTAGACATGGAGCCAGAGGATACTCAGGACAGTGACAGTTTAACCCCGCCAGATCCCGAAGAGTTAGATGATAAGGAATGGAACCGAATGGGAGCAGAACTTGAAAGAGAATTCCTTTCTGAGTAAATATTATAAAAGACAGTGATCATGAAATGTGAAAGTGGAAAAGTTACTTTAGACAGAATCGCAACTGTAAAATAGCAATAAGCCAAAATTCGCATTGCTATAAAAAGGACTTATTGCATACCAGAAATACTTTTTCAATGTATACTATCTACAGGGTTATTCAAATGAAGTGTCCACCATTAGTAACTTTGTTATTAGTGAAAATACAAAGTTGTTTGAATTAGCAAACTAGTAGCATTTTTAACGCTGGTAAAAATGAGAAATAAAAAAAAACAATTGAGAGTCGTTATTTTGATTTTTTTCAGTAAAATAACATTTTTTTAAATGGAAACCCCTGTATATTATATTTTTTTCTGTTAAAGCATCAAATTTTAAACAAAAAAGCTCACAATAACTTTTCTCCTAGGTTACAAATTGTTGAAGTTATGGCCTCCAATCTGAAACAATTAAATTGTATCGACAAACTTTATTTTCAACATCAACTTATAATCTTACAAAATACAGTAACAATTTTTTTTAAAGAAGATGCTCGAAAACACCACCTTGTTCTTCAATACATTTTTGGGCACGTTTTTCAACTGCTCGAACTGTCTTAAGTATGGTCCTACCATCTATCTGGGTTATCTTTTCCCTAACTGCAGTCTTTAACGCGTCAAGGTTATCGTACCTTCGCTTGTAAATTTGGTTCTTTAAGTAACCGCACAAGAAGTAATCAAGTGTGTTTAGATCTGGTGATCTGGGAGGCCACTGTATTGGGCCATTTGTTCCTATCCACTGATCATTAAAAGTAGTACTTAGAAAATGATAAGTACCTCTGGAGTTGTGGGCAGGTGCGCCATCTTGCTGAAAATGCAGATGATGTCTACTTATAAGATCCAATTCGTCTAAGAAATTAGTCAGAATTTCTGACATAAATTCCACATATCTTTCACCAGTTAGGGTTCCCTCATAAAAGAACGGGCCAACAATTTTTGAACCAATTATACCGCACCAAACGTTGAAACTGAAACGGACTTGTGGGCCTCTTGGATGTACTAACAAAAGATTTTCTCTTGACCAATAATGGTGGTTTTTTCTATTAAACATTCCAGAATTTGAAAAATTTGATTCATCTGTCCATAAAAGGTAACGAAAGTTATTTACATTTTGGCGACAGAAGCTAAGATACCAATGGCAAAAAACAAGTCTTCTCTCTGGATCCCCTGCCAAAAGCGTTTGAACTGGTCGGTACTTATACGGAATAAATTTGTATTTTTTACAATCCTTTGAACAGTACCATAACTGAAATTAGAGTCCTTGAGAATATCTGCTATTGAATTCTCACGAAAAGCTTCAAAATATCCAATAACTGCAATTTCCGTGGCCTCGCTTATTATGAATTCTTTTTTTGCCCTTGTTTTAGCACAAACATTTTCGTTGCCCCTAAATTTTCGATAAAGTCTCAGAAAATATCGTTCATACGGTTGAATGCGAGCGGGATATAATTCACTGTAGTATTCTCTTGCTCTCAAGGAGGATTTTCTGCACTCTAAATAGCATTCTAACATATCACACTTTTCTTCATGGGAGAACATTTTTCTTTAAATTAATGACACAATAAAGCTTATAAACAAGTATTTACACTAATGTTTGACATTATTTGATTTTATCATTGTTTTCCAAAGCCTTCTAGTTGCGAGTATGTCCAGTTTAACAATTTGTCGCTTATCTTAATGCTGTCAAATCGCGAACGCCATGTTGTTTTCATAGCCGTCTTAATATTATAATACTGCAAATAATTAAAAATATTTATCGTTATTTTGACTTTATTTTTGACTTTAGCGGAAAAGTCATCATGAACTTTTTTGTTTAAAGTTTGATGCTTTAACAGAAAAAAATATAATATACAGGGGTTTCCATTTAAAAAAATGTTATTTTACTGGAAAAAATCAAAATAGCGACTCTCAATTGTTTTTTTTTAATTCTCATTTTTACCAGCGTTAAAAATGCTACTAGTTTGCTAATTCAAACAACTTTGTATTTTCACTAATAACAAAGTTACTAATGGTGGACACTTAATTTGGATAACCCTGTATACTGTTATATGTATTGAAGTATGGGATATTAATGGGAATATGCGTCAAATTCCCGATGTTATCCCTAGTTCAAAATGAGGAAGGGTCCTCTGATTCAATGCACAATAATTTTAGAATTCCGCTGCTTCAATAACTTATGGTCGTTAACGTTAATTTTATCACTCAATTTTAACATTACCGTGATATTTTAAATTTAGCATCTATTGATTCCGCATATTTTGCGATTTCGGAAACGATTTGTTTGAAGCAAATTCCCGTACGCATTACTCCATTTTGTTCAAAGTATAAGCCGGGCAATATGACTCAATCTATGAAGTATTCTACCTATAAGATATCCATTTGCTGTCAGCGCAGTGAAAGCATAACTACCAGAAAGTGCGTTGAAAAACCGTCTGATCAATTTGAGTTTGCATTTAGAATAATATATCAACCCAGAAAAATTTAAACTGTTGCAAAATATTTAATAGTGAAATGCATTCTGTAGATATTTTTATCAATTTTGGCGGGTTACAGTAAAGGTACCGGTAAGGCTTGGATTTTTAGTTTTATGTTTGTCGTGCCAGTATGACCCACCTCTTGTGGGTAATAGAGGTATTTTTACTTCCTACGTTTTTACTCCCTACGCCACTGGCAAGGAAGTATTGTAATGGCGATAAAATTCGAAAATGAGATTATTTTGACATCATCATCATGACATCTACATCACGAAAACCCATGTTACTAATTTCTGCCTGTCTGTCTGCTAATCTTTTGCCCGCCTATAACTTGGGCAGTACCCCTCAGATTTTGATGAAATTTTTACACAAGGCTACTACTATGCCAAGGACGGCTTTTTAGAATTTGTAAATCGATCCAGTGGCGGCTGAGCTAGAGGCTAAAGAACGAAGAAAATTAAAATCTCTCGAATTACCCTTTTCATTTTCAGAACAGTTTTTTAAATGTTGAAAGGTGAGGGTAAATGTTTATTTGGTATCAGTGAAAGACGTTCAATCGTCAAGAACTTGACCTTAATAACAGAAAATTTAAATGACAAAGATCCGATGAATAATCTGCTCATAATTCCAAATAGTACATGCAATTATAGGATTCACAATTCTTTGGTGCCTCGACGCGATAACAGCGTTCGTGCCGTTAGCTGTTTCAGCGTCGAACTCTAAACCAGCAGTGAGGTGAGGTTGATGACAAGAAACGGGAGGTGGGAAAAATGAGCCCGAATGTTTGTGATCGGGGAGTATTTGGCCATTAGGAGTGAATATAAGTTGGTAAATACACACTTCCATAGATAAAAAATTAACTCTTAGAGGCGTAATACAAGAAGGAAATATAGATTGACTCAGTACTTGCTTATACATTCATGTACAACTATTTTCAAACATCTTTTACCTACATATACAGTCTTATTTTATGCCCAAAAGTAACAGAAACTTGAGGAACACAATTTTTACTTAAGTTGAGACAGCAGTCAAAATCACATAAAAAGACAGTCTGTAAATTGCAACTAAATGCACATACGTGTGGCAAAATTTGACACACAACTCTGTTTAATGTAGGACTAGTGTGACAGTTGGTCAAAGTTTCCTTACATGTAAATGGTCATGCAGAATTGAATAAATTGCTGTTGCATGAAGGTGTAAGGTCTCCTCTATCTGTTGGTATGTCACTATCCGGTCTTCGTCAAGCATTTTCCTCACAGCAGTAATGTTTTCCTCTGTTACTGACGTTCGCGGCCTTCCTTCTCTCTCAGCGTCCTACAGAGTGAAATTGCTTCTTTGGAATTCTCTGTACCACCTGTCATACGATGAGGACAATCATTTCTTCTAAGCACTGGTCTATGCTTAAACGCGTAAAGTTATACGGTAAAACTGCCCTTATCTCACTACGTGACCACGCACTTTACACTGACAAATCGAATGAACAACTAAATCAACGGACGTGCCGCTGGCGGCTACTATGCACTCATGGACATGTCTCAACATGCAGCCTCCTACGTCCGTTTGTACCCTTTGTAGAAATTTCAGCCATTTGTATATATTTACCAAACTCACGTACTATCGCGTAGTATTTATTAACATTTTGATTCAAACTTCTAACGATCCCACTTTGCTGGTACCACTGGAATGTTTTTCGGTTGAGATACTCTGTGGAACAAGCCTGTTGCACACTGTCTAGCCAGTCATACATATGTATAACTGTTAGCAAAAATCCAAGAACATCTATGGAAGGTAAATGAAGAAAACATGAAGTGTAACTATCAGGGACTTTTCTTAAATGATATTTTGTATATGTTTCCCTTGATTGTTAATTTATTCATAATTGTATAATCTGAAGTTTAGCGAAAATTGTTATGAGTACGCATTTTGAATTGTACCTGTATTTTTAGTGATGTACATACATATTTCTAATGTAAGATCATGTTGGATGGCAAAAGTCGTGAAATGTGAATTAAATTTGCAGAAATAAAATACATTCTTCTAATTATTTCAGTCGGATTCATCAACGAATGCGAATAGATTAGAAGCGAAGACTATAAGTTTGCATTGCCTTGTTTGTCGACAAAAATGTGTAGTTTTAGTGCAAACTTTTAGATGGTTTGCCTATCATTAGTATCTGTGCTGTGATGTGAATCCTTAGTTATTGTTAATAATAAGGATAAATACGACAAACTAAAAGTTCGTCATTTTGGAAGACGTTCAATACTAAACATTCTATCTATCAAACACCAACAATGGTGGAATACCTGATGTTGGAAATAGTGGCACACCTTGCGGATTTTATTCGGTTTTTCTGAATAGTTGTGATCGGAGTAGATTCTTGGCTAAAAGCAAATACCTAGTTGAAGGTAATATGGAAATTCCTGTTATTCATATTATTATTTAATAAAACGATTTGGAAGTATGTTAATCAAGTTGATATTCTTTTTTTTTTTTGTACTAAGCTTCCTCCATATAATTTCGTGGCACTAAACTAAAATTACTTCTTATAACCCTAGAGTACCTTTCCTAAAAACTATTAGATTCAAAATTATAGTCGTGAAAGTATACATTTAGTTTTGTTATATTAAAGTTTCGATCAAACTGGATGGAGTCTTAAGCTTGATGAATTTTTAGAATGAACTTACATCTTTGTTTAAGATTTATTTAGCATAGTTGCTACAATTACATTCCTTTAAAAAACCACAATTACATGACTACTGACTACATAATTTTGGCGACAAACAAATTGTATATCTATAGGTTTTATTCATTCGGTTGGTATTAAATTTATTTGTTACTTATTAGTGCAACTTAAAAAGTCATTCTTCAATTTCTAATTTTCAACATACTAAAATTTGAAATAAAATACTTTTTATCCATTAAACAGATGGGTGAAGGCCGCTTTTAATTCGGATCTTGGACTATAAGTACATATTTTAACAAAGCATTCAGGGGTGACTAGAATATTAAATTGTACGTCAAATAATCTTAATTATCATAATTATAGTCTGTCACCCCGTTTTTTTAATTTGACTAAGTACAAGATACGTACAAACTGTTTCTTTGCCGACTGCGAGCAGTAAGCGCGTTACTTTTTTGGCCAGTTGTAACAAGTACTCAAAACATTAAATTACGACATTCTGTATATTTTTTGTTCCTCACATTCCACTTTGAGAGTTTTTTTGCGCAAAAGTAGATTTAAAAAATAATAGATGTTTCTGTTTTTACCCCAAACAAATAATCGCGACTTTTAAGCGCTTGAATGCTTCTACAAATGTTGATGCACGACTCTATAGTAGTTGTTTGCTTTTCGTTTAGCAGTAATTATAATCAAACACGCTGTTAGCCTGAAGGATAAGGAAAAATCGATAAGTAACGTAGTTGTTCCTACATAGTTTGGTAGTTTAATTTCTAGAGTCGTTTTTTAACATTCACCGTAAATTGCTAATTTGAGTACGACAATGAAACCTGACATTTTGATAGTTTCTACCTACTACAAAATAGGAAAATTATTAGGAATTATGCCTATTGGAACGCCTTCTAACAAAACCAAAAAATGGTTGGGCAAACTGTACATTTTATCATTATTGCTGATTGTCATAGGAGGCACAATGCTTTCATTTATATCCCGATATCTCCATTTCCTCAATAACCTTCCAGTTACCCAATGTGTTTTAGACTTTCTGGACGCGTTGTCGGAAACCTTGTTTATGGTGGTATCCTTTATTGGTGCTTTAAGATATGGAAAGTACTGGAGAATGTTTTGGAAGAATACCAAAAAGCTTGATTATATCCTGGATAAGCAAGGATTCAAAGATGACACAAATATTCATGTTTGTCTTTTTGGAGTGACTATATTGCACTTGTTCTATTTTGCGCTAAACGCTTACGAGATCGTGACTTGGATGGATCATACTTCAAGATCGGATACTGAGGTGGAGAATGGATATTATTTATCAAGGATTATTATGTACTATCAGTTTTTCATAGTACTATTTACTATTCAAGTGGCGAAGTTACTAAGAACAAGGTATACATTTGTTAGAACCTTTCTTGAAGACTACCTAAGGACGTTAAGAAGAACTATCATTATAACTGAAAATATCAACAAATCGATGAATCTGAAGCTTAACCTTGTCAAGGAAATGTACAGTGTACTGTATAGCACAGTGAAAAATTATAATACAGTTTTCGGATGGGGTATGTTTTTTACAGTCATCTCAAATGTAACTGTTTGTTTGGGAAGCTTGAACTACATTTTGCAGTTCTCCAACACATCAGATGAAGAGTTCAATATTGGTGTGTTATCAGTAAATGTTATTTACTCCGTAGTTTATACAGTAAGTACATACGTTTTTGAACATCAGCCTCCTGTAGGTGTTTCTTTATTTTGAGCTAGGGCAAAAAAATGTGTATTTCTAACACTTTTACATGTCCTGCTTAGTTGATAATCAATTCTTGAAGGCAATAAATATTTTCTTTTAAGGATATGTTGCAATATATCTATTCAGTTATCAGGAAAAATGACTAACAAAGCCGTGAAACAAGCACTTAGTTATATTATTATCACCTTATTACAAGTCAACACCTAAAAGCTGGCCGCATTACCATTTAGCAGCTCACTGTGTGCCTGTCTAGCAGCAAAAGAGCTGACCATATTCTAAGGGTAATTGACATTTGAAACTTTTACGTTATGGTTTTCATGCTGATCGAACTCCATGATTTGCTGGACAAATGAAACCACATATGTGTGAATTACTTTTTACTGACGTTTCGGCCCACCATGCCTACTGGTGGGGAAGTATTGTAATCGCGAAAATGAGATATTGTTTTACGGATGTTATGTGACATCAACATCACGAAAAACCATGTCACTTATTTCCGTCGCACTGTCCGCAAATATTATAACCGCCTATAACTTGAGAAGTGCTGGTTGGATTTCGATTAAATTTTGACACGATGTTACTACTATGCCAAGGACGCAAAAGCTTTGTAGTTTTTTTTTTAAATCGGTCCAGTGGCGTCAGAGAAAAATAAACCACTACCCACAGAGAGAAAAAGACCTGTAACGAAAAGAGTAAAAATCGCTCAGACTTCGTTTTTTAAAAATTTTTTGAAAAAGAGGAACTTGGGGGTGAAGGTTGTAGGGTGGTGGAAGGCTTTATTACAATTTTTGAGTACATTTATATGCTCCTAAAATTGGTAATTCTACGCATCTATTTATACATATTTCACACATCATAGATTTCTCTGTACATTAAAACCTCCGGCCTTGATGAGTGTTCTGGTATGGTATCACACGTATTTCTGCCGCGTCACAGCATAGTGTTTCGTTTGCTCTGGCCACGGTACCACGTCTGACCTAGTTAACCCTTAACCCCGGAAATACAAGTTGCGGAACATAAACCCGGATGTGCCGTCTAAGGGACTAGTGACAATAGTATGTCCAAAATATCAAAAAAAGGAATAACAAATTTGAAACCTATGTTCCTGACTATTATTTGGGATATCAGAAGAGTAGCAAATGGGATGGTATCTTAAAATACTTACCTAATTTGTGCTTACATAGCATTTGCTTACAAGTATGCTCCAATTAGCAGTGCCATTGGTATTTATAAATAAGCAAAAACTGGTTTCATATTAATGCTTTTATTATTCCATTTTTGTTGAAAAAGGTAACAAGAACTATAGAAAAAAATAGCACGTAATGAAAACTGAACAAGAAAATCTTCCAGCACATCTCAAAGTTTAGAGTTTTTCGGTGCAAGCCTGGCAAACCGGTTTTGTGCATTGTAGACATACGGGCTTTCTGCACTGGAAACATAGATACTTTGTCATACGTTTTTTTTTTCTTGGGCATAAATGGCATAGTTTTCTTTTTTCCAATACATCTTGGCGATCATCCGTTTCCGCAGTTTCTTCGACTATGCCAAGAATACGACGGATATTGTCTCTTATTTCCCGAGGCACATGTTTGTTAGCTGCTCGTCTTTTCATATGTTCTTCAACTAGTTGTTTGGCTAACTGCTTTGCAAATATTGATTTCTCTTGTATTTTGGGATTATCTCGGTAGCTCTGGTGCAAAATATAAGAATTGACAATGGATATATATCTACCATTCGTAGAAATATGGCCATGGGCCATCTACGCGTTCGCCGACTTGTAGAGCTTTTAGCGCATTTCTTGTCCAGCGAATCAACCCCACCTTTGGTATAATTATAAAATGCGATTACCTCTGGTTTATTAGTATCAGGATCACTAGCATTTCGATGATGCATTGAAGAAATTAAAAGTGTTGCTTTTCCCCTACGACTCGCATTAGAAAGCAATGTCATGTTTTCCCTGAATCCATACAATGTACTTCCGACTTCCTTTTTTCTGTTGGGTAAAATTCACTGGGTATCTCCCTTTTATTTTTCTTTAGCGTTTTCACGTAGGTTAATCCTTTGGAAAGTAGTAATTCGGCAAGCTCTATCGAAGAAAACCATTGTAAAAATAAGAAGTTCGAGCATCCGTCAGGCATATTATTTTTAGCCCATATTTATCTGGCTTGTTGGGCATGTATATTTTAAAGGAACATCGTCCGCGAAAACTAACAAGCATTTCGTCAATGCATGCAGATGTACCAATACTATAACAATCTTGGCAATTTTGAACAAAGCGATCAAATATTTCTGACACCGCGGCAGCAGGATTATCCTTCTTGCGTTGATCTCGATCGTCAGGATTATCAAAGAGCAAACAGGACAATAGAATTCCAAATCGTTCGCGACTCATGATGGCCCTAAATATCTCCCTCCCAGTGCCATCGGTTGCAAATAATGTTTCTAAGTTCTCATGATTAGAATTGAAAATCGCGTTGAAAACAAGGCTTTTAACTCGACAATATCAAGATCTTTTAGCTCAGTTTTATTTAGATCATTGTACTTAGACCTTACTTTAGCAAGCCTTTTGTTTGTCCAGCATATAATATTTGTCATAATCTCATCGCAAAATAAGAGCTGCCAGACTGACAAAGGGTCGATTTGAGTTCCCATTCGTTGAGCTTTGGTTTTCAATACAGGCACTTTGACAACTATATTCTGTTTGCGCGTACGGGATGATGGACAAACTTCAGTCTTGCACCATCTGAATCGATTCTTTCCATACAGATATTTTGTATGATTTATTAGCGGCTCGTCCTCTGACTCACTTGATGATCCACCTTCAACTTCGTTGTTACACGACTGTTCTGACACACTATCATGATCGGATAGCACATAATGTTCTTCTGAAACCTCATCAATGTCACCACTAGTTGTTTCATTGTACCACTTAAGCATAGTTTATTCATAATCCGCATCACCTATACGCACCCGTTTAGACGGTCCGGCCATATTTAAACAAAATGTTCACAACGAAAAAGTTACGAATACGCTGAGGTGCCGTCTGTCAGACTGTGTTGCGACTGATTTCCTACATAACTGGCTTCTTATGAATCTGAAATATTTGATACACACAGCATACATCAACGACCAATCAAGCTTGGATTACAGGAGGTCGCGTTGCCTGTTTTATTGCACACAGGAAAATTATTTACTCATAGTCTCTCAGACGGCACCTCCGAGGTTAAGGGTTAAGTAACGGGGAGAGGCGACGTTTCCAGTCACACTACCGGTAGGGCATGAAATTATAAGCGCGTTGCGTGAAAAACGCAGAGTCAACCTACTTGACGCCTTTTATTTTAAGTCCAAAAGACAATATATAGTTTATGTTTATCTGTCTTCCAGGTGACCATCCATTTATTATTGTCTTTTCGTCGCAACTATAAAACCGCTTTGGATGCCTGGGCGTGTTTTGTGGCGAGAATGCCAACTCCAGAGTTCCTCGACTTTGTCGTGACGGCTTCGTGCGGTAAAACGTGGTACAGGACCGCTCATGCTGCTGTCGTAACACACTGTATAGCCGCGAAAAAAAAACAAATCGATTGTCACATGGAAGACAGATAAAAATAAAATATAATTGTACATTGTCATTTCTATTTTGAAAAAAGCAGTCGTCAGGCCCAAAGAAAAAATGAACTGTCACATGGAAGACAGGATATACAAAAAATGTACGTGTATTGTCTTTTGTACTTTAAAAAAAGGACACCGTTGTCACCGAAAAGTCGGTAAAAAACGTAATTTACACACATAGGTATGTGGTTTCTTTTGGCCAGACTTCACTCTGTACAAGGTCCAGACAGTACTTAGCTCCGAGTACTGCTCACACGTTTTTGGTGCTGCCGTCCCACTACATTATTCATACTCGATGCTGTTCAGAGTTTGAATGAAATAAAACAAGTCATGTGTGGTGAAAGACGATATTTTGATGGAATGTCATTCATATATAAGCGCAGAATGTCACAGATGCATTTTCAATATCCGTATGATATAGATTCGGCTGAATTTAAGTGATGAGACGGGTTATGTTGACCATGAAAGCATCTGAATAGTGAGGCGTATTGGGATAGACTGGCGACTGGTGAAAATGCGTCCACAAGCTGTTTGGTACGGATTTCTGGCCGACGACGTTACTGGCCGATACTTCACCGTTAACGGCGAACTCTACACATTTAGATATATTTTGACTCTGAATTGGATGATGGGGGCATCTAATAGCAGGACGACACCTACGAGCGAGCGAAGCCTGCATCAACACATCAAGGGTAGAATTATCTCTCGCAGTGAGGTGATGAGATTTTAGTCCATTGGACCTTAGCATGCTACAGTCTTTGAAAACCGGACTTCTCTGATTCGTGCCATTGTGCGAATCCACGGCGGATATTTACATGATGTCATATTCCATATTAAATGATATACAGGATGTCCCAGAATACGTCACACATCGATCTTTCCCATATAAAACATGAAAAAGTAATTCCACACGTTCATATAAAAAATGTCCTACTGTTCTCTAGCTATCTATCTATCTTCCTACCGTAATTAATCAAGTTTTAGTTTTTTTTTAGCTAACGCATTAGGTTTTCCAAAATTATTGTTTGTTTATATAAGAAATATCAGTAATGCGTTCAAGCTAGTCCACTCCTGGCAAACTTAATCAGCTGTTTTCTATGAATACCTTCAAGTGAGGTCGAAACTGGATATTCAGTTGTCAAAATTTCGTTGAATTATATAATGCCGTTCAGAGGTTATTTAAGAAAAAACGCTTTTTAAGTGTCTCTAACGCCTTAGAGAAGCCCTATAGAACATTTGTGTGTATTCTGAATCCATACGAAAGATTCGGCGTTTTATTTTGTGACGCCCTATGTATGGAACTCTCACACAAAAAAGCATTACACCAACACCTCACACACAGCTTGTTTTATTAATTATCCCATTCCAATAACCTTATTCTAACCACTGAAAGAAAATTAAATCCCCGTCAAAACCAACACCAGCAGCTATAAATATCTGGGCATGGCAACAACAAGCGAATATAAGTAGCGATCAAGTGCTCATGTTTGTTTCGGTGGGGTGTAAATGTGATTTGAATACATTATAACAACTGTACCCTCACATTTTCAGAGTGCCACAATTGCCATCACAATGTCATGTGAATTTCTGCAACAAGAGGGACTCAGCATTGTGAGAGTATGTTTCCTTTATCAAGATGTGTTAGAGAAAGGAATGTTTAGAGAAGATATAGTACTGTTCATTGATTTTATCAAGATTCTATCTCCAAATTTTTCTGCAGCTGGATTTTTTACATTGAATCAACAACTTCTATCTGGATTATTTTCTGCAGTGATAACTTATTTGATTATCATCATCCAATTCAACATGTCAAAGCAGTAAATAATTAAAAATGTACTGATAGTTTTCTTTTATTCCTTGCGTGTAATGTGTTTACATTATATTAGAGGATTCCTTCTGAAATACTGAGCTGAAAATGGGGCATTTATTTATTCTTCAAAAAATTCAGACAAATTCCCTAAACCTAATTCAAGATTCACACTAGGAAGGTTTAATCACTTAATTAGCATGAGAAATAATTTATTTTGGGAGCAGGCAACAACACAAGTGCCAAGATGACCATAAATTATTGCAGTTAGAAAATAGTCCTATTTGATTAGGTTTATTAATTTCTGAAATATATACTTATAATACTTCAATGAGATTACTATATTATGATAAATAACTTAAAATAGCTGCTCAATAATAATGTTATTGAATAAAATGCTTCCTAAATTTATCTAAAGCTCTATATCTATGAGATATCTTATTCTTTTCACTCTTGGGCATTTCTGCATAAGTGTTGTCATATCCTACAGGTTGAAAGCAAGGATCCCACCCAAAATCCCTAGGCCCTCTTGGACTAACAATCATGCCATCAGTTCTCCCTTGAAACAATACAACTTTCTCATTTTCACCACCAGGATGATAAGCAAATGTACAGACAGCTTGTGCAGTTTTATCTTCAAAACCCTCCAGCATTTGGTGCAAGCCTTCAGGTCCCAGCTTCTCAAGGAACCATTTTATGTAAGGGCCTGGTAAACCTTTTAAAGCATTGAAGCAAAGGGCTGTATCCTCAACTACCACTGGCCCTTGCACTTGTCGATGTGCTTCCTTGGCTTTCAAAATAGATATTTCGTTTATATCGCCTTGCAGTTCGGGCAGGTCAAGCTTCTTGCTTGTCAATTCACCCGGAAAATCGGATCCCAGTATCTGTACTACTTCTTCAAGTTTTTTTGCGTTTCCAGTCACAAAGGTAATCGTTTTTAGCATTTTTTGAATTGTAAATAACTGTCGTAAATACTAAAATAATCTCATCAACTCACAATTAATATGAGGGTGCGTAAATCAAGTTCTTTAAAATTGTAGGCCACATGTCAATAAATACACATACATAACCTATTGATTGGGCTTTTCCCGCTTGTCGTTTTCCCAGCTGATTGTCAAAGTCACAAAACACAAATACAAAAATTGTGTGGTCCAGTTGTATATAATCAAATCCAAGCGAATAACCAAAATTTCTGTGTTATGTACCGCGGTTATGATATGGTTTAAGATGACACACGGGTTGATGACGTCAGTTACTCGAACCGCTTGAACGTGATGGTTTCATTGGTTGGTTTTAACTGCGGTTTAGTTGCAGATTATTTATTTTAGAAAAGCGCGTATATAATGTCTAATTATTTTTACTATCACTTAATAATCGTTGCTTTTTCGTCTACAACAGTGTATGGAAAGCTTAAAAAAGAAACCTTTCATAATATTAATGGGAGAAATGTTTTTTTTTTCAGAAAATAATTTTTAGTGATGGAACCATGGCCTTGTAGCTATGATAACTTTAATTCTCTAAACTTTGCCGTAATGCAAAGAAAACATTTATTGATTTAGCAAAAATAATAGGAAAAACCGTATACAGGTGGACATTAGCCGGTGAGTTTATATGGCCATATTTTAATACTCTTGTGGTATATGGCTACACAGGATACTTTGTTAAGCATAAGAACAAGAGATTTAAAGTGTCCCAAACAACAGTAATGATTATAAATAATAAGGTGCTCTCTTATGCTAAAACTGAAGTCAGTCTGTATCTAGTTTCCAAAAAATGAAGCTGAAGTACAATAAAAATATCCAATACCCGGCAAGATTCTAACTTGTCACATTTCAAATAATAACCAGAAATATAAAACTACTCTTGAGTTGGGTAAATACCACAATTTTGCGGTGATAACTATGACATATAACAGCTGATTCGTGACGTCACGGATCTTATAACCAAACTGATAACCACACTCGCTTGAACGGATCGGTAAATACCAATCCAAAATACAATTTTCATTTGGCTATCTGCTTAAATATGATTATTGATCATAAATTGACTGAAATAAGCAAGTCATTATTCACCTAATAATTGCTTTATAAACTTTTTTAGGGTTTGACTTTGAAGAAAACTTGAAGTTTTTAATTCGCGTCCTATGTCTGACAAATATGACATGGTTGACAAGACAATTGACGACGTGTATTGTCGACTTGTCGACAACGTTAGTGACAAAGTAGAAGTACTCTTGTTTTCTAAAACCGGCAGAATGGGCCTACAAAGAAATTCCAACTTAAATAAGACGTTGCTGATATTTTCTGTATTTGTGTGTGAAACTATTAGTTCTCAAGTACCCAGGCCCAGAGGGGTATCTTTATCTCGCGCTTCCCTGTACCCCCCGGATAAGGACTTCACGTGTTTCGATGGCAGTGCAACCATGCCATTTTCTAAGGTAAACGATGATTACTGTGATTGCTACGATGCCAGCGACGAGCCTGGCACTGCAGCTTGCCCCCACGGTATATTTTACTGCACTAACGCGGGGTACAAACCTATGAACATCCCTTCAAACAGGGTCAATGATGGGATTTGCGACTGTTGTGATGGTACCGACGAATATGCAAGTGGCGCAGAATGTGTGAACAATTGCGCTGAATTGGGGAAAAGTGCTAGAGAAGCAGCTCAACTTAGAGCTGAGCTAGTTAAGGCTGGGAGGCAGGTTCGTGCAGAGATGAGCCAGAAAGGTGAGTCTGCAGTTTTTTGCACATGAAGAGGCTAAAGACATCAATTATCTACCAGCTCTGAATTACAGCGGGCTCATGGAAGTGATAGTTTTTTCTAGTTTATTGTTGTTTATTTATTGTGCTTTTTATAAACTTAAGTTTGAAACTTTTTGAGCTTCAATCTTTAATAAATATGAAATTCTATATACCTTTTTATACTTGAATATACAGTTGAGCCTTAGGTATATTTTCCATTTTTTCAAAACTCTGCTTAATATTGTTTTGAATTGATAAACATAGTTCTATTGATATGAATGAAATTGCTTACCATCTGATCATATTCTACACATTTATAATTTTCATAGCACATATCAATACTTAATTTCTGAAATATTTGTTATATTGTTTTTTGAATTATCTTTCTTAGGTCCAGGTAAACACTTTTTATCTAAAAAATTGTAAGTGTTCTTTTGATAGTTGTGTTGCATAATAAAGGCTATTGAACAGCTAGCTTTCCTTTGTCTCTATTTCCTTTGCTTAATTTTTATTAATTTAGTGAGTCTGATTTAGTTGCCATCCTCTATGTTTTGTAACAGTTGTGTTTTGCATATTCTTTACCTTTGATTTTGTGCTACTTTTGCTTTATAAATTTACATGAAACACATTTTCCCTTACAAATTGTCAATGCCTCATGATCATTTTTATTTATGAATTGATAATAATGTTACTGTTTTTTAATTATTTTCCAACAGGTGTAAATGCTAAAAATGAAAAACAAAATAAACATCAGGAACTTCAAAAAAATAAAGAAGATGCAGAGAAGTTGAAAGAAGAAAAGGAGTATTTGAAGAATGAAGCAGAGAAATTAGAGAATGCTGCATTAGAATATTACAGGTAACAATGATTGATGCTAATTGTGGGTAAAATAAGAATTGAACTGGTGAAATCAAAATAACAAGAATTTATAAATGCAGTGAAAAATAATCCATATAGGTTTAATATTTTCGTAGATTTCTTAGTTCATGTTTTGTTTGATCCTATCTAGGAAACTTGAGGAGGAAGCAAAGAAGAAAAAAGTTGAAGAAGAAGCAGCTAAAAATAGAGCTGAGGCAGAAGAAACATTCAAAAAGTTAGATTCTAATCAAGATGGTCTTGTAAGCATTGAAGAACTACAAACAAGAACTAGTTTTGATAAAGATCATAATGGTGAAGGTAAATAACATTATATTACATGATTGATGACTCATTTGTTGTGAAAATCCACTAACTAATAATTATACAATAATATATCAGATTGTATCATTATTAATATTATATTGCAGTATCACCTGAGGAAGCAAAATGGTTCTTAAATGACCAAGAACAGGTTGACTTGGATGCATTCATTAATAGTTGTTGGACCTCTGTTAAGCCATACTTGTTGATGGATTCAGGAATGTACACACCTCCTTCTCCTGATGATACAACTGGAAGTGAAGCCCAAGACATGCAGGAAGGACAACATGAAGGAGAATCAGAAGGTATAAATTGTAATTCTGAGTTTGTATTATTAGGAATATTATAGGGTACCAACTACAATATGGGATAAGACTGGGCTAAAACTTGAAATGCCTTTAGTCCCAGTTAATATCACTGTTTTTATATTTTTAACTTGAGTTACAATACTCTTACAATGAACCTGTTGTATTTTATGTACAAAATTTAGATCAGGTAAATAAAATATTTTGTACCAGATTTGTCAATTTTAATTAAGTAGGTAATGAAGATGAAGAGGAAGAAACAGAAGATGATGAGGATACTGAGGAACATGAAGCACCTGAACCAGTACATGAAGAATATTCTGTGACATATGATGAAGAGACTCAAAAATTGGTAGATCAAGCAAACACTGCCAGAACTGCTTTCCAAGATGCTGAGGCTCAGGTAATTTTTTTTGAACTATCAATGAATGATTTATATTTATTTTTTTATTTTGATTCCTATGTTTTGTCTTCACATAACCTTTACCACATTGATGATTGTAAATTGTTGCTATATGCAGTTTATCATAGAGTGAGGCAAGTGAAGCAACTAATTTCAACCAAAATGTGAGCTCTAGGTACTACTTTTCACAATACTTCTTAAGTGCAAAATGTGTCATCAAATAACAGCTCATTATCTGAAGACTTTCAAAAGACCCCTCATTGTCAAGTGACACACAACCTTCATAAATCTATAGACAGAGTCATGTTCAGAAGGGAGGATGTTCTGTGGCCATATTTTGTTGTGGCTTTTTGTTCTGTTCATGCTTTCTAACATTAGTTTTATTACATTTATTGCGGTTTTTGTACACTTCCTATGTTTTGTTTTCCCAATCAGTGGAAACCTTTATGTGAAAATACATTATCAGTACTTGATGTAAATAGTTCTGAATATGGACCTAAGTTTCATCAGATTGATTATTGCCAGTAGTACACACTTCACACAAAGATGTCACTAGCTGATCAGCTGCTTCTCAATAAACATCAAAACATTAGGAAGTATCATGAAAACAAATAAAAAAAAAGAATTAATGAACCTCCTATGATAACATCAATGTACCTTAGCAAAAGCAATATGCATGTTATTTAACTTAAACATCTAAGTCAAGTATTGTGAAAAATAGATTGCTAATTTGAGTTCAGCATTCCAGACAAAAGGTCACTTCTGTAATTTTTAGGTTAGGGATATCGAGAGCGAGTTGCAAAGAATTCAAGAATACTTAGAGAAAGATTTTGGACCTGAGGAAGAGTTTGCTCCGTTGCAAGGGCAGTGTTTTGAGTATCATGATCATGAATACATTTACAAGTTATGTCCATTTGATAGGACATGTCAACAACCAAAAAGTTCCTCTTCAGAGACAAGGTAAGTTTTTGATTAATCTTAAACCAAACAATGGTCGCGTTCATCAGAAATCACTTGAGCATTTAATACATTCATTGTGTTCAGTTGCTAAAAGTTAATACCATGTGAAGTATGACTTCTTATATCCTTATGGCTCCTTCACAGTTAACCAGCCTATTTGAGGTATGATTTAGCTTAGTCTGCTAGATGTCATCTGAATAGGCCACACTGAAAATTTTGAAATCCATCAAATGACTTAACAGAAGTCAGCTGGTGAATTGAGTTATGCTGGACTCTGCTAATCGATTGAAATGCAGCACTATCTTTATGTAGCTGAGTGCAATTGAACATAACTATTGACGTTAATGCATTTACAGGTTTAGCATAAGGTGATTTGAATAAATTACTTACCATATGTGGCATTAATAAAGCATTTTGAAATGTTAAAGTAATCTTAATTACAGTCCCTGGCCAGTTTATTAGACACACTATAAAATATTTCTAATTGTATGTTGCTCCTTGTTACACACCAAGGTCTGTTAAAACTTATTTAGATGAGCAAATACCCCATTTTTGGATTGGACGGATAATAGCTCCAACAAAACGCAATATGTGGAAAAAATATAAATATGTGAAATCACTATCCTCAAATTCAGGATACAGTGCAGTCTTGCATTGACAGCATGTCGCGCAGAATTCAAGCCCTGTTAGCGACAACACGTGACTACAAAATATTGATATTATATGCCGTAAATGTCATTATTCTTTAAAATACAATAAACGCTCATTTTTTTCTATAAATACGATGTCTTATTTACGCTAACAACTAGATAATTAAGTATATTAGACATACAAATTAAATAACTGTATTTATTGAGTTCAAAAGCTGTGAAACATACAATAATGAAGATTTTACATAAAATCCATAGTGTGTCTAACAATATGGCAAATGCCTCAAGTGTGAAATCATTGATCATTAGGTCAGTAGTATGTTCTTACGAATGCGACTAATGTTTATAGTTTGGCGGTAGGTTGCGAAATATCTGTTAAATACACAAAAATAATTTTTTAGACTGGGTACATGGGGTCACTGGTCTGGTCCTGAATCTAACAAATACCATGCTCAGACCTATGATAAAGGTCAAATATGTTGGAATGGACCAGCGCGTACTACTATAGTAAACATAGATTGTGGTAGTGAAAATAAAATAATTTCTGTCTCAGAACCAAATAGGTAAGTGTGAAATAATCATATTTGGATTCAACATCTCACTTATCTTTAATTTACTACACTTTATTTCGCGGCTTTTGACGGGTCACAGGAAAACAACTGGCATCACTTTTATACATCCATCTCCCTCACACATGAAACAAATGTTTGTTTTTCTTTAGCTTCATCTCGCCATCTCGAAAATTTTCTCGCCAACGTATGAATATTCCTAATCTAAGCGTGTGATTGTGAAAACTTACTTGACATGAGCGTATCATTTTGAGTTTACTTTTTATGATATTGATAATGTAAATGTATTTTGAGAAAGTGAATGAAAGTAGTGCACCTTTAATAAATTTATGTGTTTAAGAGCAGTTGCATTTAGGATTGGTTTGCCCCAGTGTAGTTTTCTTCAGGAGGTTGATCCCTGCATATGGTTCAGTTAGTCGATTTGCTTATTTATTTGGTATGGCATTGATGACGTAACCGCCAAAAACCATGAAAAGAACTACACAATTCTAACTTCAAAAGTCAAAGTTGAACACAAACCAACATACAGGGAGGCCCAAAAGTCAGGTTCACTGCGCTTTTTCGAGGTGCGGGACAGACAAGCGCAGTGTTCACGAAGAACTGACCAGCGGGAAACAGTTAAATGAATGCAAGTAGAGCGTAGTTAACAGGTGCTTCAAACGTAATTCAAGAGTTTTGTAAAAGTGAACGAGAAAGCCAGATTTCATTGAGTGAACTGCAAGTGTGTACGCGTTTGTGTAACATGTACGATTTAGAGGAACGTGTTTTCATGGGTGTCAAAGTGTGTTACAGTTGTGGGAAAATAAAGGTAGTGTCCAACCCGTCGGCATATCAATAGAACCGTGAAGAAATTTGTACGTATTGATACCGTAAAGGACGCTCCGCGCTCAGGACCACCGCATTCAGTAGACACGCCGGACAATCATGAACAGGTAGCTACAATGTTGGTAAAAGCACTATCGACATCGACCCGATATCACGTGCGTCATGCCAACGCTTAGCAACCGGATAAAATTTAAATGTTATAATTGCATTACAGTTGCGAAAATTAATGTTGAACGAATACGAGCACGACCCAGACATTTTCGGAAAAAAAAAATTGTGGAGCGATGAAGCGCAATTTACATTAAACGGATTTGTCAATCGTCATAATTGTGTCTATTACGGCATGGAAAATCCGCACTTAAAATACGAACAATAGTCGAATCAGCCTGGTTTGACTGTGTGTGGTGGCATGAGTCTCGCAGGACGGACACATAAAAATTATCGAACATTTTCAAATTATTAAAAAAGTATTATTACATTTTTGGAAAAAACAGCAGAGTTTGGTTTTACATTTGCAACAAGTGCTCTCAGGCACGCTTCCGTTTTGAAACACCATTTGGCTGCAACCTCAGCGACGACTCCTGATGATTCCATAGCGTGCCGAAAGCTTGAGATTACCGTTAAAAGAGTTTACTAAGCCTAAAGTTTGCCAATTTCCCAGTTTATATATATATACACACGAGTATATATATACGTAGTCGTGCCATAAGTTCTGTCCCATGATAATCTCATGATAAAAATGAAACAAGATAAGATATATTTATATGAAAGATATTATTTATTCGACATTTTTAGAATTCATAATCAAACAGTTTTATTCAAAATGTCCCCCCTTGGCCTTCACACACTGCTTCAATCTCGCGGGCCACTCATCTATCACTGCACGCACAGCTTCCAAAGGAATAGCTGCCGCTGATCGGATCAAATCCGCTTTCAGGGACTCGATATTACGGTGGGCTTTGGAGCAGGCCAACTGCTCTAGCAGGTCCCACAACTTGTAGTCTAAAGGATTGAGGTCCGGACTCCCTGAGGGCCAATCTTCCGCAGCAATGAACTCTGGCACATTGCTTTCCAGCCAGCGCTGCGTACTCTTAGCCTTGTGAGCGGGGGCGGAATCCTGCTGGTAGACCCAGTGTTGGTTGGCAAACAATGTACCACTTAAAGGCTTGACGATAGGATCCAGTATGTCGCTCTGATAGTTTGCCGCTTTTGTTTTCACGCCCTGTTTACAGAAATGGAGCTGAGTGACCCCTTCGTAGGACACCCCCCACCAAACCATGACTGACGCAGGGTGGTGGCCTCTCTAAACTCTCGGAATGATCTCCGAAGCTTCCTGTGAACTCCTTGCATACACTTTGTCATTTTGTCGGTTGAATTTTTCTTCTATGGTGAAGATTTTCTCATCCGTGAACAAAATCTTTCGGAATCCCCCAGCTGCGTACCTCTCCAAGAGCTTCTTGGATCTTGTCGCCCTGATGTGTCGCAAGGTGGCCGTAAGTCGCTGGCCCGTACGTCTCCGGTAAGCCCCTAGCCCTAGGTCTTGTTTAATGATGCGCGACATCGTCCGGACAGGAATCTTCATTTCCCTTTATAGGATCTTCTGCTTCCGGAGTGGATTCCTTTGAATCCTGGCTTTTACGGCTTTGATGGCTGCTGGAGTCCTTACTTGACGAGGTCTTCCGCTTCTTGGCCTGTCATCAACAGAGGACGTCTCATTGTACCGCTGAATGGTCCTAGACACAAATTTACGCGATATTTGAAGGCCGCGTAAGAGTTCAAAAATCTGACTAGCACTGTGATTACACTTATGTAAAGCTATCACTGCAATACGGTTCTCTGCCTTGCCCCACTCCATCGTTATGCTTCGAGAGATCAATACAAACTGAGGTATATGTAATTACCCGAAAAGCGCTTAATCAACTGACACCACAATGTAAACAATCGGACAAGTATTAACAGGTCTACACTTGTTTGAAAACGAGGGACAGAACTTATGGCATGACTATGTATATATGTATATACCTATAAACATCCATGTCCTTGACGCAATGACAATCCACTTGACATGGGCGTACCTTTTATAAACCTTCGTAATATAAAACATACAGTGCCTAAAACACAACTGCCGGACAATATCAGTGGTTTTTGCTAAAATTTGAGGAGTATCCACATCATTGTGGTCTCATGGTAATAATACAATGTGTATTGAAACACAATACAAGCTGCACTGCTGACTAAGTTATAACACTCTATTCATTGATACCACTGACTGTAGTCATTCTGTGCTAGGCTCAGAATCCGTATAGGAGTTATTATTGTATTATTATTTGTTCCTGCAGATGTTTTTTTTTATTTGAGAATTTTTTTAACTCTACTGATCACTTTGACCTGCCACTGTTCGTTCATAGCTATAGGTTCGTAGGCGACTTGAAGCCTCAAATTCAGACACGAAAACACTTGACGCTCTTGCACGTGATCCTTTTTTCACGTAGTAAAATCATTAGTCGGGATAGGGAAAGTGTTTAGGAGGGAAGCTCATTATACTTGTTTTATAGATAGAATTGACGAGTTGACATTTAAAATTTCCAGGTGCGAGTACGTATTTGAATTCGTAACTCCAGCCGCATGTCACGATCAGCTAGATGGCGATGACATTAGAGATGACTTACACGACGAGCTGTGAAGTCATAGGTCATATTAGCCAATCAGTGTGTTGTCACTTCCGAATGCCAATGTTGTGGGTATACTATGGGTACATGCGAGTGCTAGATAATGTTAATGAATAATGGATATCTAATGAAGTAGTGCAGAATATCAAGGATTTTCAGAATGAAAGGTGGTTTCGGCACGTGCGTTAGATGAAACTTATCGGACTGGGAAAATCTAATAAACTTAAGACATATTTTGCTACTGCCAAGAGGCAGTTGATGTATAAACTCTCCTTTACAAAGTTATGTTACTGACAGCAGTATCCTGATTGGTAGAAAACAGAATAGGAAATAGTATTTAATGAAGATTTGATATCTTAAGTTGTTCGATTATATCAATCTCAGATACTGCTGAACCTTAATATTAGAATAACTTGGGTGTAATTTTTCTACTTCTTATTTATGTATATATCTTGCAAATAATTATTTTTGAGTAGCTACAGTATATGGCAATTTTTACAACATGATAATTCATAATGTCAGTTGTATACTCGGGTGCACATGTAGGTCGCAGATTGTAATGATATTGGTTATACGTGAACTGTTTGTAGAATCAGAGAAGCTCAACAATATTGTTGGCAAAGCTTTTTTGTTATGGTCAGATTAAAAACAAGCATTCTACAATGGTCTATATGAAGGCGATACGAGCTATTTAGTTATCAGTTATGATTTGTTATTATGACAAGTTGTAATGAACTATCCACGACAATAGTCGTGTTTGTCTCGCCTGCTAGTGTAAATGACTACCGGGGAACACCTGTGTTATTTCAATACCAGCGTTATATATTCCATGGTTTACTGATGATTAAGTTCCATAATTTGGACATATTAAGATACTGTTGTTGATTACGCGCTATTTTCTTTTTTTGCGATACAAGCAAATTAGATTTCTGTAGTTTTATATACATTTTTGAGTATTTGTATTGTTTGTAAAACGTAATTAGTATTATTTTCATATGGGATTATTTGGTATTGTTCACTGAACTGACAACACGTGTCAAAGACTTGAAATAATTTATTACTTTATGTGTTGAACTTGAAATATATGTTAGGATGAAAGGTACTTGTGATATTGAATAAAATTATTTTTAGTTTAACATGTAGTTTGTGTCTTCTTCAGATGTATTATAAAGAAATTCGGGTAAAAAGTAAGATTCTACGACCTGGCTTGGCGGGTCATGGCTCTCTGATCAGCACCTATGGAGGCATGAAGCTATGTAAAATTATAGGACGCTAAGTCCTAGGTCGATCGGCTCGGTATACGGATGCGTTCGCAACTTTGAAGTTTCGGGAAAAATGCTTTTTGACAACTTTTCTATTTTCTCGCTACTTTTCGAAAGCATTTGCTTTCCTGAGTAGAACTGCCCAGAGAACTCAAAAATGACCTCCAAATTGCGATAACTCGGTCGGCGAATATTTCCGTTACAATTGATTATTTCGAACATCTTCAGTTCTATTTGTCTGGTTCGAATGTCATTCAAGCAAAACATCCACAAAACTATTTTCTTTTTTTTCGTAAAAAAGAAGATTTTTTTGCAAATATCGTGATGCTGTGGCAGCAATGTGTGATGTATTTGTAACTTAAGTAACGCCTATTAGCTCAAGCCTCCAATCAGATCACAAACACTCTATAGTCTTAAAACTGACCAAATTTGGTCCAACATATTGAAAATTGGCTTAAAACGCCTATTGGCTATTTGTAGACCTTTCCCATTTATGAAAAAAATTAAATTTGTGGAAATGGTTTTTCTAAAATCACTACTGCCATCCCCAAAAATCTGACTCAAGTTTTTTGCTTCGCTAATTACAAATATGTTATCAGAATTACTATATTTCCAAATTGGCGTTACCATTATGCCAATATTAATGGAACTTCATTAAAAACTGTCTTTGTCTTTTTCTACTACGCTGAAATACATTCCCACTATCCATATAAGTATTTCTTTTTATCGACAGAGATCAGTTTCAATTTTCTGACTACTGATCATATTTTTAATTGGCGTCACTTTTTGTGACTGATTGGACACAAGCCTGAAGTTAGGAGCATCAAGAATACAACCGATGCATTTAGGTATTTCTATCTATCTAGCTGTGTTTATCAGAGGATACTTTTTGAAAGCTTGGATACTATTATTATCGGGAAGATACATTGATAGATAGATATTTGATTAAAATAGAGATTAGGGTCTTTTATGAAAATGAGTAGACGAAATAAGTCGGCACAAAGTGCCATCTATTACCAGAATTGACCGTCAAAATAGTGAGCTGTCTATTGGAACTGTATCCCAGTTCGCATTGTCAGGCGCAGCAACACTGTGGTCGCCGGTTCTGGTGCTATAGTAAATACTGTCTGCTCGCCATTGAAAAGATTAGTAATACATCATTCGTTCGTCCGACCACGGACGACCAACAATGGACTGCTGTTTCGTGTTATTTGACAACTCCTCACCATGTTGTAGGCTTGGTCTCAGGTAGGACAACGAATCAGCGTTTTGAAAAATAGTTGGGAGCCTGTGATTATGGGAGAAAAGGGCGATGTAGATTTGTGGGCCACTAAAACCATCAATTCACTTCATTGACGAAATTCCATACTATTGCGTTTAGACTCTACTACTGTACTAAATGAAAACAAAGCAACCATATTATTTGAACAGTTTAATTATTTTACACAATTTTTACAGTCATCAATATCTAACTATAGATAAATTGTTTTATAATACATATTCATTGATCAATAGTTGCTTTTAATGTTTATACACAAATTGATGGTTAACATGTTCTTGTTAAACGCTATTTTATTGTGAAAGAAAGAGCATAATACAAAGAGTAGTGTATATAATATGTACACATGCATATGTTATTTGACGTGATAGCAGCATATTTCAATCCAAGATTTGTGCCATGTGACACTGTCTATCGATGCTTGGCAGTATTCCTTGAAAGCTTTAATAGCCTCTTTCGGACATTTCATTAGATTCGCAAATACTGATGATCTCTAAAATATATAATAACACACAACCCCAGAATCTGTGAGGCTAACTTTAATATTTTTGCAAAGAAAAATGTCAGAAACTGTTACTACGCATGTCTTAATTTCAAGTGATTATCTTAAGGGTTGTTAGTACAGTGATCGGTGACTGTGTCTGGGAACCGGCCGTGTGAATTCTATCTATATAGCGTAGCAGAGTAAACGTAATTTGTGTGGCGGGATTCTGGACTGCTGTACGAACAGGGCTTAAGTAATTTTATGAAACAACACATATTCCTCATATAAATATATGGCACAGTCACTTGAACGACTCTTGGATTATAAAATGAGAAGATCACAAAATTTGCAAATTGTACATAATACGTAGGGCACGCCATAGGTATCGTCGTATGTAGTAAAATGTTTAGATTGTTTATGTCTAGATGTTTCGGTATGTTTCGCGAAGTTTGTGAAGTTCTCGAGTTTTCTAGAGTGTTACTAACGTATATAAGGCAGTGTGGAGTGGTAGGTTAAGATTAGGTGAGTTTTGTAAGTTTCTGAGCGAATAAAACGTGAAAAGATGCTAAGAGTGACTTGGTGCAAACACATGATGAATAGATGTTAATTTGGAGACCATATCACTGTAAATGGAAAAATCACAGGTGAAGAAAGTTGGATTAACAGTTTGGGTTTTCGAAAATTAGACGACTCAAGTGAAAAAGCCGACGTCGGTTGTAAAAAATGATCCTGTCTTTTTCAGGAAATCAAGTTTAAGGACTAATATTGTACTTGATAAACAGAAGGTAGTCACAGCTTAATGGTACATAGAAATATTTAAGACCTAGGTCGCCGCTACGCTCGTGGTATCTTCACATTGAGCGCGTGCCGGTGCACCGCGCACAGTAAACGCAACAGTTTTTTTTAGAAGAATTTGGAATCCAAATGTTCGGTCATCTAGCTCATCGCCCTGACTTGGCACCATGTGATTTTAGATGTTTTTCGTTTGCGAAATCACAGCTAATAAGATTCCATCCGAAGACGATCCGATAGCAGCCTAAGAATCGCTGTGTGATTATATTGAGAAGCGATGGGGGCGCTGGTTTTATGATTGGTTCTTGCGTATGGTGAAGAGTTCGGAATATGATGGAAATTATTTTGATGCACAATAAATAGTATTCCGCACCCAATGAATATATTCTAATCTAATATATATATATATATATATATATATATATATATATATATATATGAAAAAAAACTAATCCATTAACATTTTCACAATGATATAGCGTTTTTAGCTCCTCAGCAGTGGATGAGCCATTGAAAACGTTGCTAATTTCCCAACATATGTATGATATATAAACATTTATAAAATTCCAGCAAAATCAAGCATGTAGATTCAAAAACTTGTATATCTAAGATATAACATTGATATAGAAATTTCTGTAAAACTTATACAATATATAATTTTCTGGAAGACATACATTTCAATATAGCACATCCTATGGAAGACTTACGTTACACTTTTGTCTTTGTCTATATAAATTACATTGCATTTCTAAGTTTACGAGACAGACGTTCTTATACACTAAACGTAATGAGCATACCTGAAGTCACAGTTTTAGATATTTAGTGGGAATTTCAATACTAAGGCCCTCCATACACCTAACAAACATGCTGTTGCTAACATATCCTCTTGCAACCTAATGCCTATAGCATCCACCCTAGGTCATTTGTATGAGTAGCAGATTATTTCAAGTGGTATTAACATGGTCTTTGATGAATTGTACCCTAAAAGCTTCCCTACGGATTCAAAAGGTGTATTGCGGATAAAAATACCAGTCAATATGCGTCTTGAAGCTGCTGGCATAACCCTAGCTGGCCATGTGTACACTGGCTAGTCAAACTTTAAGATAGCGCACAACTCACGCTGTAAACGGGTACCGACGTCAGAGCAACATAGCATAGAATAACGAATTACTGGTACTCTGTGGCTATCTAAGTGCTTGGCTACATATCATGTAAACATGGCCAGTGACTCTCAAGTACTGTGAACTCACAATATGGCCAGCACCAGTGGCAATGTAGCTTTTGCTTGGGTGAAATGACTCTCAGAATCCAAGGATAATCATCTGGGTCCTGAGCATACTTGCAATTTTGTCCATCCAAGTCATGACAGCTATTAGGGCCAAAGAAAAAAATGAAGAAAATGTTGGAAGACATGTCTGGTTATTATTTCTCGGTTGTACTAGTGGTGGAGTAATTATCTGTTCGTTTTCTATATCCTGACGATATCTTGAGCGATATTGCAAGTGAACATTGTTGGCTACGGAAGTATATCCGAGGCTTGTGATCTATCCGTATTTAGATGATACAAATCGGAAGACGCACTTGCTCTTCGACGATTCAACTGACCTATCATTGTATAACCCATTCTGGGATTCTTGAAAACAACGGAGTAAAATGCCAGTAGTGAGTCTTCTAACTTTTCTGACGTTTTGACGAGTGTTTGGACGTTTATTAAGTAAGGTTGTGAATGGATTTATTTTATGTAAAATGGTATGTTCCTAGGTTTGCCATAACATTAAATGTTTCATCACAAAGTCAACTTCATTTTCAGAGATGATTCAGATGGACTAAGGCGAGACTGCACTTTTTGTCCTAAGAATGATCCTGAAAGCGATTCTTCTATTGGTGTTAAACAAAACAGTTCCTCGAAAAAGGTATAGAACCATGGCCACTATTAGCAGTGTCAAGAATTGACCCCACAGGGGAAGCAATTACCTTCTATTGGTAACGTAAAGGAAACTTCGCATGGTCGTGTCACCAAGTTTTTCAGTAGTTTGTTCAAAGAGCTTATTGCCTAGAGATCTATCTCTATTACAATCCATCATTCCGAATATCTAAGTTCTACGGCTCCAAGACTCCAAGTCACGGTACACTTGTCTGAGAAGTGGTATAGTCTTTCGTCCCCCATCTAAGATTTGGAGATATGGTAGCTATTCCCATGAGGAACCTGCGGTAAGTTGTGCGGATCCTAGTAAGGGTAGTATTAGTTGTGGTGGGGAGGCAAACCCTTGCAAATAATCCAACTGCTTTGGCCCTTTTTGCCGACCCTGTGTGTACCTACACTCTAGTGCACATGTTGATTCACTTATATATCGAACCTTCCTGATCTAAGGCCAGGATGCCTGATCACTTTGCAACTTCACTATCAAACTCAATGGCTCCGAATATTTCAGCCCTAAGTCCAGCAGTATACGGGGAAAAAGTCTAGAGATTATCCCTCTCTCTCGCCATACCTCTAGGTATAGGCATATGCTGCCTGCGTATACAACCTCTGCTTGGGCAGCAGCCCCTAGCCGGATAATCTGCTCTCACACTAGCCTGTACCCCACTGTGTCCAGGAACCCAAAGCAGGGCCACTTCGTTGGATCGGGCAAGACTCTGAAGAGGGGTAGTGCATTCCTGAACTAAATTTGTCGTCGGAGATGCTACCTACTGCTTTTACGGCTACTTGAAAGCCCGAACGGTGTACTGTTGAAGCTCCTCTAAGTATTTCATCATCAAGACGGCAAATATCTCTGTCTGGAAAACTAATGGGCAGGTTCTAAGCGCGAAGCTTTCCTGCACGCCTTTACCTTCTAGGTATATATAGTATATAGGTGTGTCACAAAGTATCCTAACTATTAAGTTAAGTGCTCAACATTCGCAATGCTCGACGCTTATCTAGACTTTGTGAACAATCCCCATCAGCTATCGGACTTACGATTTATTTCCTATTGATAGTAAAATGGAATAATCTGTTTGGATCGATCCTGACGATGGATGGGAGGCCACACTTATTGCAATTAGTCTGTTTCTGTTCTTTGTTTACATCTTGAGTACTATTTCGATCAGTTTATATTTTAAGTTCTGTTAGGTGCTGTTGTCACCAAAAGCAATCCAATCGCAACCCAACTTCAACTCGATCTTGACCTTTGGTTGCCTTGCTTTTACGTTCCTATTGGAGCTACTGCTAAGCGACTGCCATACTCGTTTTGAGGTTGTGGATAAAGCCATTAGCTAATAAGAAGCGAAATAGTATATTTCTTTGGTTCTTATTTCACAAATAAAATCGAGCCAGATCAATCAACATATGTAGAGTCTGTAACATCTTACGCAAATATATTCCTTGAGTCTGATGATAATCCATATACTAGCCACGATTACATCATAGCTACATGAGCGCTGACTAAACCACAGAGCACCAATAGTCCGTGTTGTCCATGCATGCGTATATATTGCTCTGTGCACGTTTACACCATGTGCTATGCGTTATATAAGCGTTTGGCGAACCACGGTGTAAACATGGTCATTATTAACTTGCTTGAGATAATATTGTAGACGTCCTGTAAGGTTTTCAATACTGCTACTCCTACTGAACTACTTCAAGGAAGACAGAAACGCGATACAGGAGTATTTCTCCATCAAACTAGCGGTCGAGTTTCCGTCGCTTTGGTAGTGTATTTAAATGTTCATGCTGAGTTGGGTTGCGATTGCCAGTTGCTTTCGCTGAGAACGGTCCCTTATTGTTACCTGGAGAGGAACTGAGGAACAAAGGTAATAATGCTCATTGAGGGCGATAAAAAATATTTCATTTTTTTTATCGCACTATTTTGTTTAATTTTGTGATGATGTCGAATTGAACCTCTGTTTTTAGTTAATTGGCTGTTCAATATATTACTAATTTCAAACTGTAATTGACGATTCTTTTTTAATTACTGAAATAACTACATTTCGGTTAGCTAATTTTGTAGTGCATATCCATATTTACAAGGATTTAAACAGTGCCGGCTTTAAAAGGTATTAACTTATTGCTTTAGAGTTTTGGAAAGGTATAATATGTTGATACAGTTTCATGTTATATAATATGTACAGGTAATAAAGGCATGCACCACTAGGTATAATCGTCTGCTTATTGTCATGTTAGCACGTATTGGAACATGAATGCCCCGATAATATACAACCACTTAGTACTGGTTAATCACTAACAAATTGTTACAATTAGTAGATATACTTAAAATGATATCTTTAGTATATAATTTTCTTTTCTAATATTCAAATATCATTGTACATAAATAACGGAGTTAAAAATACGGAACAAACGATATTTTCAAAAAGCTCTAGATATTGTTTTGATTCGTCAAGCTTCAAATAGCCAACGCTAAAACACAACTGGATGTGCCAAATTATTTTGTTTTGTACATTAGAAAAGGCTTCTCAGACAGCCGAGCAGTCTGTTAAGTTTGATTCTTAACATACGTAGTTTCAAATATTGGCCACTTGAAAACATGACACAAAACAGTATAAGAAGCATATCTTACAAATAACGTTTTCTGAAAACAAACCGAACAAATATATTTTCTAACTCTAATGTCTTCACATCTAAATCATTCCAAAATGCTGTATACTTGTGAATACGCAACTATAAAGTGTAATCTTTTATATCTAATATTGTATAAATATCTGTATGGAAGACATTGAATTATTATATAACACATAATGGAGAAGGCATTCTCGCATTGGAAGACTTCGTTGACCATACAAGACGCGTTTATGTGACATTTAGTTTATATAACTACACAATTACAATAATGGAAGCACTTTAAACTGGTTGGTTGATTATATTGATTTACACAGATTACTTATCACAAGTAACAAGGTATGACAGGGCATGGTGAAGTACATTCATTTTGTGGACACATCCTATAGTAATCTAAAGGTGCTGTTCCGCATAAACATAGCGACACGCGACCGGGAAATAAAACAATGTAATTCATTATTACCTCAAGACAAACAGCTCCAAAAGTTCATAATGCACATTCTGAAGCTCGAATTAAAATTTTCCATAGTGATAGTAACAGAAATTCTATCAAGCGCAGCGTGCCCTTTCGAAATATGTTTGCTATACGGTCGGTTCCCTGCCGCTGTCTCACGCACGAACTGGCATGCATATAAGAGCACTCGGCAAGTAGGGTCTCGGTTACAAGAATAAGAATTATGGTAATTATCCAGTACATTGAGTCAAACCTGATTTAGTCTAGGAAGTATAAAAATTACAAGCTGTTAGGCCTAAATGTTCGCCAAAATTGATAAAACAATTTTTTAACAAATTTTCCAAAAAAAGACCTTTCAAGTGTTTTAGACCGTTCTGAACAAAAATATTCTTATGAGCTTTTCTCTAAAGTTGATAGTTTTTGAGATATAAGCGATTTAATATTCGAAAAAGTGCGAAATGTCATTTTCGACCACGAAAAACAATATGAAAAATTTTAGTGTTGCCAAGATTTCTAAATATTCTTCAGACATCCATTTACCAGGTGTATAGTTATTGTAAACCTTAGATTACATCAACAATACACATAGGGCGGTCGCAAGTTACATCTTTTTCGCGCTCACGCAGAATATACATGGAGCGCGCGTTAGATTAACAATTAAATAACAAAGCTTAACAAAAATAATACCCCCTAAAATGCTTTGGAATTTTGTTAATGATTGAAGAATATTGAGGAATTTTATCAATATCTTTTTCATATTGTTTTTTGGGAGTAGAATGTGGCATTTTTGCACTCAAATAAAAAACCATGTATATTTCGAAAACTATAATTTTAGAGAGAAGTTTAATCAGAAGTACCCAAATAACTCAAGAAACTGTCCGGCGCAAAAAAACATTTTCGTAATTTGTTAAAGACATATTTAAACATGCAGAATCGTTTGTATGAGATTATACAAAAAATGGAACCAGCATTTTTTTCTGAGAGAATGCAAAGATAGTAGATGGACTAATCGGCTATCCTGAATTATGAACAAATCATATTGAAGCTTTACATAATACGTTTTCTAATGTTTGTGAATAATGGTATTAGGTTACTTCATACCGTTATTTGGGTATAGTAAATTATATTACTAGATCGAAAAGGGCTTAAAAATAGAGAGTTTAATTTTTTGACAAGCTTTAGTTCATGTTAATAAAACAATTTTTTTATAGATGATCTGACGTATATACAACAAAAAGCTAAAGGACGGCTACGCGGATGTTATGGTATCTTCCCACGTCTCGTAATAATACCGGACGCTGTAGTGAAGGGTTAGCAATATATCTGAAAAGTAGATTAGCCGAGGACGTAAAAAATAAGGTGCGTCGCTGAACGGTCACAGATCAGATATGGACCTCTCAAAGAAAAATAGTGTCTCAAATCTGTTACTCTCGTTTAGTACGGAAAATTTTAAAGTTACAGAAAAGCGCAAATAATCACCCCCTGATCAACTTTGGAGTGCCCAGAAATATTGCATACAAATGTTACATATTTACAGCGGTATTCTTCATATTTTGTACTTCTCCATACTCTATTGTTATTATTTTAATAGACGTCAACAAGATCTCAATATTGAGATACTTCTTCAGAATCTATTAGTGATTGATAAATTCAAAAAACCTAGTACCCTACGGAGTAAGCTTTGATTAGAGCCGTACCAGAATCAAACATTCCGATAATTCCAAGCACCAAACCTAACGCAATGATGAAGTAGTCGAAGGCAATAGTTTTGGTCTCCAGAGTACTGCGTTTCAGCTTGAGGTGGAAGTAACAGGGCCAGATCAGGCTGAGCATAGTACCTGTGAAGTTGCCGATGAATCCCATGAGAATGGAGAAATGCGGAATAAAACAGGCCATCAAGATGGTGAAGACTACTACCCCTTCTCGCCATGCAAGTCCCCAAACCTTGAATACAATAAAAAAATTATACCGGGTGTAACAGAAGTAACGGAACGGATCTATTTTTCTAGATAAGAGGTGTTTTTGGACAAGTCGAAGATCGGGTCTATACTAACTTTGAACAAGGTGTTCAATGGATTTGACGAGCCTCACCTTTCAGGCTATTTCAGGATAAATTTTTTTTAATAGAAATCCCCTCTTTGAAGGTCATATGTGTGAGGCATTTAAAAAAAATAAAAGTTGATGTTGAAATAGGTCACCACTGAACTTCTTCCTGAAATTGGCCTTTTTAAAAAATACCTTAGGTAAAAATATAAAGCTGTTCTGTTACTTCACCCCCTGGTATTCGGCCTTAATCCTAAAAAACAATTATTTTATTGATACGAGCATATTTGGATTGACGGTCCGTGGTATAAAATCGGGGAACATTAACAGATCCCCGCGGTGCGTGGTATCAGGGGTTCATGTGACTTCATCTTACGCGGAGTAATGCATCCATGGCAAAATTAATATACGAGGTCTGTAAATTAAGTGATGAGACAACGTAGCGTTCAATCTGTCAAAGCTGGAGGCGCCAGGTTTGGGTGGCAGACAAGGGAACATGTAATCTGCTTCAGTACAAGTTTGAACTCGCTCGAGTCATTTGGTTGACCGTGGCATTTTTTTTGTAAAACAGTTTTTCCTATTGTGTTCTAAAAATGAATGAAATCAATTTCGAGCAACGGTGTGCTGTCTGGTTTTGCTTCAGTCTTGTTCACATTGGACAACGGAACCTCTTGCTAAACTTCAGCAGGCCTACGGAGATAGTGTTTTGTTAAGAGCTCAGGTTTTTCGTTGGTTCAAGAATCCGGGTTCTTGTGCATTCAGATCGTCGGTTGACAGTCAGAATTATTGGTGAAGAGTTAAATTTGACCGACCTCAACCTCCTTATTCGCCTGATTTGAGTCCTTGTGACCGTTTTCTCTTCCCGAAGTTGAAAAATCACCTCAAGGGAACTCATTTTGGGACGGTCAAAAACATTCAAATGGCTGTAACCAACCAGCTGAAGGCTATTCCAGTATCAGAGTTCCAGCACTGCTATGCGGAGTGGAAGAACCGACCAGCGTAAGTTATTTTGTGGATGACAATATAAAATTGTAATTATTTTTGAATAATAAAATTGAAGTCTCTTCACTTAGTTTACAGACCTGATATTCAGCTATATTCGGACAGCCAGTAGGATAAAAGAAAGTTCCACTGCAACAATTTTGGGTGCCGCAATAGGTAGGTCATGACTACCATCCGCACTAGGATTGTCCATCCCTGTGTTGCCTGATATACAGGGTGTTAATGATACGCAAATATTTAAGGGAGTGAATCTACATGAAAAATTAATGTTAGTTTGCTTTATAAACTATGGTCCAAAAATGTTTCCTTACAAAAACAAGGGATGTTGAAGTTTTAGGAAAAAAATGGAAATTATTTAATATTTTCAGAACCGCTTCAGATATTTCACTGATATTTAGTACGTAGTGAAAGTTAATAAAGCTGCAGATTTTTCAATGCAAAAATAATTTTTAGCTTAAACAGTGGCGTGCGTACGCGTATTGACTTCGATATTTTTCAAGAAAAAAATGGTACGCCAATAGTTTTTAGGCAAATAAAAATTATTTTTGAATTCCCCGTTCAATTTAAAACAAATTATCTCTCTTGAATTGTTTTCCTTCGATGCGCCATTTCTGAGTAAAAAAATAAAAACCGTTCTATTGTCTAACTTGCAAAATTATTATTAATTTAATTGGAAAAATTAAGCAAATTAGGGGTAATGAACAACAACAACTGACAACATAAACTTAACATTAAAACCAACGAAATGATTACACAAATTGTTGAAAATGGCTCCCTTCACTTAGTCTGCATGCTTCCGCCCTCCTTGTGTACACTAGTGTCTTAAGATAGCCGAACAAAAAGAAATCTAAACTGTTGAGGTCTGGGGACCTTGGTGGCCATTCTTGAAGCCCACCGCGGCCAATTCAACGATTTGGATAAACAGTTTGTAAACAATTACGAACCGCTACACTGAAATGCGCTGGTGCACCATCATGCATGTACGACATATTGTTTCTTATTACTAACGGAACATCATCAAGCAGCAAAGGCAACTGTTGTTGAAGAAATTTGAGGTAAGTCTGCCCGTCAAGTCGTCCCGGCTAGAAGAATGGACCAATAAAGTGGTTCCCAATAATTCCTGCCCATACGTTAACCGCAAATTGGTGTTGGAAATGGGTTTCGGTTACGGCATAGGGATTTTCTTCTGCCCACAAATGATTGTGGAAATTCTGAATGGCATTTCGAGAAAAATTAGCTTCGTTCGTGAAAAGAATCATTGATTCAAATTGCGGATTATGTGTAATTTTTTGAAGATGCCACTGTCAAAAGGTCACACGCCTTGGAAAATCAATGGGAAGTAATGCCTGTACTCTTAAAATATGGTAAGGATCTAAGTGTCTAGCGATCTTCCTCGTACTCGTTTCAGGATGTTCTTCGACTTCGTGAAGCACTGCTTCCTCAATTTCAGGTGTTCTCACACTTTTTTTTTGGTGTTATATTATTTGCTCGTATTTTGATTCTATTATGTATTAATACTCCAATAAACATTATTATTATTATTATTATTATTATTATTATTATTATTATTATTATTAGAGGTCTACCTTCAGATGTTCCTTTTCGGACAGAATCAGTGTCAACAAGATGATGATGAATATTAGAAAAGGTTCGACTATCTGGCAAAGCACGATCGGGATATCTCTGGTGATAAATCCGTCTGCATTTGAATAATTCACCATTATTAACAAGATTGTAAAAACTAAATCATGAAAAAGATGTCAGTGCGCACAGATTTGAATATCAGAGACTTGTCAGATGTCAAAAGCCAGTGACATATTCCAGAGCAACTAGATATTTATTGCTAAATTGCATTCTTCAATTATTACATTAATTTTCTCGGACAAGAGAACGGTTTTTATTTTTTTACTCAAAAATGGCGCAACGAAGGAAAATAATTAAAGAGAGATCATTTGTTTTGAATTGAACCGGGAATTCAAAAATAATTTTTTATTAAAAAATATCTAAGTCAATATCCATACGCACGCCCCTAAACTAAACATTATTTTTGCATTGAAGAATTTTTTAACTACGTACTAAATATCAGTGAAATATCTGAAGCGGTTCTGAAAATATTAATTAATTTCCATTTTTTTCCTAAAACTTCAACACCCCGAGTTTTTGTATACTAGATGGCAACTTTTGAAGCAACAGTATATTTAGCCCAGTCTTACCTTCAGCTCGCCATCCATGTCGTAAATAGGTGGGAACAAAGTTTTAGGGCTGCCTCTGAATAACGAGCGTTCTAGCAGTTCACATGCTGCGTAATAGGGTAGCGGGTAGCTTAGCAATGCTTTGACGACCAAGAACAAATTCACAAGGCCTTTGAATCCTGCTGATGGAAGATTGTTGGTAATCACCTGCTGGGTGTCGTTTTGGAAGGTTAGGAAGCAGATATACCTAAACAACGAAATACAATTTCATCCTTGTTGTTCCACTTGAAGTAGCATACACGGAGACTCAAATTTGTCTGACGGCTTGAGTTCAATGTGTACCAGAGACAAGTGTGTATACAGGGTGGCCCATCCATGTGTGGACGAATATTACTCATAAACAAATAGATTTTGGAAAAATCTATTTATGGCATGTTATACATGACATTTGAGCGCACATTTATAAAATATTGGCAATTATACAGGGTGTCCCAATTTTGACCTACATATCAAAGCTGTGATTTTTTAAATAGAATGTTTCAAATATTATTGCATATTTGGATAAACCAATTCAAAAGAAGAAGATTGATATAACATACTATGGGGTTTTGGTAACTAGCTACTGAGATGTAAGGTGTTTTTTCCAGAAAAACCGTCCAATTCGGCAACCCATCAGTCCGCCATTTTGAAATTTGAAAAAGTTATAACCAAAATTGAAATTGCATTTTTAATTTCCTATCTAGAATGTAACTTCTGTATTTCTTTCGCCTCCAAATCCGTTTCAAGGTCAGCTTGTCGCATGAATTGTTAAATCACCTTGGTCCGATTTACTCAAGAGAGACTGGGCAGCAGTGTGAAAGCGGATGGAATCCAAATCCAGCAAACTATTGGAGCTCGATGAAAAAAGTAGGATTATTCAGCTAGGTCAGCTACCTTTTGCGCAAGCTGGCTAGAGGCAAGTTTATCTGCTGATTTGTACGCTCAGTGTACTAGCGATTTTAAGACCTAAACACGGTTTTGCCTTTGGTTTTGTTCTAAAAGAAAACGCTTTATTTTTCTGAGTAGCTGTTGTTTTATTGTGATTTGTATTTTTGTATCTTTTATGACGGTATTAGCTTATTTTAACTATAAATTACGAAAATCAATCGGATATTCGCCCATAGCGGACTCCAATCCCCAATTTCGGGTGACAAAAATTGAAAAATTTACAATACTAGTGATTTTCAACGTATAAGGTCAAAAATGTATTTTAGATCCTCTATCACGCCTTGGAAGACATACAGCGTATTACCAATAACCCAGTATACTTACCCAAAAACTGCCTTAAAAATAGCAGCCCAGACATGCGACCAATCCAACATCCATTCAAACTTCGAGGGATCCTCCATGTTCCCTTCCAAGGTTGGCAAGAAGATTTGGGATGTGTATGAAAACACAATCACACCCAACATGATGGGGAAGTTCTCCATATCGATGGACCATTTCACTTTGGACCAGCCCCAGTCTCCGATGTAAAGTAGACAGTAGCCCAGAATTATGACGTTGATCAGAATGTGGGACATCGTGCACCAGAAGGATAAGACGCTTACGCTTTTCAAAGATCGCAGGAAAGCTGAAAGTGAGAGAGCGTGGTGATACAACCCAGCGAAGTTACCTTTGCATCCTTAAAGCCCAAACACAATGATGTATCACTTATAATATTATGGAGATGCTTCAGCAAGCAACAGCCCCAGTCACAAAACTGAAGCTATTATCTGGACATAAACAGATGTCACTTTTCTAATTTATCACTAGATATTTGATTTTCTAGCAAATAGACTGCCTGATGTGTCATATCCCACAAGTTTTCGAAAACTTTGTTAGTGAACCTCTTTAACATAAAGTCATTACCCTTACATTTAAAGCTAACTTTAACCCAGAATGTAATTGCTTTTACTGGCTCACTCATAAAAGCAAGTGGCAATCTACATAGTGTAGCGTTTTTCTGGGTTCTTTTGGGTGTGGATTAAAACACTGGATTCTACAAAAACACATGCTCTGAATTATTTAACTTGATAAAACATTTATATACACCACTATTTATGTCTGACTAATTCTTCTGTCGCCATTGATTGCACTATACTCCACTCCGCTCTGATACTCTACCGTATTCAGTACTATCTCTCCTTCCATCTCCCGGCCGCCGAGTTATATGTAGTCCCAATTGCTGCTTCGAGAAAGGCCGGTTAAATCACAAAGCGACATCTAAAATATTGGTCACATCGCGTCGATCTAGAAGGCGATTCAATGTCACGGGTCTCACAGACGCCGCCAACCGGCTTGTGCGGCCGTGGTTCGCGTAAAAGCAGGGATCGGCCATTAAGCTCTAACGAGTAGGAGACTCATCCAACAGATGGCGCCTATTGGTCACACTGAACCCTAGCTATCTAGGATTGTGACAACCAGAAATCGAATGCCTGTATACCGGAAGACTACCTCAAGCATGCTAGGTTTGATTTTCCAGTCCACATGCCAGCTTAGGTATTGCCAGTTTTCTCAGGTCGTCGGCAAGCAAGACTTCTCTAAGCAAACACAAAGCGTTCCAAACGTCTTCATAATTTGGTTTCTGACACGAAGCTTTCTAGGTAACTAGATAGAAGATCTATCGGTTGGTACCTTCTTCAGTTATCTGCAGTACCTCTCCGACTTCCGGGTTAGATTGTCGCAGCTCGTGCACTCTTCTAAACTTCCTAAGAAAGACCTTTGCCTCTCGACATTCGCCAGTCTTGAGCCACACAGTGTGCAAGGGCATACTCCGGTGAAGTATGTACTTCACATGTCACGCCATACTGACTCTTATGGCCATTAGTATGGTGAGCCATAAATTGGTCAAATGACATGTCCGGTTCTGGGTGGATTTGCCGCACCGCCGCACCTTCGTTGTTTCCATGATAAGGTACAATTCGGGCCTTACCGCGTGGTGCCTTCTGAACCCCGTAGAGAACATCGTTAGTGGCCTCCAGAACTTTATATGGCCCGTCCCAGGCTGATTGAAGTTTAGGCGACAGCCCTTTTGCCTCTTTGGGTCGTAAAGCCAAACCGTATCACCGTTGTCATACCTCTGGTCTTTGGCACTAAGGTCATAAGCTTCTTTCATCCGGTCGCTGGCACCTTGAATTGAAACACGAACCTAGCTATGGATGGCGTCCATTCTTCTACGCAGCTCACTTACGTAGTCTTCTCCGGCAATGTCAGTTCCTGGTGGACAGCCAAACTTTAGATCGCATGGGAGACGAAGTTCTCTTCCCATAACTATTCTAGCTTCTAGCTCCTTCTGTGCTTTCATGAATCGACGATCGGTAAGCCAATAAGGACAGGTGAAGAAAACTATCCCAGTCTCTTTGATGGCTAGAGACTACCTTAGTCAGATACCGGTTGATGGTCCTATTCATGCGCTCCACCCTTCCATCTGACTGCGGGTGTAAGGCGGGTCTTCTTAATCCCAAGAATTTGACAGATACTTTGGAACAGATTTGACTCGAAATTGCGCCCTTGGTCCGAATGCAACTCTGAAGTTATACCAAATCAACAGATCCATTCCTTTACTAAAGCATCGGCTACCGGCTTCCTGATTTGGCAGAGCGTATGCCTCAACCCACTTGCTGAAGGAATCAATTACTACAATGTTGTACTTATTCCCTGCTTCACTTTCTAGAAAGGGTCCCGCCACATCAATAGCAATCCTTTCAAAGTGGCTGCCCACATTGTATTTTCGCATCGAAGCTTTTGGTTCCTTTGCGGTCCATTACTTGCCGCACACCCAACGCATTTCCTGCACCAGTCTTTCACGTCCTCCTTGCTATTGGCCCAGTAAAATCTTTTCCCAAGGTTTTTGTAGTAACTCCGAGATGACCTCCTGACACAACGGAATGCATTTCTTCTAGCAGCTACGGGATCCGACATCTGGAGATAACGATTTGTCTTCTTTCCTCTTTGCCGGCGTGGTACACCATTTTACGCAGGGGCAGGGGAATACTTGGCAACTTCTTCCCAGGCTGGTTTCCGTTGCTCTTTCATCCAGTTCACAATTATTCGAAGATCGGGATCGCCCTCTTGATCTTTAATGAGGTCTTCATTTTGCCATGTATCACTAACGATAGTGGTTCTTAATACTTGGGCATCTTTCCCCTCCGACATTTCCAACATTCCATCTTGCTGTTCTGGCGACGTCGTTCACCATCAAGTTCCTTGATAATGCGCTTGACGGACTCTTCGAAGTCATTATCTCCTGGTACCAGCTGGCGGACTCGCTCCTGGCATATCTTTGTGTTTTAGCGGCTTCGAATTCTAGGGTCCAAGTTAGCGCATCTACTAGCTTAGGTGGATGTGCTAGTGGTAAGGCTTGCCTCATTTCACCATCACGAAGTCCATCCACGAATGCTTGAACTGCCAATCGCTCCATTATCCTTTTCTGAACATCAGGATATGCTAATCGTATCAACCGCGCAATGTCCACTTCGAATTCCTGCAAGGACTCGCCTGACTTCTGGAACCGATTCTTTAGTATGGTAGACATGTTCTAAATGTGACTGGCCACATCGCATCTCCAAATGTCATACTAGTTGTTCGTAGACCTCTTGCTCTTCGGATGATATTCTTTGAAGAATAGCTGCAGCATCTCCTCGTAGGACCGAAGTGAGTGCAGTTGCCTTTTCGGTCGCTGACCAACCATTAGCATTCGCGGCTGCCTCAAACTGACGCCGGTAGATATTCCACCGTACCATCCAATTGCGGTGGTTTCATTCGCAGATGACCAGCTGACCCAACAGAAGCTCCAGCCTAACTTGATTTTTCCAACGGAAGTCCACGCTTTCGTTAGTCGATGGTCTTGACGTCTAAAGCGGCAAACTTGCCTTGCACTTCTTGAATTCTGTCCTCCAGAGTAAAAATCCGTTTTTCCAACTCGCAAGATGTTTCCATAATTTTATCTTCCTATTCTTTCTTTAAATTGGCAGTATTTTCCATAAACCTCGCTTTTAATTTATCTGTACTTTCCAAGAGTTTTCCTTCTAGGTTGGCAAAATTTTCCACGAGCTTTCCTTCTAGGTTGGCACAATTTTCCATGAGCCTTCCTTCTAGGTCGGCACAATTTTCCACGAGCCTTTTTTCTAGCTTGGCTGAGTTTTCTAAAAGATCGGTCGTCTTGGTCGAAAGGTTTTGCAACATTAAACCAATATCCTCTGCACCGGTAAAAATGAAAATATCCCCGGGTCCTCGCCTTCTTCAATCAGTGCTTGACGAAGCCGCTCCTGTATTTCTGCTTTCTTTCCAACCGTGTCGCACTCTCTTTCCTCCAGCTCTCTCTTTAAATCGGTAATTTTCAAATCAACTAATCGCGCTAATTCACTGATCGACCGATTTATTTTCACTAAATGTCCAATAATCCACATCCCACTTCTGACACAAATGTAGCGTTTTTCTAAGTTCTTTTGCGGTGGATTTAAACACTGGATTCCACAAAAAGAAATGCACTGATTTATTTAACTTGATAAAACATTTACATACACTACTATTTATGCCTGACTAATTCTTATGCAATTAGAGTTGTGATGAATATTTGTTGCGCTGTTTTTGGGTTACGTCACGCTCACATATGTGTTCCTATAGGACTATAGGGTATGGGTCATTATTTGAAAAAAGGGATGTTTATGTCCCCATTGATTTTTTTCCCTTTGCTATTTTTTATTTTTATCCTATTTTCATTTACTTCACTTAATGTCATGTCTCAAGTTCGTACGGTGTCCCCAGACAAAAGTTAGGAGATAGACTAGTTATTCTTAAACAGTCATGTCCAACTGAAATATTTGCACTAGCCATATTTAAAGCCACTCAAAATCTTGCATAAAAAAGTATTTTCATTTATATTCAAATTGGGTTTCGTAAAATTATGTGGAATATAAAATGTCCTCGGATTTTCACCTCAACTCCGTAAAGGCGAGAATACACATTCCAGTAAAATAGCATGCCAGTGGCCAGTAACTTGTATGCTAACTACTTGTCCTACGACATCCCAAAATACACATGCTAGTTTTGGATATGCCAGTCTGTGAAAACTTTCCTTTATCTTCTTTAACTCTTGGTGGTAGGTTGTTCTTAGGTTTTTTATCTTATTTTTCATAAATTTCAATGTTAAATTGTTATCAGTCATTTGCTTCAATAAAGACTTGTAAGCATTGTCTTTAGCGATTTTATTTTTATACAATGGAGATCATGTATTCCATAAACACGGATACTCCCTATACTGCATAACAAACAATAAAGTCTTTTCGTCTCCCCAACGAGCCATTTTGCCCGGAACTAAACAAATAGTTCTATAGTTGAAGAATCCGTTATTCTCATGCGAGTTTCTGGTAACGATGTCGTTCACACACCTTTGAACATGACTCGCATGTTTCCTCCCCTCCATTCCCTCGACGAAATCCTGCTACTGGCACACAAAAATCTTGCGATCTACTGGCGTGCTATCTTCTAGCGTGCTTTCTTGCTGGCAAAGAAAGTCCCACATGCAAGTAGCACGCACAATCCAGTAACTGGCATGCTTCTGTGCGTGTAACAAGCATGTGTATTCTCGCC